CTCCACACGCTCTCTCAGACTTGACTACTTTTTTTAGACTCAATACGATTTTGCACCTACTTATACGACACTATTACAGTTCCAGTGAAATAACGTGGCCATTTGAAATAACACAGCCCATACTGAGGACACTGGGCTGTTGGAATAAATATTTGAAAATTACTGCACAAATTGTAATGAGGCTGGCCTTTGCAATGAAATTTCATATTTATTGCAGACTTCGAATGTCACATCCGACACTACTGATTAAAAATTTTGGCATCAGTTTAAAGAGGAAGTGCTCAGAAAACTCACAAACATGGATAAGACAAAAACAAGCTGCCTTGAACAATATTTATGAGGTGACCATCTATACCTAGGCCTTGTATATTATTTTTGTATTTAGAACAATACCTCAGGTCCTATGTAATTATTTTTTTTCAAGAAGAAATGTTATATCGTAAGTGTAGGCATAAATGCAAACCAAGATAGACCACAAAGAAGAGACAACACATGACAAGCACTGATGCTGTGCTTGTCTCACCAACTTGCTCTCTTTGTAGTCCCATCCACATTTGCACTGGAGTCTTCACCTTAAAAGCTACGTACGAACTAGACCCAACCAGAGTTTTATGAAAATGTGACATCATCTCTACTGTATTCACATGAAGCCACTCTGTGGAGACAATCAATGCACGTCACAAGTGGAGTGCTGCAACGTACCTTGCAGCCACTGCCTCTGCTCTCGTACATCCATCCCTTGTAGAGGAATAGTGCTTTGAGAGCGTACCTCTGTGCAAGGCTCCAAAGAATCCAAAGCACCACGCTGGCCACCCCACTCGCCGCCAACCGCGGCAGAACGGCCGTCGATGCACCTGCCGCAGTCTTCTGGCTCGAGATGACCGAAGCCAGTCGCAGCGTGAGCCCGCCGTCACGTTCGAGAAGCGAGAATCCCGTCACAATGGAGAGCAAGAGGTAGAGGCTCCGGTAGGAGGACGGGTACACGCCATTGTAGAGGTTGGTCAGAAAGCGAGCCACACGCTTCTTCCACGAGCGCAAGCCGCTCTGCCACACGAGCAATAGCACTTCACGGTCATAGTTGATGTTGACACCTTCGTGGGTCACTGTGAAGCTGAAGGCCACAGCCTGATGTGCTTCCGCCATTGTGGCTGTGGAGCCCCTCCTGTTAGGAGCAACAGGCGTGGATTAGGATTCAGAACTACGCTATAATATTGTTATGAGGCAATGTGCATTGGTTGAAGACTATATCCAACTGCGAAGAGAGGTGACATGCTGCATAAGATTCTGTCAGCCATTCTGCGGCACAGCTGCTTGTAAATATTGTGACACACTTTCATACATCACTTCTGTGTATTCGTGTATCGCATGACAGTACTTACTTAAATTTTCTTACTGTGTTCATCACGTTCCAGCTATCAGTTCTATGCATATGGTAAGTCGAAGTTAAGTTACTAGTGAGTAGCAGCATGTCATTACTTTAATCTCGTGGGACATTAAACCCCACTTATTTGAATACTTCGGGCTTAAGGCTGTCTACAGGCAAATTTCCTGGAAGTGAACATAATTAACTTACTATTGACATCAGGAAATAATTATGGACATTTACAATATCCAAAGTCAGAGCATGAAATTCACTCAGGTTTCTTTAACAATAAGAGCACCCGCTTTGGGTGAGTTGGCTTTTTGTTAAGTTCTCGTGTTTCTTTTTTTTTTCACATAATAAGTTATATATAGTACTATATATTTGTGACCAAGAGTTTAATGAATGAGATGCTCAGACATTCTCATGTAGGAAATAAGGCAGCAGGATTTTAAAGCATTCCATGCACAAACCTTGGATACCTTTCCAAAATTTTATTTATACTCCACAACTGTTACAGATTATGCATATGTGCTCGAGCATCAATAAATGACTTAAACAGTCGAGATTCCTAAACTAATGGACTGTTGAGACAAACACGAAACTGCCGAAACATAACTGCTACATCTGCTAAGACACTTACAGGAACCAATATTGAACTCTGCAAGGAAGACATTAAAAAAAAAAAAAACAGTGCAGCCATGCGTGTAAGGTGTATGCCACTGAAGTTAGTATACATACGCGCAATGACATGATCACAATACCTGAGGAATAGTGCCATGAGGGCCTCGTTAGTATACTAAGGCAGCGAGAATGGTGTTCCGGCGCCCTACATAGTGAAACGAAAATAGCACGCAACCACTACAAGCACGGCGCCGGATGCAGTGAACTGTAATGGCCCCAGCACGGGCAGGGTAGCTGTGTTACTCGGGTAAATCAACGCGGCTTGCAACAAATTGCCGGGGTACGTCCGAAAACTTTCGGCTTCGCGCGCCTGGGAAAGAGTGTCCGCGCACACGTGGTACGGCAAGCCAGCGTCAACACTCGACGTCAGCACGCCAGCCTGCCGTAGATCGCGAGGGGCAGCCGGCTGTTCCTTGAGAACGTGTCCAACGAACCGAAAAACAAGAGAGCAGGAAACCTTCGGCGTTCTCACCATTAGTATTCGACCAGCTGGCCGACATTCATAACTACCTGGCCGCGTCTTTCTTTTCCTCGTGCACTGGACTGGGCACGCACCCCGCTTAGTGGACCTCGAGAACGTTGACACGTTTTGGCGTCCAGCCGATGTGCGTAGGGGAACGACGAAAAACATGGCATTAAAAAAAAAAATGCGAGAGAAAAGTGAGGAGTGATGACCCGACGCACCTTTGGCTCCCCGATGAGGCAGGAAGAGATAGATCTGTGGACAGGTACTGGTGAGGCTGCTCGTCGTAGCGGCGACGCACACACGAAGGGGTACGCGACCAGAGAAGTAAAAAACAGCCAATGGTAGTCGCCTTGCAACGCGCACGGTGGAGAGAAATCCAGCGACGGGTTTTCCTCGCGGAGACGACAAAATAAACAAGAACAGCGATAAAGGGAGGGTGAGCGGGCGACCTAGTCCCCTTTCCCGGGCGATTGCGGCCCGCGTGCGCTTACGTCCACTGCTTACGTCGTTAGGACACCCTCCCTGACCCTCCGCGCTGCCCCCTCGAAGGGGCGTCAGGTGCGTAGACGCACGAGACGCGGCAACAACGCTAAGTGGCGGTCGTTTTGATGGGCAACAACTACGACCTCGCTGCTGTCTCGCGGGCTGTTCTTAGGCGCGTTCCTTCGGCTCTGCGCTGTCGACACCGATTGCGCTTTCGGAAACGATCCCGCGATCGTTGCATGTCCCTCGGCGTTAGAGTAAATTGATCCGATCGGTTGACGACACAACGAAATGCGTTTCTCGAAAACCAAATTTCGGCCGCCTGTGAGGAAAGCCTCGTAGCTGGGATAAAAGAGAGAGGAACGCGCAGAGAGGGCTGCAGCCTACTAACGGGATGAAGCAGCTCTGCGGCGGAGCCCAACCTACCGGAGGCAGGCGGTGCAGCTCCGTTGGCGAGGAGGGACGCGAGCCACGAAGACTTTTGGAACGACGTCAAGACGGCGCTGGTCGACGCTGGATCACCGCCGCGCCCGCTGATTTGAAGGTGCCTGGGCGCGGGATGCGCAGCTGTCCGAGCACGCCGCTGCGACACATGCAGCGCGCCGCCGCCAACGCTACAGCTCGGCTAGCGGGGCGCAGCGGCGGCACAAAACAAACACAGCGGTACCCGGAAATAAGCGCACATGCGTCGCTCGCCCGCTAGTGTAGACGCCCACGACGCTACGAATGCTCCTTAACACCGCTGACCCAGCGCTACGAGAGCAGATCGAGTTTCACAATTTATTATTATAACAGCCTAGCCGCGCCGGATTGGTAGGTTTCGCATTTCACGATCATCATTCGCACTTTGCTCCTAAACTTAATTTAAAAAAAAAAAGCTTGGCGGCGGGAACTTTAAAAATATAGAACAGGACGCATATTCAGCTTTGTGCAGCTTAATTGCACCAGGTCAATCAAGAGGCTTACTTTAACCATACTTAAGTGAGCCTACTGTTAGTAAAAGCAGCACATAGATAAAAGGTAAATGGAGTCTACTTTGGCATGTTCTATCAATTTGCCTACTCGAGTTAAGTGACTGGATATTGGTCACTGTTCTCGTTCAAACATAAGCATTGCTATTTTAATTAGCACTATTGTGAACAACAGAAGATCATCCTGCAAAACTTATTTACTGCGAGCTAAAGCTTTCTCATGCAATGAACAAGCAGAACTTTTGTGCTTTGCAGAATCACATTTCTAATGCCTCCCTACCCCATTCTAATGCTGCGATACGGGCCCTTTATTCAATAGAGTCAACTCTATGCTACTTGCTTACAGATTTTAAGTCACTATGGAACAAAATGCAGATACAGCTTCAGGTCGACACTTGCAAACCTTCTTGGAAAGTAAGTGCTTCAGGTGCGCACACTCTGCAAATCGATATGGCGTCCCTGTTGTCATCAACGTCAGGCAGCGCTGCATATCTGAACCGGAACCTCCTCGATAGGCACATAGAAAGGTGAAGTGTGTATGCTATCTGCCAACACATCCTGGACACTTGGTATCTAATCTAAACGACGTGCGTCTACAGTGCCCAACAAGTGCACCGGCTTTGGCCCTTCTCACTTTTTTTTTTAATCGAACCCGACTCACGTGGATGCACGCCTTGTAGACTAGAACGGTTTATCGCAAACTACAAGTGAGCGTTTGAGCACAGCAGAAACGGAGGCATAAAGTCAGAGAGGCTGTGAGCCAAGCCACGAGTTCATAAGCCGTGTACAAAAGCTCCACAAGCGATAACCAATGCAGCCATTGAGATCACTCTTTACGAGAGAAACTACTCCTACAACTGTTTCAACAACAAGTTCACTGCATAAATAATGTATTCCAAATTTCAGCAACCAAACTGCTGATTGGAGTTTTGCTTAGAGACATATCCTGTCACTGTCATAGACTTCCTTGTTTTATCATACTATATCTCAAAAAAATTGCTTTTTTTCTATTTCTATAAAAAAATCAGTCACAAAGTTACAAACCTACAAACGGCAAGTTTATTTGCACTTTCATCAAATGGCCTTCGCCCAGGGCAGCTCCAAGAGAAGCATCACCAGGAAATTCGGTGGTGATCACCGGAGAAACTTCATCGGGAAAAAAAAAAAGAAAGTACAGTCCCAAAGGCCTCTTCTCTTTAATAACCGTAACGATCCTGAAATGAAAAAAGGGGTGCAAGGCCTTTAGTGATACACGGAATCTGTGACGCAATAGTATCCCCGTATGCAGAGAAACCCTTCCCATTTCGAAACAAGTTAAAGAAAGGCTCTTCGTCCTTACCGTGAGCACGGTTCACTTTCTCTGTTAGTGAAGTGCAGAGAAAAAAAGCAAGAAGAAAAACAAGGCATGCTTGTTAGTGATTTTGTGGAGAAGAGCAAACAAGTGCAATGACACAGAAAATTATGCACTCAAGAACACTCATACGAGTCACATACGAGAATATGCCTACGAGAAATACAAGACGGCACATCCGTGGAGCAAGAAATGCGTTGCAGAGATAAGCTGTACCATTTTACGCAAACACTTACCAACAAAAATTACTACAAGGAGCTCTGGTTCTGTAGTCATTCAGCTGCCGCGGAGATAAAGGGGGTCACAAATGGATTTAACACTGATGCTTGTAACTTCAGGCATTCTCACAACATTGCTTATTGCGCTCCTACTTCACTACATTTTAGAGAATTCATACCAACCTCGAGGTGCAAATACAAAAGATTCTTCACTAGTCATTTTGAATTGATGCACTTAAAACACAACATGCTGTTGAAAAATGACTTGCTTTGCGAAGCCTCTGGGGAACCAAATGCAACAAATTAAGAACGAGCCTCAAGCGATGAAAAACTGATTGATGGAGAATGTCACTGGAGCCAACGTTCTAACAAGAAGCAAATCCTCTTGGCTCCAGCAGCATTCCCTGTTGAAGAATTACGAGTGAGCCTTTTATAAAGCACGTATTTCAGCAGCTGCGGCATACATGAGAAACCTGGAGCAAGCAGGCGTATGAAAATGTGGCTCTTGAAAATGTGCCAACAACACGCATATTTGTATGCACCGTTTTCCAATAGTTGATGCTCTCTTGAATGTGCGCTTGTCAGTGGTCAGCCATTTATGATATGGCAATCCAATATTTACAGAGGTAACCCGTCAACTCACGCTGGCACAGTTATTTGTTGCCGGAATCCAACACATGACCACCTTTGTTGCCTGCAGCCAATGAAGTGTTGCGCTGCTAAGCGAGTGGATGAAGGTGCGATTCCCGACATGGGAGAAACAATGAGAAGGGAGCATTGCAGAATCCAATCAAAAGAAAGAAAAGTAGTCTGACAGGCACGCATGTGCAAAGTCAGCTCGCCCCTTTTTTCCGTAGAGGCAAGAGGGTTCTGAATCTTTGCTCAATTAAGGTCGCTTCAAGCCAGAAGAATGAAGACACCATCAAGACAAAATCGCCACGTTTTCTACCACTGAACACAACTGGAGCACCCGGGTTATTTCCATTTATTAAAAAAAAAAATTCTGGTTTTTTACAAGCCAAAGCCACGATACGATGTGCGCTGCAGTAGAGGACTCTGGATTAACTTTTGCCACTCTGATATCTTTCATGTGCACCTGCCGATCAATTTATGTGCACAGGTGTTTTTGAATTTCACAAATTTAGCAGGCGTGGCTGGAAATCGATTCAGACCTTTGTGCTTAGCATGGCAACACCATAGCCGCCAAGCTATTGTGATCGGTGGCGGGTTCTCAGAAATGGCAACTCGATGCATCAATCCACTAATACAAATATTTTAGCACCATCTTTTCACCACAGTTGCCAGGACAAGTAAAACAGAAGAGCCCTTTACTACATTACGTGGCGTTTGATTCATGAGCCTTCAATATTAAATTTTCTGCGTATAACAAGAGTTGTCCGCTTGCAAGACTACTGAACCCAAAGACTGCAAGTCTTACGCAAAGCACTGCATGTTTACGATTCCTTGAAAAAACAAATGGGCCGACACGCCAAGGCCACAGAACGAGACACATCCGGGTGAGCCGGCGATCAGTCATTTTGTCAAGAACAGCTCTGAATTTTAAATCGGCACGAAAGGAAGTGTCTGTCCCGTGTGTTTCCTCTTTTGCCCTGATCTAAGATTCCACACTGCTTTTGACAAAATGTGAAGGCTGGCTTCACAGTCTGGCATCAGAGGTCACTACGTTACTGGAGGGTCAGTAACGTAAGGTCAGCCACTTTTCACATGCCCTTGGCGCTCTCTTGCCATTTTGTTGATATCAATCACTACTTGAACCATCATACGTGTACGCATATTAAAACAGAACTGCAGGTCCTTCAACCACGGAAAGCCATGAGAAAATTTTAATATTGCAATAACAGTTTAAAAAAAATATTATCGCCCATTCGAGAATCCAGGCCCTCAGAGGCCAATTCTTTCCCAATGCACCTTGCATACCTCAATTAAAAGTGATGCTACGCAGCCGCATTTACTCTACCTAATAACATCGCATATGACAAAGTCGAGACATTATATTTAACTACAACAAGGTTCGTTAACACATTACAGCATAAACTAAACCACTTTTGAATTTACTAATACCGTAAAATCCCACAAGATCCCCACTTATATTAAAGGATGATCAAACAAAACTCGGCGAGGGGGGGGGGGGGCTTAGTCTTAGAACAAAATTGAGAATGAAAGAGAAAGAGCCCCTAAAAAGAATGCAAACCTGTTTTTCTAATGCAATGCATTATTGAATACACATTCATTTACATTTTCTACTATATTGGAGGGAACTGCGTGAAGTTTTATGGTCTATGGCAAGATGAAAAAGATGTTCTTCAAATATTCTAAAAATTTGCGACCAATCAGAATGCAAAACAGAGGCACCGCACCGCAAAAGTACTAGGAAGTCACGCACATATCTAAAGACTCTCAGGACTTGTGTTCCCAGGAACAACTGCTGCATGAATCTGTAGCAATGAACAGGTTGAAAAAGAAGAAAAAAGCGCCATCCCGTCTACGGTATTATATGGTTTTGTACCTGATGGCAGAGAGCCTCAAGCACATGTAACAGCTCTAACTTCCTCGTTCTTTCTTGCCTGGATGACATAAGTTCTATATTCAATGATTTTGTTCATTTAGTGTGTATGCACCCAAGAGGTGGGGCACCACATGTAACGTAGTTCTGAGGTGCGCTTTTCATTGCAATGTCCCGCTTCTGTACCATATTGAGAATTTGGGACATAGATAAAAGTACGCATTAAGGTGCATTTTAGATAATTTAACTGTGCAATCATTTAAAGGTTGCTATTTAAAGCTGGAAAATGAAAACAATTTTTATTTTGTTCAGCAGTTTCATAATTCAGGAACTGAAGGGTTCAAAATAATGTCGCCCAAGGGTAGCATGCGGAACACCCCGATGCAAGCATTTTACGCAATCTTAAAGCTCCTCGATCGCCAAGATGTTCGTCTTATGTAATGCCTCCGTCCGTGATTGCTGTCGCATCTGCAGAATCGAATTCCCTTTGCTCGTCAATGAAAGGCATACGAGCAATTCGCCGCACTTGAGATGTCGCAATTACCTGTTCGAAGGCATGGATATCATCCATCGTAGAATACCCTTTTCTGAATCCAGCCTGTTCGTTTGGTCGATTGAGCCTAGCGTACCTGCCATCTTGCCTGAATTCCTTAATTCACAAATTGCAACACCGTCAATCGGAAAAAATATGTCACTTTCACTTTTCATGCAATAACCCCTGCCTCCATTTTCAAGCAGCACAACAAACACTACGTTTCTGTCACTCCTGTACCATGGGTGTAATGTGTGGCAACACTAACAATTCCTTTGGTGCAGGGAAAAAGGCCCATAAAATTCTGGACACCGGATGCATACTAGGCTTGTGGAAATACTTGAATGCTTCGAATATTAAAAAGAGTATCACAGTATTTGAGTTTGCTTCGATTCAAATTTCAATTGAAAATTTCGAAGTATTCAAAATGAACGAATAAATGATATACAAGTCCTTGTGCAACCTCCGTAAAGATGGTTTCACTGGAGTATAGTCATGCTAAACCGTGAAAGCACCTGTTTAATTTGGATGACACATTCTGTAAAGGTGGTTTCACTGCAGCAAAAGAATGCTATGTCGTGAAAACTTATTTACTGAAAATCCGCATTGCCACAAAGCCCCACTTTAGGGTCAAATGAACATATCACCCTCTCATCAATTCATCATTTTTGACGTTTAAAATCTTGTTCTACCGGCTTATAGGCTCTTAGTAAATATTAAAATGTAACATATTTTACAGGTTTTTACTCGCATTCTACAAAAGTCAAATCCTGCTACTATTCAAAGTTGTTTCCACATTCTTTGAACCAATAAAATGGCATCTGAACAGGCCTTGTTTCAATATTAAATATATACTTATTGCACAGGTTGGTTAAGTCATGACAAATATGGTCATCTTCCTTTATACCATGTGATATATACTATTCAAATGAGATTCAAAATTATTCGACTAAAATCTCTATTCGCCTTTTCGAACCTAAAATTCACTATTCGCACAATCCTAATGTATACACAACAGAACAATTCTGAGGAGAATACACAAGGGTTTATCTTTTATATTAAGTGCGGTGCTAATTCAGTAAAATGTAAATTATAATAATTAGAGTGGAAAGTAGGGGGAAACGAGATCGCAAAATGCACGAGACGGTTAGATTGTACTATTCAGGCAACAGGAAAATGTCTGGTTATGTTAAACGGACCACACTGGTGTTCACACAGTACTTGTGGTACTTAACAACAATGAAGTAAAGCAAACGAAAGTACAGCAAGAATATTGCTGAGAAACTGTAGTGAAGGACAAACATCGCCACAACTCCCACCGGAAATGACTACATAGGCTTGGATTTTGCTAGCAGCTATGATATTTCTCGCTAAAAAAAATTTATGGCTGGGATAACTGACTCATAATTGTGATTTTCAAAGTGAAAATTACGTAAAAAAAAGAGAAATAAACACTATGCGTTGCACTTTTTTTTTCTCTATCCTGCACACTAAACTTCACACTCAGCCTTTTGACAATTATTCTCCATCACGGACGTAAAATATGCTGTTGAGTAAAGCAACACTTCTAAGAAACCATTTGTTTATAATAACACTCTTATTCTGATGGTTTAAACTGCTTCAACAGTAGAAAGCTGCACACACATTGTGGAGAGAAATACACCACCCCCCATTGTTTACTAGCGCTGCCCTAGACATTCACCGACATCCACACTCAAACCTTATAATAACAAAGTTGCATCTTGCATGACAATAAGTTCATTATATAAAAAAATTTGCTATTAAATTATACTTCAAACACTATATTTATTATTGAAGATGAGTTTTGTGGAAACCTGTAAGGTGGCGGAAGGATTAAAAAGGGGAAAGAAGACAATCGCCCGTTTGTAGAGCGAAGCTACAAAAAAAATCCATACAGGTTTCTCGGAGCTTTTTTTTAGTTGCCGATAAATTCGTCCTGGTCCGGGCTGGACGAATTTTTTGCCAACTAAAAAATCTTTGAGAAATCTGTACGAATTTCCTTTTGACTTCGTGCTACAAATGGGTAGTTGTCTTCTTTCCCTTTCTTAACAATATCTATTGCTCTCTCCTCCTAAGCCTCTCTTCCCTTCCCCAATCGTTTTTTATGGTATATTCTTCAAGGCTTATGTTATGCTCAAATAGCGGGCCTGGAAAAACGAGTGGTTACAACGCTGGCATTGGGATTGTGGCTGACGTGGTTCCAAATCTTGCCTCGCCAATAATTTCTTCTTTCTTCTTTTTTATCTCTTTCTTTCACTCTCTCTTTCTTTTTGTAGTATTAATCTCTTGCCCGTCAGAATTATTGATTTACTTTCTTATAACCGATATTTCGTTATATCCAGGTTCGTTATACCGAGACTGGAGTGTATGAATACAGAATGTCAACATTCCTCAAACTTGTACTGGCCATGTCAGTGACATAGAAAACTGCCTAAATGCCTCTTTGAAGGGATATTCTAAATGACGAAATTGCTGGAAGATTGCGCGATTTTACTTCCAGACAGCACAACAGAATAGCAATTCTACGAAACGTGTAGCTCCATGCACATGTACATACTTGCATGTGACCTGGTCAGTCTACGGCCATCTGTCGCTGCAGATGAACAACAGTGTAGTTAATTTACACACCAAATCTTCCAACCTCTCAAACTCGATCCAAAGATGACCTCGCTCCATCGGCAGACTGATCACAGTTACAGGCTTCTATCAATCTGCGATTCCATATTTTCTGGATACAACTCAAATTCCCCCTCGCAATTTGAGAAGTAAAGATTATACATATATGGCAAGTCTTGCACATATCCAAGATGCACCTCACCTGACCATCAACAAAACTAAACATTGCATTCTCATAGAACTGAAGTGTGAGCTGCCATGCTCACTTATTTTAAGGCTTGAATCTTCCACTAAAAAATTTTTTTTTTGCGAGCTGCACACTCAAGCCTCTTGGGCACCAAAAGCCACATTTATTTCCAATCGCTCAAGACATTCGCTGCGGCAATGCACTCTCAATGTTCTCAGATTGGTCGGCACCAAAAAAATCCGACAATGACAAACTACAGGTTTGGAAAAGCTTTCCTACTACTGTGAAGGCGGCCCAACCCGTCCTACAGGTTTCATCTTCCACTGATTCTGGAACTGAGAAGTCAATGTACATTATTTTTTTTTTAAATTAACCTTGTACAAGGCATGACATCGCAAATCTGTTCTGCCGAATCTCGCAAAGTGATGGAACGGAAAGGTTGTGAAGCAAATAAATGACAACCACCCGTCAGTAGCTCAAAGAGACAAGGATACTCATCTGGATTCCTTAGCAAAGCTTGTTATTTTAAAAAAAATTTGTCCTGGTCAGAGAATCAAACCCAGGACCAATGCCATTCCAAGGCAGTCGCTCAACCGACTGAGCTCACCAAGATGCTAGCAACTGGTACTGCAAAGATTGCATTGCTGCGCCGAGGTGTGGTGTCAAGGCTACCGTACGCAGCATCGGTAATTAGCAATGGCACACTGAGGCAACGTGCCGCTGCTAGATCTAATCTCAAAGCCGTGACAGATAACCTCAACACCATGTTGCACGTCACCATAGGTGGCACAGCAATGCAGTTTTCTGCCGCTCCGCCATATGCTGCACATCTAGCCAACTTTTGCTGTTGACAGTACATAATAAAAAATTATTCAACTTCAACAACCTCAAGCCCCTCCTCACGCCCCCCCTTGGGCGATTGAAAAATTCTCTTGAACTAGGCGTTCCTTTCCGACAAATCTGTACACGTTTCCTTAAGGCTTCATGCTACAAACCGGTGGTTTTCAATTATCTGTGGCATAACACATGAGTGCACAGGTACGATGCACTAGATTCGGGATAAACGCAATGATTTAACGTTGGCTTTGTACTTCTCTTGGTTGTTGATTTTTTATATGTATAATTACTGCTTTCGTTGTATAATCCTGTGTTTTGTACTTTTGTTCTAATGCTGTACTACAGCATTAAACAAAATTTGATTTCTCCTGTATACTGTAATGCACAATTTATTTGCTTTTAATTTTGCTGTTTTGTATTCTATTTTCTACTGTAACCCCCCTACAACAATGCCTAATGGGCGATGTAGGTACTTGTAATAAATAAATAATAAATAAATAAAACAGCTTGCCAACACATGCGAAGGTAACGCGCCTGCCAACGCGCCTATGGGTGTCACTTTGCAGCATACTCACCTGCAGAGAGCTCATGACGCCGTTTGCGAGCGAGGAAAGCCGCGAGGCTACCTTGGTGACTCCGTCTCGGACTCCTTCTCGGATCTCGTACAGGTTGGGTCCGGACAGGCTGGTGCTTGAGTGGGACGCATTGCTCGAACCCGGTCCGCCGCCAAAGTAGTCGGCGCTCGAGATGGACGACGAGCCTTCGAAACGAGCTAGCTGGGCCCTCTTCTCAAACTGGACACCCAGAGAACGAGAACAAAAAAAAAGAAAATTCTGTTAGCGTATCGCATACCGTACAACCACACGCTAGTTCCTAAGCACTGTAGTTCACAGCGGCACTTAGAGGTTGGCTAAAAAATATAACAACACGAAAAACCAGGACTGATAGTTGGGCTAGCTTGTAATACATTATGAGCAGTACCAGCGCACTAACTCACGGGACAAAGAAAAGAGACACAAACAAGCGCTGTTTGTGTCTCTTTTCGAAGAAACCAGTCATAACTCTACAACAAATGAAACAAAATGAAGGACACTTTCTTTAATTTAATAGCTCATTCCATCCTCCTTTCTCACATTTCTATGGCACATGTGCAGTTCCTCTGGCAAAAACAGAACTTTCTGTCTCAGAGGCTTTCGTTTTGTCGATAGCCAGCAGTCTCGGCTCTTTTCAACACGACAGAGAGCAGAACAGAGAAATGTAAAAGGCAGATTCTGTACAATAAGTCAGATTTTAGCACCTTGCACTTCAATACAGGCTTGGAAGTGATTTTGGAAATTTTCAAAGTAGTAGCTGTGAAGTATTCTGTAAGGATTTGACCCATTCCTTTTCCAAACCACCTCTGAGCAATCCAACGAATTCCCGAATAATTCCCGGCCGTTGAAGTCACTTCGCTCAGGAAACCGTTTAACAATGCGATAAACTTGAACATGCTACCACCTAAGAATCTTGGTGATCTCTACTAACCTACTCATGTTGGAAAATTATTCTTGTTATAGTTATTTTTCTTAGAGAGCATTTTCGAATTGAGAAAGAATGGATGCCAACAGTAGTTCCACTGCCAAGAAAGCAATCATGAAGAAAATCTCAATTATGCCTCGGCTAAAAGATGCAAATAATACAGCAAAACTTCGTTAATTAAAGTCACTAGGGCCGCGAGAAAGCTTCTAATTAAGTGAGTTTTCGAATTAACAGAACTTACAAAAAGTGGGATGCATGAAACTTCGAACTATTCAAAGTAATCGGTGCTTGCCGTTTGCTGTGCCGGCTAGCTTGCGGCTTCAATGGTTATGTTTTCCAGCAATACCTGGTCTTTATTTTGCCCCGAACATGGAGGAACAATGGGCCTCGCTGCTGCCACCAAACAAACAAAAAAAAACACGCGATCGTGACTAAAATGTGCGCCTGCGGAAAACAAGACATCTTCACTGCAACACAGTAGTGAAACGCGGGCAGCATGTCACCTGCTTCTCGCTGCGCTAGCATGTCATGATGGGTCCATTCGCACATTCTTTCTATTATAATTATGAATTTAATAATGGCCAGTATGACAAAGCTCACGATGTGTTTTGGCTGAGAAAAGTTATATTCGAAACTTTCGAACTTAGTTTTCGAAGTAGGTGTTGCTGGCAAGAACTTCCCCCCGCAGTGCAAAGACGCAAATTGCTAGAGCAACTGGCAATCCGAGCTTCGCATACATCGCGATTTTCGCTAAACTGTCCTTTATAAGTTTCTTTACAATCCCAGAAAGAATGGGTAAGCCGTGACCCACTGACGTTGCGAGAAATATGCAATAAGCTCCCGCGTGTCACCACTGTGTTGCAGTGAAGCATGGCTCATTTTCTGCAGGCGGACATTTTGGTTGACCACATACCGTTTTTCTTTCTTCCTTCTTTCTTTTTTTTTTGCGCTGAAAGTAGCGAAGCTGAAGTGCTTCAGCTGCCACTCATTAGTGTCGATACACTGCATTGCCTTGTGGTAATTGATGGCCATCATTTCCACAGATTTGCGGCGGAATCGGAATCTGGAATTAGCATATGGCACCCAAAGTTTTCGAATAAACCGGACTGGTGCAATATCCACTCAAACTTGCATTGAAAAATACGGGACCACTGAAATCCTTCGAATCAAGCGGGATTTTGAAATAACAGAGTTCGAATCAACGAGGTTTTACTGTATACTGAAATCAAACGTAATTCCAAGTGTATAACAGTTTTTTCCGGCCTGTGGAGCGTCATGATCCATCAGCTTGTTTTTATATCCACTAAAGAACGAAGGCCTTTCCCAACGATCTTCAGTCTGGCCCACCTTGCGCAAGCCAGTTCCATTTTACCACCGCAAACCTCTTAATTTGATTCCTGCATCCAACTTGCTTCCGTCCTCAACTGCATTTTTCATTCCACTGTATCCATTTGGTTAATCCATAATCTGGAACCGGAATTGTGTGGACTGCAACAAAAATAGATTTTCTAAATCCCTTAAACATAAAAGTTACAGTATGTTGAACATTCATGAGTGCGTAAATTTCAAGCTGGGATTTCACTCGTGAATGTTCAACACATCGTAAATTTTGTTCTCATTTGTTTAGAATGTCCATTTTGTTGCACTGCAAAGAGTTCCAATTCAAGATAATTGTGACATGCTGATATACTTTTCAAACTCCCTCACTTAAGAAAAAAAAACCTTGCTCCATAAAAGACACATATATTTTGTATTTTAAAAAGTGCTCCTTGTACTAGTAAAATAACTGCCCATTTTAAATCAACACATAAATTCACATAAATTGACCAAGTTTTATCAAAATCGATCAAGAAATAAAAAGATTTTTCAAGTGCCCTGTTCCCCTCAACCACTGATTGACTGCCCACCACATAACATGGCCAGCTCGTGTTGGTTTTTTTCACTTAGTATCAACTACACCCCTCTTTTGTTGTCTGACCCTCCAACTTCTCTTCCAATCTCTTTATCCCTCCCACTTCTCTTCCAATCTCTTTATGTAGCGCTTATTTTCCACTTCACAGCATCATATTCTACTTTGGTGAAAACGAGCGTGCTGATAGTGAATATCAAGACCGAATTTAATAGTGCCAGAAAAAAACTGAACTGAAGCAAATACGGTAATCTTCTTTCAAGTTCTGCACAGCCATTCTTGCAAAAAAAAAGTACAAAACAATGTTCCAATTGAAATACATTTAGGATAACCAAATTTGCAAGCACAGAACCGTCCAGAGTGTGTGAATGGTTCACAACGCTTGATTCAAAATTTGCAACTTTTCATCCCAGGTGATTCCAGTCTGGAGTAACGGGGCAAACGCATCTCCCGCGTACAAAGTGCACTCTTTCAATACCGCCATCAAAATTTAACTACGAATATCTCACATTATGTGTAACTTCAGTGATTTTTTAATGACACACAGTGTGATAGCATACAATTTTCCGACATAAACAACCGCTTACATGTCAATAATTAAAAGGTTAACTCGCACGAGTTTTTGTTAGCCACTTCAACGCCACTTCAGCTACAGCAAAGTATTTCCGTCTCAACGAAAAGTTTCTGTGCAAAAGCAACAAGAGCCTCACTGTCGTAGCATATTGATAAAAAATCTGTAGTGTTCAAAAAAAAAAAATCTATGCATATCCACAAAGTGAATTCCGATGATGGGGCAAAGCAGTGCCCATCGGATCATGAATCGTGGCCTCCTATTTCGTTCCGGTTAACTAGCCTTTTATCTTGGTCTTGCTAACCTTGTGTTCTGTCATATGGTTTGATTGATGGGTGGTCGAATGTCAGTGTTTTTATGGAGTTGATGATTTATTTTGTTTATTGTGGTTAAGGGGGGATGTGGCAAAGAAAATAATCTTCGTTATTTATCAAGCCAAAGGGATGAAATTCTGCATGCAGATGTCATTTGTTGTGTTGATATCATAACTGGAATCAGGTTTTGAGCTATCTAATATAACTTTTGAGTTACAACACTTGATAAACTTTCATTGTCACCCAAAGTTATTAGCTAATTAGATAAAAATTCGTGAAAATTTTTGCGTAAGGATATTCACAAGGGTCCATATTGTGCCATAATGCTATTATTGGTTTATTTTTAATATTTAAGTAAGCACACAAAAATTTTTTGAAATGTCCTGGACATATTGTCTTACCAACTACTTTACAGAAAGCCAATTGCAAAAGTCTTTATGATGTGCACACAGACATGGACAGCTTCACGGCACTCACCAATGTCTCAGAATCTTAGTGCGGGAAATGGAATGGCTATAGGATCTGTTGGAATGGATCTGTTGTGAAATGGCACAGGGATGACTGACAGCAACTGCTCAAAAATTGAAAGCTGAGAAAATGAAGCTCGAAGAAAGTGGAGCTAGAAGCTGATAAAACAGAACTCGTAAGGTAGCTGGCTTATTTTTCATTGGAGAAATGCATCTTTGTGGCTATCCTGAGCTCCAATCTGTCCTCTCTATGATGATGTCAATATGGTGGCACTGTGCCAAGGGAAAACTGCAAACTTGCATTCTGCTATGCCCAATTTTCACATAGCTTTTGATGACAGCCCACCAGCAAAATGCTTGTTTCTGAACTTCTACTACTTATTTTGGTCTAAAATCACACTATGATGTAAAACATGCTCTCAGGATTGCAGGAAAAAAATTATTCGGAAAACTGAACATTTTGACCAAATTTACTGTTCCCATTGTCACGTCTCCCCTTAACAGCCTTTTGATGATCTTTTGTTGTTTACAGATGTTTCAGTTTCCACATGCGCTGTAGACGACAGGCAGTGGTTTATGGACGGAGGGGCATTGTGTCACGTTAAGATGCTTCACCCCTAAAACACATCCTGCGTACACAGGGGCCTAGTGGTAGGCCTGTTCACAAGGAAACTTACATCGGAGTCTGCAGAGCCGTGGAAAAACTGGTCAGATGAGATTGCCTTTGCGTTGCCAAACTTCTTGCGGGCTTCGTCGGTCGCCGGCCCTTGTTGAATCACATGCCGACTGCGGCCGGAACTGTCAGGGATGATGAAACATCACAATCGGTAACGAGCTACAACAGCAGGCCAGCTTTATGATTGCATATCTGGCACACTCATCAATAATGCCTTGCAACACCTTCTGTACTTGTCACAAAATAACCTTATCATTGCTCCTTGTTTCTTCTCGATTTCCTTTCTGAAAAAATTTTATAAATTTGTCACATTGTACGAGTGAAATTCATTGCAGATAAGTGAAATAGTCTAACAAAAAGCATACTTTTTTGTTCGATCTCCACAAGCATGCTAATGCTACACAGGGATCCGAGCAAGGATGGCAAACGGGTGTCATGAGCCTTGAGCATTTTCTCTTAACATTATTATTATTATTATTATTATTATTATTATTATTATTATTATTATTATTATTATTATGACCAAAGCGACCACTATTTCTGGCTCAAACATACACGGTGTTGACCGTAGTATTTAAATGATGGTACATGGCTTCGTAGATCTCATTCAAGTTAGGTTTGCTGAATCCCACAAGGTGGATGCATGGTTACTAAAGGAATAATTGACAACAACCAGTTTATAGCACAAAGTCAAAAAGAAATCTATATAGATTTTTCAGAAAACAAGGCTTGTTAGCAAAGAGAAATTTTTCCTGGACCCGGGACAGACACTTTTCCGAGGCGTTAGCTCTACCATTTGCACTTAAGGATGCTAGCGATTGGCAATGCGAGGGTGATTTATTTATTTATTTACATTCATTCATTTATTTACTTATTGATACGGTCAGCTTTTGACGGGCTATTACAGGAGTGGAATAAAATCATATTAAACAAGAATATTCATGAAAGAAACATACCGTATTGCAAACTTCCCGGCTTAGTCCTATTGTATGTGAAATGTCGCCTGAAGTATGTCGCTGCTATAGCGGTATGTTGCGTAGGTCGCCTTAGTAGTGCTTATGTCTCAGTCTGATTGCTATCGTAGCTAATCCTGTTAAACAAACAAGGTACACTTCGTTTGCGCTCCAACTTATTTTGTTTTCTTTAATGTATATACTGCGTGTGTTACTACCATTGCGCATTGTTTCGTATGCGTTTGTGAAATCCTCGCGTAATTTGCATGCTCCCTTCTCAGAGCCCCAAAATGCGCCAAAGGAAAGTGGGTGCATTGTGCGAGTAGATACGGTAACAAAATGGACCCTCACTACCTGAAACACATCAGCTCACTGCATGTATCAAAACAGATGCAACAAATCTATCATAATTGCAAGGCATGTAATTTAAACAGATAAGTTCATTAATGAAACATAACGAAAGAATGCATCACTGCTGAAACACATATGTCTGCAACAACTTCAAGCTCACTCGAGTCAAAAACTCGAAGTTCATAGACACAAAATATTAGAAAACGAGCTTCGACGAACCACAATATGTGGCAAAGAGTCGTGAAAGGGATAACTGACAATTGCCCAATCCTGGCACATAGCCAGATTTTAGCTGCACTTAGATCTGCTAGATTTAGGAGCACGTTAAAAAACCTTCAGCCATAGAAACTAACCCAGAGTCACCCACAACGGCGTGCCTCATAATTATACCACAGTTTTGACAAGTAAAAACCTAGCAATGACACTTAACCCCCATTATACTTAACCTGGATATAACGATATATCAGTTATAATGAAGTAAATGAAGAATAGTCTTACAATAGATATAGTACTAGAAATATACATTTGTAACAAATTTTTAAATATAACAAACTTATTTTCGTGTAAGATGCAACTTCGTTACACACTCAAAGCTCGTTATAACGAACCCAGATATAACAAAATATCGATGACGAAGTAAACAAAAAACAGCCTTGCAAAAGGTATAGTGTTAGTAATATACCTCTATAATGAATTTTTGGATATACAGTCGAACTTGGGTATATCGAACTCGCCAAAAAAGTTTATTAGTTCGATATATTGCATAATTCGATATGGGCCCGGAATAGGATTTGACACAAAGGCACATAATAAATTATAAGAAAGGTAGTTTGTTAATATGGCGGCTTACTTGCGAACCCTACTGTGGTACAAAATAGTCTTGGATTTACTCCTGGATCAATGACTTCGCTGCCTGCGACAGCACGCACGCCTCCACGTTGTCCAATGACTCAGAGCAGCTGAGGCCGCAACCTTCCACATTCACGCAATAGCGCCAGAGCAACGCAAGTGCACTAATCACTTCGGAGGATGTAGGCGATGGGCCATCGTCAATTTCCTTATTGCTGTCGTTTTGGCTCGTGGTCGGCACAACGTCTGCAATGCAATCCGCATCTTGCAGCTGACCCGTGATGGCGACATCATCGTCCGCACTGAAGAACTCGTCGAATGTCGATCCGTCGACAGCACCTGGGAACTCTGCCAGCTCGTTCCAAACTTTGGCAGAAACACCTGCGGTGACTTCAGTGCTGTCGTCGGAATTTGGGGTGTCATCACCAGGCATGCGGAAGCCGGCATGCCTAAAGCAGTTCTGGATGGTCTCCTTCGTGACATCTGCCCACAATCTACTCAACATAGAAATAGCTCCGAGCAAGTCGATCTTAAGCTCCCTGCCAACACGAAGGTTCTGCAGCAGCCTCTCTACCACGTGCTTCCGATAGCCAATTTTCATTGCGCATATAACGCCTTGCGTATAACGCCTTTATCCAGTGGTTGCAGTACAGACATAGTGTTCGGGGGCAAAAAACGCAGCTCGACGTTGGTGAAGGTCGTACTGCAGTGGTGCGACGAACAATTGTCCACGAGCAGGCACACGTTGCGATTTTCGCCTACCAAATCATCATTCCATGAGGACAGCCACCTGCCGAAAAGCTCCCCGGTCATCCACGCTTTTGAGTTTGCTCGGTAGGTAACTGGAACTGACAGCGCATTTCGAAGACACCGCGGTGCCGTGCTTTTCTCGATAACCAGATGTCGAAGCTTTTTCGATCCATCTAAATTAGCTTTGAAAATCTTTGAACCATTGGAGCCAGCCTGAACCGCCTTGGAAATCATTCCTGCCAAGCAGAAAAGCAAGATCCTTGGCTTTCTGCTCGATCATAGGGCTGGACACCAGGATGTTTCGCGACCGAACGTCCACAAACCACTTGTAAACAGCCGCTTCAACATCTCCATACACAGCAGTGCGCACACGTCGGGCGCCAGGGCACCTGGATTTTCGTCCAACTTGGCCCTGATGTCTGCCTTGTTCTTCAGGATAGTACTCAAGGTGCTTCTAAGAATTTCGTACGCAACGGCGACGTCAAACTTCTTTTCACCACGCTCGACCCGATTTATGATTTCGAGTTTCGCGGCGAACGGCAAATTCTGCCTCTTTGCGCAAGCCACGACGACAGCGCGCCAACACAGTTCACAGAGCAACAGGGGACACCACCAGCACAGACCACATTGGACAAGGACTCTAGGAAAACAGGCAGCTGCAGGCACTCAAGCATAAAGAAAGAAAAAATGATGCTCACTTATACCACCTCAGTGCCTCGGAGAAAGCACGGCGGCCTCTGATTGGCTGCAAGCGGGCCAGGATTATTTCTTGCAGGAGAGTGTTCGCCCGTGCACAACCGAGTCTAACCAACTTTTGCTAGGGTAGCGCCGGCAGTTTTCCCCACCACCGCGAGGGAAAGCCAACTTGCTGGGGCACTTTTGAGGCACAAGGAGTTCGATATATCAGTTGTCGTTGCTATTTTCGTTCGATAAAACCGTAAATTTTGCTATATATTCTTAATGTAAATTGACCTCGTTTAGAAATTGTTCGATATACGGGATAATTTGATATAAATGGGTGCGATATAGTCGGGCTCGACCGTAACAAACTTATTTTCATGTAAGATGCAACTTTGTTACAACGAGGTTTGAGTGTATTTTCGCAAACACGATTCTGAACCGTCTGTGGCCCTTTCCTTAACGCCCACCTTTCATCTCTGTCTGGAGAAGTGGTGACGTTCTCCCAAGAGGAAAACGACGAGGTCGGCTGCGAGGGTGGCCCATCGTAGTACAGGCTGTCGCCCGCGCTGCTGCCGTAGCCGCTGCCTCGCGAGCCACCCGAAGAAAAGAAGCCGGCGCCGCCGAGGAAGTCGTGGCTCGGCCGGTCTCCGCCAGCGGTCTGGGGAGTCTCCTGTGTGATGGTGCGCATGTCTGCCAGAGCCGAGTGGGAAACTGCGGTGCGGCCGCCACCGCCTAGACCCATGCCTAGTCGCTCCATCTGCTGTGCCTTGCGAGGGTCAACCTAATCGAAAGAGATCATCACAGCTATAATTGTCTCGTCACTGCTACAATCGACACGCCCCTTCTGTCATTCAAGCACTGCAAGAGTAAGATGACCAATGTCTCCAACTGTACCTGTAACTTGAGATAGCCGACTTCATCATGTGCCCACCGATTCCTTCATTTTAGATGCATAACACGTGGGAAAAAAAAAAAAAAAAAAACAGGACTGGGCAGTATCAAAGATACTCGTATCTGAGATACTATCTTCGAAAATGTTTGAGTATCTTGTATCTGTATCACGATTTGTCTCGCAAAATGACCATTGCATAGGTGTCTCCTACTACATTATGGGGGTCTATAACAACAAATTTGCAAATGCATCGAAGTATTTTAATAAGTACAACCGACAAGTATTGAATCGGATACAATTTTTGCAGTAGTATCTTGTATCTGTATCTCTAATACTTCTTGTCTGATTGTTTTGATTATCACGACACAATTTCATAGTATCTTTGCCCAGCCCTCTGCAAAAATGACCAAGAATTAATCGTAATAACCTACCTAAAATTGAAAAAAAAAAAAACGCTTAAGAGCTTATTTCTGATATACGTGCTTTGCTGGAGAAAGTCCGACTACATCAGCAAGCAAGAGATTGCAAGAGACATGCCCCAAGAGAATCACTAGGTTGGCCGTGCTATGCACTTCGTCAGGTTTCGCGGTAGCAGAGCTGCACTGAGCACAGGGCTTATATCTACAAGACCTACACAATTACATGTTTGTTTTTCTCATTTCTGCCTTAGCTAGAGTACACACTACTCATGTTTAATATCAACGATTTCCTCTTCTCTCATAATTCTGCTGAGCCTGTCATATCATTTTAATATATTCAATATATTTTTCCGTTACTTCATTATAACATACTATTGCATTAACTACCAGCACACTCGATGTAAATGAAATAAGCGAGGGATTGTTAAACTCAACGATACACTCAACGATCAGCCACCACACTTATGACGCAGTCCTTCATTTCCTGCACCACAACTCGACTCTTTTCGTCTCTCACTCTGTCTCTCTCTCCGTGTATTCTCAGATGCACATGTAGGCCCCCTCGATGTTCACTTAACACTCGCACAGTCACCCAGTCTCGTTCCTCTACCTTCAAACACACACAGCTTCTGAAACCCACACCCGATGCACGTGCACTTTCACTCCATTTTTTTATTTATTATTTATTGATATTTCAGTCTCAAGCAGAGACTATAGCAGGTGTGATACATTGATACATGATATTAAGAAAAGGCACAATAGTTTTCAAAGAAAATACATGAAGCGATAAATATAATGCATACAGATAAAACAATAAGGCTAAGAAAATAAACAAGCACACAACGGAATTTAACAGCAAATATTAACTGTAAAATGCAAGAGTACGAGAACAAGCTGAATAAACAAAAAAATTATAATTCAAGAAAAATTTATCAAATTGAACAAGATTATGCAATAAATTGGAACAAATAATAAAAAACAAGTATATTCAACAGTGCTAACGAGGAACTAAAAGCATTTTTCAAACAAAGAAAGTGAGGCTTGTGTTACAATATTGTCAGGGAGGTTATTCCAATCAACAATAGTTTTAGGGAAAAAAAGAGTATTTAAGGCAATTATTTTGTATACGTAAAGGGGTTATCGTGAAATAAAGTCTTTGCCTGGTTTCGTAACCATGAGAATAATTGATAATGGGTAAAGAGTCTACCGTATTTACTCGATTCTACCGCGCCCTCGATTGTAACGCGCACATGATTTCCACCGCGAAAAAAAAAAACGTAAGACATCGATTGCAACGCGCACCCATTTTTCTCGCTGGCCCGCACGATCACACCACTCGAAAAACGACTCCTTTCGGGAGCGTCTTCCATTTAAATATGAGGTACGGGCGAAGCTTGTGCCCATCTGACGTGTAACAGAGCATTGCCGTCACTGTAGTTTTACCGTGGACCGATGTCAGCACGCGAACTTGCTTCGCCCCCTTCTTCTCGACGGTTGTGGTGCCAAGCATGTCGAAGTAAAGAGGCGTCTGATCGGCATTCCCGATTTGCCCAAGCAGGTAGCCGTTGTTGCGCCGCAAGTTTAGGACGAACCTCGGAAAACTGTGAAGCTTTTCATTGTACTCCTCAGCAAAACTTTTCGCATATGCCCATTCACCTTCGGAGGGAAAAGCCTTTCCTCTTTATAAAGTTATTTAGCCTGCACCTGCTCGCTTTAAACTGGCTCCGCATTAGACCTTTTTCTAAGGCTAACTGCATAGCCCGCACTTGGAGCAGTTCTGTCGTCACGGGCCACTGTGCCGCTCGCTGCTCAATCTCATGCTCGCCGAGCAGCTCTTCAATTTGCGGAAACCGACCCTGCTGTGGTCCACTGAAGCCTTTGCGTGAAGCTTTGCTGTCGACAATCTCCTGCTTTTGTTTCCGCCAGTCCCGCACGCACGTTTCGGGAACTCAGAACGACTGCAATGCGGCCCGATTTCCGTGCGTTTCTGCACACACGATCACTTTTCTTTTAAAAGCGGCATCGTGGAGTCGGCCCTTTTACGCCGACGATGCTAATGCACTACTAGATGACGAACTCCTCAGCTTACGTACGAAGTGCCGCACAGGGGAAACACATATACAGAAATGGCCGACGCACGTAGGGGGCGGCCATTTTGGATTTGCCGATGGCAATAGATTGATCGTAATTTTTTTGTTCGTACTCGATTCTAACACGCATGCGATTTATGAACTCGCTTAACCGGAAAAAAGGTGCGCGTTAGATTCAAGTAATTACGGTATGTCATTTGGTAAAATAATTTCAGCTGGAAGATTCTACCCTATTGCTAACTAAGGGCAACCCAGATCATTTGATGTGTTCTGCAATTGATGAACGACCATATGAGTTATGTATGTAATAAACAACTTTTTTTGTATTTTTTAGAGTTCACTGATATTTGTTTTGGTGTATGGGTCCTAAATTGGCATGGCATATTTGAGCATAGAAGATATAATGCACTGGTATGCAAGGAAACGAACAGAAGGAGTTGATGATTTTAAGGATTATCTAAAAAAGAATAATTTATGCGATACCTTATTCGTAACAACATTATGTTTCGACCATGATCAATAATATGTGAACCAAAGAGCCAGGTATTTATACTCATCGACCTCTGAGAAGGTGTTTTCATTTGCCCCATAATGAAAAAAAAGGTGGTTTCTTTTTGTGGGTTATTCGCATAAAGACTGTCTCGTCGTAATTAATAGCCATCTGCCACTGATCACACCATGATACGATTATTTGGAAGTTTTCATTTAAACTAAACTAATCTAACCTATCACAGTATGAAACAGAAATAAAATTGGGCAGATACACTAAGCATTATTTTCTTAGTACACTTCAAATAGCGAGTTCTCCAAATGGTAGGTTCCTTCCAAAATTATGAATGTCACATTACATCCCAAAGTAAACATGGTATTGAGACACTCGTAGACAACTAATTACCTGCTTGTTGCGCATGTCCTTGTCCATGTCTTTGTAAGCCAACCGCATCGAGGCAAGCTGCCTTGCCGCCTCTTCTGCATCCACAGCCGAAGCCGCCTGACTGGCACTAGCTTGGCTCGCACTCGCCGCACGAATCTCATCTGCCTTCTGTGCTTCGCGTTCAATGTCCTGGAAGTTGGCACTGACCTGCAGTATGCGTGGAAAAAATGAATCTTGTCTCATTGGTGTAAACAGACTTTTCCAACTAGAGCTCCATGCTAATAACCATAACACATTTTGTACAGTCGATCGCCCATTCGAACCCCGACGCTGACTCTAGAAATTTTCAACCGCAAAAATGACCATTCAAAGTCTACAGTAACCGGAGCTTTCCCACCACCCGTAATAACCATTCTGCATCTACGAAGACCACAATTTTCCCACCCCCAGAAATGACCATTCGATATCTACAAAAACCAGAACTTTCCCACCACCCAAAATGACCACTGTGCATCTACAGTGACCAGATGTTTCTGACCACCAAAATGACTATTCGACAGCTACAGTAACCAGAAATCTCCCGCCCCCCCAAAATGACCACTCTGCATTTACAGTGACCGAACTTTCCCACCAGCCAAAATGACTACCTTGTATCTAGAGTGGCCAGAAATTTTTGACCACCAAAATGACTGTTCGACAACTACAGTAACCGTAACTTTACATAAACCAAAATGACCAACCCACACCTACAGAGGCCAGAACTTTCCTACCACCCAAAATGACCACTCTGCATCCACAGTGACTAGAAGTTTTTTACCATTAATATGACCATTCAGCAAAGACAGTAACCAGAGCTTTCCCACCAGCAAAAATTACCGTTCGACACGTGCAGTAACCAACTCGACTATCCTATCCATATTGGTTATGACATTGCCTTCCTTGTTCCTTAATGCATACCAAACTATCCAACCTCTCAAACCAAGATAACAATTCGACATCTACACTGACCAGAAAATTTCAAGCCTGAAAATTACTATTCGGCGTTCACAGCAACCAGAAATTCTGGGCCACAAAATGACCACTCTACTTATAGCGACAAAAATGCTGCACCGTCAATATGCAAAATGGTCACAAAATCTGTAGATTGAGTCATACAACATCTACAATCTATTGAATCGATGGGTGCCGTGAAATGTGAATGTATGGAGCGAGACCAGATACCTTCTGCGCTCCGAGGCCCTTTCCTGGCTTCCGCTGGGCCTTTCGAGTTGAAGACGACGATGGTGCCGACGAGGAGCCAGCAAGAGCAGTTCCAGCCAAGGAGGCAGTCACCTGGATTGGCTCGGTCGGAGGTGGCTTGAACAGGGCACCCGGCTCGCACGTCTGCTGCTCGGCACTGCTCGCCCGGGCAGCTAGGGCTTCTTCGTGCTCTCGGAAAAAGTCGTGCTCCTCCTTGGAGTCCGGACTTTCTGGTGCGTGCTCATGATGATCCATCAGAGGCTGCAACGAGCAGGTTTGCCCATTCGTTCAACAACCACCAAAATTTGACCAACTCCGAACAGTGTGACACTCCCTACGATTTCAGACACACAAAGCAAACAGATAATGAAGCCAAAGAAAGTACAGTTAAGCATGCTTAACCCATTGCGGCACAGCATCCTCATTTGGAGACACGACTTACTTTTGCAATTTTTGTGCACAAGTACAGAGCTCACGGCGATTAAAATATTCTTGTTGACTGAACTCACTGGGTCACTCTTGGTTGAACTAACTTGCTACACACAATCACTTTTGCTGAAGGCAATACCATGTTTAACGAGACTGTACCATGTTGGATGTAGGGCATTGCAGCAAGAATATCAAAATACATTTCTTTACCCTTATTTTTACCTTCTTGTGGACACTCACTGCCCACAGGTAACTACTGCATATAACTTGAGTGTGGCTCATTGAATTCAGTTTATGAAAAAATATAGCATAACTGACAGCACTAAATTACATAATTATTTACACTATAGTCACGATTCCTATGAAATACACTATAATTTAGTGTAACACTCTCACTTGCTTTAAATTTTGTCTACAAAACCTTGGCATCAAATTATTCAAATTTCGAGCATGACAGTCGATCCTAATGCATGTCGCAAAGTGTATTAGCAAAGGGGCAAAAAGTGTGGCCCCTTCAACACTTTAGCTGAGGTTGGAGTCGTAATATTGCTAGTCACACTCAAGACAGGTCACCATAGACTTCACAAGAACAGCACAGTCATGCTACTGTCGTTTGCAATTGAGAACTTATGTTAAAAATCATTGTAAGTGAGCTAAACTGCACACAAAATGTTATTTGCAGGTTTTAATTCAAGCGTGACAGCCATGAAATAGAGCGTAGGCATGGAAACAAATGTGCCTTCAAAAAGCATGTGAGGGCTTATTCGTCAGATGCCTGCCTTTAAAGCTGACGTACTAGCACACGGCACTGAAGAGCAAAAACAACGCTGCCCAACACTCCAGGGATTGCACATACACAAATAACCAGGAGGGTGCGCAGTAGAGCAATCACACGTAATGCAGAGGCTGTGGGTTTCGTTCCCCACCTACAGCGTATCGGATTTTTTTTAAGACGATACTTTCTTCAGGATCTTTGACGCAAAAATTTTGGTCTGTGTCTCTGTCTGTATATTTGTCTGTTTGTCCACTCTTACCAGTACCGGGTACTTTAAACAACACAAGTCGATATGTCAAAGAGCCGACCTTATCCGCAGCGCCCAGCAATGTTGCTTCAAGATTCAGCATTCATACTTGTGTGATTGTCAATTAAAAGCAAATTATTGCACATATCTGAGGCACCCTAACACGTATATATTCTGTATGTGCGTCTTTTACTAGAAAAGGCATACATAAGTAATTCTAAGGACCAGAGCCTTTATCACGCTGCGCTTATTATGCAACGCTTGCACGAAAAGGCGAGTGTTTCCAACGCTTTGCTAAGATGACATGGTGGTGGCACCTACCCGTCGCCTTGCGTTCTACACCTTATCACCTCTGAGACGGCTCAGAGCAGCGGGTTTCGTTTTCCAAGAAAACTGCCAGATAGCGCTCATGTCTCACGTGAGACGTGACTTTATGCGCTCGTTCGCCTCTGCTGCACGCTCGAGGCACTCTAACAGAGCGCCTCCAGAATACCATTCACCAATTTTCTTGATCAGAACGTCAAAAAAATGTTTCGTTCACTCTCTCCACACACCAAGACTATCATCTTTCAGCGACATTTGCAGATAACATGCAGATATGGGGCAATTTTTTTCCCCTCGCTCAATCTCCACTCGTCTTCATTATAATCAACACTTCCTAAATTTAAATAGATGAGTAAGTTCCTCTATGCTTTTTTTATTTTCAGCATCTGTTGGCTGACCTTTTTCAGTACAGCAGATTTACAATTTGCCAGTCAAACCTACTAGTACTGCTGTTTAGTGGCCCTTATTAGGTTAGGATAGGTTAGCATGGCATGATTAGGTTAGTATAGTATGGTTATGTTAGGTCAGGTTAGGTAGCACCACATAAAAACAGCAATACATACACTGGTGCCATAAACGCGCATCGCTGTGGCAGACTGCTGGTGTATCTTTTCCCGATACAGCTGCGCAGCTCGGCTGTTGTACTTCTGTTGTGCATCTGTGCTTGTACAGCTATGCTGCTGGAAAAACGACACCTGCGAACACAAATGGAACAGTGAGCACACATCCACAATGGAGTCCGTTATGAATATTTTTGTAACTACACAACTACATAGGTGCAAATTACATTTATGACCAGTACCCATTATTACATCTTTCAACTATGATGCCATTTGAAAGGGCCCTGCAACACTTTTTCAAAAGCATGGTCAGAAAATGCTACCGATTTGCAGCAGAGGCTCCCGAAAATGCGCAAGGCAAATGTTTTAGCGCAGCACGCCACCTGGAATTCACCAAAAATTCTTGAGGTCAGCTAAAGATTGCTTTCTCTTCTCTCGACAGATGATGGGAGAAGCTCAGAAATCTCTTGTCACAGAGGTTATACCAGCCATTGGCCGATTTTAATATGGCATGCTTTGTCGTTACAGAGATCGCCCCTGGAGGCCACGACTTGTCCATGCGTGTGTGCACAATCACACTGAAAAGCTGAGTATTAGAAGAAGAAAAAAAAAAAAGAAGTCCTTAAGGTCACGAGGCACGTGTGACGTTTTTCTCTCCAGGCGCCATCCCTCCCTGCTTAGCTTCTAGCACTTTCGTCAGGACGAGAGAAGAGGGAATGCAATTGCAGCACGCGACAAATCTTTTCAACTTCACTCGTACTGGACAAATGCTAAAAATTTTTGCGGCGGTGAATTTGTGAGGCAATAAGCTCCTTTAGTAAATCTATTCTATGGCTACTCAAAAAAGTGTTTCAAGGCCCCTTTAGTATAAATTATAAAGTATTTTAAACTGTAAGAGCAGTATGCCACTTCTGACGCCACGTCATGAGCTTGAAGAGCACAAAAGGAATTGACTCCACACTGCTTGATGGTAACAAAACGCATTTATTTCACAAGTGCCGAGTATACCTGTCCTCTCAACGTAGTCCAATATGTGGCCTAAACTGGCACTCTGGGATCTCAGTCATCAACATTATAGGGCTTTCTACAATATTTACTAGAGGAAGCTGTAGCACTGTAATCACAGAGATGCCATGAAGATGATAGGTAGTACATGGATTTGCCTAGCCTTTGTGCTTGAGTTTTTGACACCCTTCCAGCTTTGTCTATTGAGCTTCGGCTTTTGTTTTGGATAAAATAATGGTTTAGTGTGAATCTAATTGGTCAGCCTAACTGTGTCAAGGTGGAGAAGTCAGACTTGCGAACATTTGCTAAACTTCGTCGAATAATGTGGCTGCAGGGTGGAAACAGCCGAAAGAACAAAGCTTAGACGAATCTATGTGCCACCTGCCATTCCAGTGCTGCTGAAGTGCCGTGCATTGCAAGTCCCATTGGCACTAATGCCAAGTTTTTCTCTGGTGGATTATTATGAAACTATGATCTACACTATGCAGCGTGTACAGACGGCACCACTGTTAAAGGAAACAACTGCGGGCATGGCATGTTTGGATTTCATTCTCTTGCAAAATCACAGCGACTTAGATTCACTTAAGACTACCGATGATTGGCAGTTTTCACTCCTTTTGGCATAACAGTGCTGTCCTTTCCTAATCCACTTGCCGTTAGAGGGCCTTAAATATGAAAATTGTAGTGTTCCCTTTAACAGTGAACCATACTGTACATGTGACAGCACATTAGGTGCCATGCTACAGTAGGGACCCTTTACTGTGAACTTAAAACCTGGCTCCAATGACAGCACAAATGATGCAGCTGCAAAACATCGTTCAACGCAAGCTATATGCAGTGCTTCCACATAGACGAGGGTGTAACGTAAGGGAGCAACTGACCGCACTGGCATTGCCGCCCACTTGCATGGCACGAAGTTGCATCCAGGTCCAGTTGGTGTCTAGCTGGGTGGACCGCACGAAGGACAAGTGCACGCCCAGGGACCGGTGGACTGCTGAGCAGTCCATGCAGATGAACACGCCATACGTGACACTGGCCCATGTCGGGTTCTTGGCTCCACAATCAAAGCACACCTGCACAGGCCGAGGAAGTCTCCAGATGTGACCCAATTATCCAGATACGTTTGCTATCTCTGGTGGAGGCTTGGGCTAACTAATTCACGATTGCAAAAGCAGGGTAATAGTGCGAAATTCGAAGATTTGCGAGACAATCAAGGGATGACAGCAGCGCTGACTAACAGATCATTTTATTCTGAAGATGTCTTAGTCTATCCTGGTCTGTGGCCGCTGGTATTGTCGACGTCATTGTAGTCATAGTAGTAGAAGTAGTAGTATTACGACATCATAGTAGTGGAAGTAGTAGTATTAATAGCAGCAATACTAATAGAAGTGGTAGTAGTAGTCATACCAGTAGTAGTAGTAGTAGTAGTGCCAGCACATTTGAAGGATGGCCATGTGGCCACACCATTCTTTCTAACAAAAATACTTCAGTAAAACCACTCTCACATAGTTACCTTCCAGCTCAATTTTTTTAGCAGAATCGCATGTGGTCAAATTTTGGGCTGGGGCATTTCACTTGGAATGACCCATCTTTGTTTTTATTGTTACTATTTTTGTTACCCTCAATCGCTGAAGCATTACAAAGGGGAGCAAGCTGCACATATAAAAATTAAAAACAATGAAATAAAACGTGTCATATTACACGAGAAACAAAACTAAATGAATTAAACTCTCTCCTCGATAAAGCACAACAAAACTGAAACGCTTTTAATAAGTTTTCTTTCCTCCCCTCTCTCTCTCTCTCTTCCACTTTTTCTGTCTTTTTTACCTGTTAATTTCCATTTAATTTCATTTTTCTTCTTTCCTTTTTTTCGATCTCACGCTTGCTTCCTCTCTTTAAGTTTTTATATGTGATGTTGCCTGCGCTATGCCAAGCAACGACAACAGCATACAATCTCAGCAAATGACGGCATACGACATTCCAATCCCTTCAAGTGCTCCGCACTTGAAAGAATTGAAATTTCGGCAGCCATGTGTGACAAGACTACACAGCACACATAGAGGGATGACACGCATACTCTTCAGAGCCTTCGTCCCGCTTTTTTACTTTTTTTTTACTTTTCATGCGACAGTTTTGCAAATGTGAACCCCCGTTGTTCTATTGTGTTTATCCAAGACTCCATCTAAACTCAGTGCGATGTTGCGCATACAAAACGGCTCTTTTCTGTGCAACTTATATTGATGTGTAACAGCACTGCAGACAAAAGCAAATTTTTCCCTAAATATAATTTACTGATGTTCATCAATGAATCTAGGACTCAATAAATTTAATTATGTTTCAGTATTAACGATGGTTGCCCTAAAGCTGTTGTAACGACTGCGCAGCTCAGTGCTTCTATCAATTACACCGCAGGATAAAAGTGCAAGATTTGTGAGGTTAATCAAGCATACATATGTTATCTGTAACATATATGAGTGAATTCATATTAACCCCTTGCTTCTGGTATAAAATGTACCATTTATATTCTACTGGTTCCAATTTAATCTGCTGTGAGAATTACATTTAACCATAGTACATAATTTTTGAGGAAAAATGAAGTTATGACCATGGGTATGACTGTAATAACCCCTGCTTTAAGCAATAGGAGTATTACGGCATATTTTTTTTTTTTTAGCACATTAAGATACTTGCCACTTTCAAGTGATACTGACAGTCCTGTAACAGCTAGGATGGTTCAATTTTCTCAGACTCATCATTAATTTTAACCAAGAAACAATGAGCCCAAACTAAGGCAAGTATAGCCATTCCACGCAACAACTCTAATGAGATCAGATCATTCGCTACTGTTGTGTAAACAATGTGCGCAAAATTCTAGCACCAAAGAAGACGGCAACAATTTCAACAGCTATTCGTGCATGAAAGAACCGCCATATGCCTCGTTGACTTTCTCATAAGTGTGAAATCTTTCACTGCTTTCCAGCTCAGAGACACATGTAAAGGTTTACAACAAAAGGTATTAAGACCAGTTGCAGCCAGTATTTTCCGTTCCGTTCACCCAGTAATGGTGAAAACGATTAAACTCTGGCAGGATTTAGGGTGTGTTATAGTTGAAAGCTCTGTGGTGTGTGCATTCTGTTCTGCATAGGTAGATCAGCTGTCCTGTACAATGTGGCACAGCTGAATCGTACTAACGTTTTACCGCTACATTTCTCTTCATTAGCGCAGTACTTCTCCAAGAATGCATTTTAGTTTCGTTTGCTATTCCGTCTATTTTTTTTTGTAAGTTGTGCTCATTAATGAGTGAAAGGTATGATGAATAAATGAATTGATAAGACTCCTAATCATTGCTGACACACTAAAACACGATTATCTTTTCACACTTAATCAACCGAGACGACTGCTTTGCCCGACTGACGTTTAAACGACCGCTGGTGCAGGATTTAGAAAATGCCAGCCAATAAGACGATGCTAATTAACTGCAAATTGCGAAAAAAGAAATATTGCCAATGTCGCACACTTGGTAGCGGCATTTCTTTAGGTTTGGGTATGCGCGAGTTCTGCTAGGCGAACAGAAAGCAGAACCGCCCAAGGTTACGTCCGCATTCTGACACAGAAAACAAAACAAAAAAAAAAAGAACCAGGCCACACAGTTGTATCGGCAAGGCGTCCCTTCGGATACCTCAGAAGTGCTACTGCACGCAAGTAACGGGAAAGCTGAGGCGCCGCGCAAGATGACATAGATACGGGACACATTGCAGTCTCATAAAAACGGATGAGCATATGGTAACAGGGCGACTTTGACGCAACCGTTTAGGAGTAACCGAAACTGAGATTAGGCACCGTCGAGAATTCTCCGCTAAACCGATCATACGTGAAGAACCTGGCGCGACGACCATGCACGACGTAACGTTGTGCGACGTGTTCTTCCCCGAGTACCAGGCGATGTCACTACGATAGCCCATACCGTGGTTGGGCAGTCGCATAGCGTAATCATGGCGGTGGTTCGAGCGGTACTTCCATAGGGACCCTTGTTTAGGTCCCCGTATGGCAAGTTTAGTTCGTCCGGACTTACCTTGTTCGCTGGTATGGACCGGAGACGCTTAAAAATCGCCGTTATATCAGATTTACTAGGCGCCTGATCTGCCATGTTGGCCGACTGCCTGTAGTGGCCAGACGGGAGAGACGGGTGCGCGCCGGCTTCGGCGGGATGTGTTGGCGCGTTGTTTTCTTTCGTTTTTGAGCGCGCGTGTAATCGTACGTACGACGATGTCGCTTTCGCAACCTTGCGAAAGAGGAGCCTGAGCGAAGTCGACTAGTAGAACAAGTTTTTTTTATTTTCTTTAGCGAATCTCGGTCCTCATCGAATGCGCTCGCTCTCTTTGATGATTGTATTTCGTTTGTCGTCCATTCCAAGCGGTCGTAACAAACGGCACACGATTAAACCCGATAAAAAAAAAACCACGCCGTTTATCGCCCGAACCAGCAGCACCTTCGTGCGGCGTTCATTTCATGAATAGACAAAAATAGCAAAGCACAATCTGCGCAAATTTTTTCCTATTGTGCGTCACAGCTGCGCCGGTAGCACGCATATGAATGAGTCAAAAAGCGTTGGAGCCGGTGCAAAAATTTATGAAAAAAAAAAGGATGAAAAAGGAAGCTAACGGGCGGGACGTTTAATTGATGAAAAGAAGGCTTCAAGTCCTCATCGTCGTGCGATTGAAGAACGAGGTTATACCCCTGCGGAGCGTAGTGCAGCTTCTACAGTGACGTGCCACACGTTTTGAGCGAAAACAATTGCGATAAAATAGTCTTTGCGACGTTGAAGATATTTCCATTTTTTTTTTCTTCTATGACATTCCAAACGCTCTCATCTAATAATATTTTCCTCAGGAGCCCTTAGCTTACACACGTTTTCATTTTTATGTCATGCACATTAATTTAATTTATAAACCTACAGAAAAACTTCAACAGCAAATTTCGAGCTTGATAATACCCTACTATTACTGTCCAACTGAAAGAAAAAATTCACCCACAATGCATTAGTAATAAAAGAAATACCAGCAATAAAAACATTTTATACTTTATTTAAAAAAAACAATTCCAGCTTCTTACATACATACACATGTATTATACATCAATTTGTAGATAGCAGCACAATTGATGACAATTGTTCAATTAAATAAATGTATCTGAAATTTACCTGGCACTACCATACACACAATTGAAAAATGGGGAGAATTAATAATGAACTCAATTAGATGTTAATTATTAAAGGGCTATATCAGCAAATTATATACCTTATATAATTCAAGCCCACAGCAGTCAGAAAATACGCTTCATTATTTGAACAACACAGAGAAAATGATTATAAGAGTATACATGCATCAGAACAAGCATCCACTGACACATGTGCATTCTAAAAAAAAATTAATTGTGACCCCAGAAACATTTACATTACAAAACACTGCAATTAATAAGCTTGCTATTTATAATAATTAGCAAAAAAAAGCAGCCAGGAAATGTGAAGGAAGAAATATTAATTTTGTTTTTCAATGGCTGCTATGCAACAGTAATGAATGCCGATACTGCTTCCATTATTTACCAATGGCTACCGTTGAACAGAACTAGTAGGTAAATTTTATATTTTCATGCGAAAGATAAGCAAGTGTGGAAATAATAACATAATAAGTAAAAATTACATACAAACGCGTTTGAAACAGATGTCTATCATCCTGGTTCTTGTGACACATCATGTCAAACTAGCGTCGTTATCGCTTCAATAAGCACAATCGTAAGAACCAATTTCAGCAAATGAGTGCACATTCTTTTTTGAGAGATTTGATCAATGACAAGTGTACGACTTCATAGCTCCAAGTCCACAATGCAAGTTTATTTCCTGTGGCATGGCAAGAAAAACAGTTGTTAAATACCATATTTAGTCCGTATAGCATGTGAGGCAAACTTTTAAATCATTACAGATAAACCCGACAACCTTCCAGGTAAAAAGCTCCGTTCCCGCTGAATTACTGAATTTTTTCGCCAGCTGGAGAGACTACAGGTTAAATATTACAGCTGTACACTTTACAACTCCTATTGCAGTGGATGAGTATCCAGCTGGACTATGGCCAAATTACCGCTGGGAACTGACAAAGTTTTAATCAGATATGCATCCACTTCAAAGTAATTAGTCTAAATGTAAGTCTTTTCATCTGGAAAGATTACGGGCTAATTTATCCAGCTGTAAATCAAGCTTTTCCATCTAGGTACCATTGACTGGTAAACTATTTGTTAATGGAGAACAGAAAATTAACTGGAAAAACATGGTAGCAAAAACTAAACGATAAGCATCAAGATGAAATATCGGTGGTCATCATCCTAACAATATCAGCTGCTCGAGAGACAAATATTTTCAGGCCGACACACACTTCTGCGTCAGGGCGCAAGCCGTTCAAAACCTTTCAAGAAACCTCTTGAACGACAGCGAGGTGTACCGGTACTCCCCAACAGCCTTGAACACTTGTCTCACCAGATCGTCATACCTGAAGGGAAGGGGCCTGAGGCAGTTCAGGCGAGGCTCGTCGCACTGTTCGTAGACAAACTCCTCCAAAGAAACGTGGTCCTCGTCTACGGGAAGCGGTTTGTCCCTGTCGGCGTGCTGGACGGCCACTTCTACACACTCGTCCCAATCCTCAACCATGAAGTCAACTTTGTCACAAAGATCGGCAAACAATTTGTTGGCGACCTTGGAGTTCACGGCGACACACTCGGCCAGCACTTCTCTCCTGAGCCTCTGCACCTCATCAAACTCTTTCAGGTTGAGCCTGTGGTCAATGTGAGTGAAGTTGAGCACTTGCAGACAGCGCTCTGCAATAGACAGGAATGAAGTTGATTGTTTTATGTACCATTGAGGTTGCCGACAACTCCTTTTATGAGAATGTGAATGCCACTGAAATCGGTTGCACTTGTATGACGAGCTATTCCCTGCATACTGTAGAATTACTCATTGTCCCCGATTTATGATTGTTAGAACACACAGTACACAAAGGGAGACTAAGGAGCAGAACGAAAGTTCAATTTCCCCATACACAAAACAGCACTCTTGCTGTGACACGATGTGTGGTACGCGAGAAAGCACACAAAAAGAAAAGCAGGTTGACATCATCTCTGCAATAACTTTTCTCAAGGCATTAAACACAACCTGCTATTTCTTTAGCTCAATATTTTTTCTAATTCCTTTTATTACGTAGAGCCTATAGCACAAGTTAATTTGGGATGCCTTTATCGACACTGACGAATTCCACCATATTGTTCAATTTCACAATGGCAAAATTTCTAGTTGATCAGAGAGGCTGTAAAAGCCCTGTAATCTAATCAGGGCCAACGAGATTGCAAATTCGACAATACGGTGAAATTCAAGTGTCAACACTCCGAATCAAGCAACATTCTTAATCACTTCAATTTCTTAGTACAGGCTAATATTACTTGTGCGACGAAACGTCCAAATAAGTAGTTAGAAGAAGTCAGTAAGAAACTTTCACTTGCACAAGGCGTCACAGCATGCTCTGCACCTCGTGAAACATGCACCCATAATTGCGCAGCATAAAGTTTTGGCTTTATGAGAACACTACAGCTTCAAAAAACTTGAAGTACATGCCTTTAGTCTGCTCTCCTAAGATGTATGTATGTCAAAAAATTTCTACTATGAGAATGCAATCTTCTGATTGCCACCAACAACAAAAGAGCATCTTCTGCAATGTTGATTGAGTAATAGGCTTGTTTGAAGCTGTAGTCTGAATTGAGGTACATCAGTGACTAAAAGCAAAATAGGGACGGAATTCCAGCATTGTTGTAAATATATCTTGAAATGGCTTTAGAAACACATTTTGCAAGAAAGAAATGCTGGGTAACACGTTCATGAAAGACGTTATGCTCAAGCAATTTATTAACACAAAGGGGTTGAGCAGTTGTTAATTACTAAAACAAAGTGAACATGAAATGAACTCTACAGTTCTAGCACCAGAAAGTGAAGTAGCAGGCTGAAAGGCCATGCTACTGTGCAAGCACGTCTAGATTTGGGAAAAAACACAACCACAAAAATCGAAACCTTACCGTCTTTTTCACCTTCATATCTCCGCACTGTTATGCCATTGAACATGCACATCTGGAATTTATGAAGGTTCACGCTCGTTTCTATGGGGGGCAGGCGCACTGGAAGTCTGTTTCGCCGGGAATCTTCAACAGTGGCCTCGAATTGGTAATCATCAAATCCCACCACACTGAAAAAATGTAGAATGAGAGACCGCGCAGCCTCAGAGTTCTCACAAGTTCGCCGCTTTCATCTCTCTTTACTCAGAAGATTGTCGAATTGAGAGGGTTGATTGGTGCACCATGATTATGAGTGTATATCAATGCAAACAAGAGGGGACTCAAGAGGGAACACAAAGTGCTGAACTTCTAACAATTGACTTTTTAGGGACAGCCTTAATTAGCTTCTTATACAGTTTACAGTGTTGCAACAACAATGTGCAGAACATGATGACAAAACAAGAATGCTTCATGTGGACAAACATATAAGTTTTAGTCATTGCTGTTTTTCCTAGGTGAAAAAACAGCAATGACTGGCAATTTTGTTAGGTTGTATCCGAGGAGCATACGAATGTACACGGGGAAAAAGAGGATTGTCAATCCGCGATTGAGTGGCTCCCCTCTCTCTCTCTGTTCCTCAGCCAGGTATTTGTTCATAGATGTCTGGAATAAAGACTCAGCCTCAGACTCGGGTAGCTGGACCATGTTGCAGGAAGGTGCAGCGGCTACAGATCACAGTCACGTATGCACGGGCAGCTTCCACTTAGGGCGAAGGGGGGTCAGCAGCCCCCTTATTGTTTCTTTTTGCCCCCCCCCCCTCTTCCGCGAACAGCAAAGATATTCAATGCACAGCGCATAAGTTTCCAGCCTCCCTAGCCCCTTCCCCCCTCTCCATGAAAAAAAAAATCCCTGCAACGCCCCTGCACACACGATATGACTTGCCGAGAAAAGCGACCGCGACAGAGACTTGCCAACATGCAAAGAATTTTATAAGTGCCAAACGAACAGCTTTCGTGATCCGGCCGCGACAGAGACTAACATGAAACAGCTCTCCATAAATGCCAAACTAACATCTTCCGCAGTTATGAATGGAATGCTGCGCGATGAAGCTGACGATCTTACGTAGTACGTACCATCCAACGATCTTGACGTATCGTCCCAGCTCGCCCTGAAGCACGTCTTCGAACTCGACGAGGTTCATTGCTTTGTAATAGCTCTACGCCACAGAACACCTACTCTACCTACGCCTTATAACGAGGCGAATCGCACGGCCTTCGACGAGCTAACACGCTAATACGGAATCGAAATGCAGAACTTTACATTACGAATACAGCTGACGTGCAATTTCTTCCTCAATGACGTACAAGTTTCCCGCCAGACCCATGGTTTACCGCTGTTACAAGCATTGGCACCACAGAACATACTACCTTAAAACCACTGTGCTAACTGCAAGCTATCAATAAGCTTCCTTTATTTGTTGTACAAAAAGTCGTTTTGTGGTATTCCAGAAGTTTTATGAGTATATTGTGCTAAAATTTAGCGAATCTACTCGGTACTAAAGGGCGATTAGCCCCACCACACATATCATCATCATAAGCGGTAGCGCACAGTATGGCGGCTAGTTAGACAGTTTAAAGCGGTGAAACCTGGTGAAACTATGTGAAACCTTGAAACCATAGAGTTAATATAATCTGCGTGTATATTAACTGTATGCTTGAAGCTCCGTCGGTGGCATTAAGCAAGAAATCTCACCACCAAAATGTTGACACTAGCATTTTTTTTTTTTTTTTCGTTTCCAAGGAAAGACGTAGCGCTGATCTTCTAACGTTCTGAATTCAAGCAAATATCTTTTTCTGTTACTCCATTTATTCTTGACCCAATTTGTGAAGGTAAGCACGGCAACTGCTCAATTTCAAAAGCACGTGTCGATTCGCCTGTGTTTTTTTTATTTTTTATTACAGTTCGTTTCTCCTGGGCGCGAAACAGCGCGATTCGGAAAATATGCGAGTGTTTAGCATCCTTCTTTTCTCCATACGTGTACGAATGGAAACCTGGCGAGTTTTCGTAGTTAAACCACATTGTTTTCCTCTAGTGACATGTCTTTACTATTTCTCCTCGTGCACATATTCTCGAAGTAGACAAACCCAAGCATGGTTGCACTCAAGAGAGAAACGCTTAAAAAAAACCTACTATGTCCCGACTTTGCAATATAAGTGCAGTCATTTTCAATTTTGCCAGGATATTGTTGCAGACGTAGTAGTTCACAGTAAAATTGCCCAAACTATCTTCGTTCCCTTTTTCGTCGTCTGTATTTTGCTTTTGTTTTGGTGGCCTAACGGCAAAAACCAGTACAATCTTTTGCGTTGACTCCTCACTATATACGAAAGGACGCGCATGCAGATGTCCTTCGAAAGGAAAACTCACAAGTCATCAAGGAAGACAATCGAAAACAAAAAGTGCGAAGTGTAACTCTTAATTCCCAGTTCTTTATCAGGGACACAAGCTTTGAACACGTAGGGCTGTCTTTAAAAAAGCTACTGATTTTAGTGTTCATTTTTTTTAATGCCCTGCATATGTACCAAGCACCATAAAACATTCAAGGCATATGAATGATGATGATCCTTATAAATTGGCGCACACCCGCAAAGGGGGATTGGCCAAGAACTGGGCGGCAGGATCGACGAGAAGTTAAAGGCTTCTAGTTTTCCGCGTGAGGGGTAGACCGGAAAAAGAGAACGACAAAGACAATGTTGTGTTGGATTGTGTTCGAGCGAGTGGTTCTTGTACGTTACATTTGGTGGCAGCAGTGACAACTTTAGCCCATGTTTACAAGGAGTAAGGCTGTCGCGATGACAGAAACAGTCAGCACTTTGCAGATGCACCCTACGGAAGACAACACGTTGTCGACGGCCCTGGAACCTCCCGTCCCGACTACGTGGAAAAGCTTGGCACAGGCCGCGGGAACCCCAGTCTCATCACACGTCCCGCCACCAGCACCCCATCAGCCTCTTCTATTGGAGTTTGATGTCCAGGATACACCAAATCACCCTCAAACAGTCAAGCGCTGGTGCCAGTTTACTTATACCTGACTGCGGGCAAGCCCTTGTTTCACAAGGTGAGGCCGACAGACGAGCCCTTATGAAAGATTTTGAAACTAGCTTCGCTACCCGCTTGCTCTCTCTTGAGGCCACCCTCGCCCAACGCGCCCCGATGGCGGATGTCATTGTCGGCCTAGCTGCCCGGCTCTCCGTCATTGAAGAGCAGTTTGGCCTTCAGCAATGTGTGTCTACCGCAGTCGAACGAAATGTTCCTCTGCCAGCTCAGCCTTGGTTTTTCGGAGCACAACTTCCACCACTTACCTTCAATGGCACCATGTCGTGGGCAGCATTTTTGGTGCAGTGCGAGTCCGTTGCTGCCGTAAACGGCTGGACAGTTCAAAATAAACCCCAGGCGCTCATCGTGCAGCTCCATGGCGCCGCAGTTGAATACCTAGAGTACATCCCGCAAGTCGTCCGTTCCAACTATGAAGCTCTGGTCTCGGCGCTGGAAGCCAGATTTGGCAAAAGTCATCTTCTTCAGCTCTACCTCACACAACTGAAACACGTCCGGCAAGGTCACCACGACCTTCAAGAGCTCGCTGCTCGTGTCGACAGCTTGTCCCGGAAGGCCTTGTCGGGTTGCCCTACCGCAACCATGGGCCTTATTGCTGCTAATGCCTTTGTTGATGCCATTAATAACAGAAGCGTCCAGCACTTCGTGTGCCTCGCTCGTCCGATTGACGCACGATCAGATTTAGCTGTCGCTCTTGAGGCAGAGATACAAGAACGCTCGCAAACAGCTGAGGATCCATACTGGAGGCCAACATACACGGACGCACCATCCCGGACCCGGCATTTGGCTCCTACTCGGCTTCATAATCTAACAGCGGTACTCCGGGGCTACCACTGCCACGATGTTGGGCATTTTGCTCAGAACTGCTCTCGGGTGATCGAGTCCCTGACAAATTCAGCTCCTCCTAAGCAGTCTTTCTCAGGAAACTACGATGCGGGCCATCGAGGGCAGGACCCCGCATGATGGCTGAAGCCCCGCTTCTTTCACTTGGCCCCTTCACCTAGATGCCAACTCTGTTAGTGAAACTTGGAGATCTGCCCCAGCACGTTGAAGCACAAATGGACACAGGGGCTGCATTCAGTTTTTTAGCGATGAGTTTCTTGTCTGGAAGATTTTCGTTGAGCCCTGAGCAGGTCGATCGACCCCATCTCGTCCTAGCTGATGAAGCCACTCTACCTACTCTCGGCGAAGTCTGCCTGAATGTGTGTGCGCTTGGGAAGGCAGTGAGACAGCGGTTCCTTGTTGTCCCAAACCTGTGTGTGCCAGTGATGTTAGGCGTGATTGGAGCGCAGAGTTTGGCATTAGTTTGCAGTTTAATGGCACTGATTGCACCACTGAACTGACATCTACCGATTCGAGCAAGTCTTGAAACTTCCAATAAAGCTTGCTTTAGGCAGTCGTATTTCCCGTTGAGTCATGCCATTTACAGAACTGTTGACAAAGCGCGCTCCGTGCTCACTGACAACTACCGCATGATGAAAAGTCTGATGATTAAATTTTTTTTTAAAGTCTGCATTCGAGCAACGGGCACAGATACGACCGTAGGTACGAACAGAAGTGAACAACCTGAAATTTGAAAACCATCCCTGCTTTTCAATCCTGTGATTACGGCAACCTCAGTTAGCATCCCCTTGTCGTCTGCTGCATGGGTTCCTGTTTACAGCCCCGACAAGGACATTCTTGTAGAAAGTACCATTTGCATCTGGCCTGTAGGCGAATTCGCAATGCCGCAGGCCCTCCATCGCTGTTCCTGCAAAACCTTTGCAGTGCTTGTCTTCAACCTGTCCAACATTATCCTGTGCGTGCCGTCAGGCACTGTCCTCGGTACCTGTACTTACCTTGAAGCACCGTCTGTCGTAGCAGTAGTACAGCCCGTAGCACCTTCGCCACCAACTGCATCACCCTTAGACTGCAATAAATTCAACTTCGGCCTCAACTTGACACCATCACAGAGAGCTGAGAATCAAGCACTTCTACGGAAATTCCGTGACTACGTGGCAATGTCACCCAGTGAGCTCGGCCACACTCCTTTGGTGCAGCCCAGAATCGACACCGGCTCTGAAGTTCCTCACCCGCGTCAATTCTCTGCCTCTGAACGCGCAGAAATTGCTAAGCAAATGGATGACATGCTTAAGTGTGCTATCATATCGCACTCGTCTCAAGTCCGTGGCCGTCCCCCGTAGTTCTTGTGAGAAAGAAAGATGGCACAATTGGTTTCTGTGTTGACTATCGGCGGCTAAACAGTGTCACCAAGCCTGATGTGTATCCGCTTCCTTGTCTTGACGATTCCCTTGACCGCCTGCATGGTGCCTGTTTTTTCACTACACTGGATCTTCTTTCTGGCTATTGGCGGGTGGAATTAGACCCGAATGACGCTGAGAAGACCGCCTTTATAACTCCGGATGGCCTATACCGGTTTGACCGCCTGCCATTTGGTTTCTCCAATATTCCAGCTACATTTCAGCGATTAATGGACAAGGTTCTTGGGCATCTCAAGTGGTCGGTGGCTTTGGTCTACTTAGACGACATAATTGTCTATGCTCCCAGGTTTCCCAAACACCTCAGGCATTTGGAAATGGTCTTGCGTGCTCTTCGAGACGCTTGCCTTAGCATTAAACCTTCCAAGTGCTTTTTCGGCTTTTCGTAAGTTAGTTACTTGGGGCACATAGTCAGCGCCAAAGGCTTAAGCCCTGATCCCACAAAGCTCCAAGCCATTGCCTGTATTCCGCCTCCCACCACGGCTAAGCAGCCTAAAAGTTTCTTGGGCTTCTCTTCATATTTCAGGCGCTTTGTCCGTGACTTTGCTTCTCACGCGGTACCTCTCAACGAGCTACTGAAAAAAGAAGTTCGCTGGAAATGGGGACCCGACCAAGAAGCTGCCTTCCGCGACCTCAAGACTTTCCTTCAAGCACCACCAATGCTCGCACATTATGACAAGAATGCCCCGACGATTCTACACATTGATGCCAGTGGTCTTGGCCTCGGAGCTGTTCTCTTGCAAGTCAACGAGCACGGGCAGGAGAGACCGGTCGCTTATGGTAGCTGTCAGCTCAGTGAACCAGAGAGCCAATACCATGCCTCTGAACTTGAGTGCTTGGCGGTAGTTTGGGCAGTCAAAAAATTTTGTCCGTATGTTTATGGTAAAAGCTTCACGGTCACTACCGACAACGTCGCCCTTTGCTGGCTTCAAACGAAAAAAGACCTCAATGCTAAGTTCGCCAAGTGGGCTCTCAAACTGCAAGATTACATCTTTTCTATTGTCCATCGCAGCGGCGCTCGCCACTACCTTTCTCGCCACCCGACAGCTTTCAGCAACATCTCCCCAGTCTCTGCAGTGCTTGATTTACGAACTACACAGCTACAAGACGCAGAAATCGTCGATATAACTTGACGACTATCCGGGGAAGTGCGCACACCCAAGCGTCGTCGTCAAAGTTTTTCTGCGTCGTATGTCGTCCGAGAGGGAATTCTTTAACACCGAAATTATCCGGATGGGTCGTGTGTGCCTGTTGTGTTGATAGCCATGCGACAATTGGTGCTATTCATGTGCTACGACATTTTGACTGCTGGTCACCTCGGGCTGCGCAAGACGCTGGCACGCATCAAAGAGAGGTTTTGGTGGCGGCGCATGCACAGTGACATTTCCCGCTACGTTTTGTCATGCACAGTCTGTCAAGCACAGAAGGCCACCACAAGTCCCAACTGGTCCCTATGCAACCTATCCCTCCTCCGGAAACACCTTTTGAGATTCTGGGACTTTATCATCTGAGACCAATTCCACGTATGTCGCGCGGCAACAAGTTTCTCATCGTTCCCGCGGACTATCTCATGAAGTGGACCAAAGTCAGGGCCATCCCTGAATCTTTGACTCTGCACGTCCTTACGTTCATCAACAAGTGCGTCATTTTTCGACACAGGACGCCACGCTTGCTCATCACTGACCGTGGCACGGCCTTCATGTCCCGCGCATTCAGAAACCTACTGAATGACCAAGGAATTCGGCATGCCACGGCCACTCCTCAGCACCCACAAACGAATGGTCTGGTGGAACGTACAAACCGTACCATAAAGGACATACTGTCGTCTTACATGAGTCCCAGTCATAATAACAGGGACGAATACGTTGCCACAGCTGTATTCGCCCTCAATACGTCACAGCAGGCAATCACACGGGAGTCACCGTTCAAGCTTGTCTATGAAAGGACGCCAAGGCTTCCGCAAGAGAGCTTCTTTGGTTTGAACACAACAAAGCAAAACCGTCTGGATGACACCAGTACTTCGGAGCTTCTTCGGAAGGCTCGCTTTAGAGCGCACCTGGCCATAGCGCATCATCAGGCGAAATTCCGCTTGCCTTCCGACGAAAACCACACCTTTTTCAAACCAGGAGACCTAGTGCTGGTTCGATGCACCCACTGTGTTCCACAGTGTTGCCAGAAGTTTTTTCTCCGGTATGCCGGCCCATGTCGCATGGTGAAAGCCCTAGGCCCTGTTACGTTGGGAACTGAAATACGGTTGGGAACTACGCGGCACCAATATTTGAACCACGAACCTCTTGCATGCGAGGCTGATGCTCTAACCACTGATGCCATCATCAGGCTGATGCCATCACCGCGACGCTAAACATGCGTAACAGTCCATAAAAAATTAATAATCGCATTAACAAGACAGCATTGAACAAAGGTGTCGAACCTCCTTTTCACCAAGGGCCATATATGGTTTACTTGCACACTTTTCTCCTTCCCTTTCAACGTAAACCACTGCCTTCCCCCGCCCCGCTCAGATGCAGGGCCTTCATTGCTGCATTTGGGGAAGGGGGCGGTGTGCATCTATGTGGTCTCCCTAGAAGGGTCTGTCTGGCAGTGCCAGACCTGGCTGCAGCGATGACATCGCAAGCAGAGTACGCTAAATGCTGGTGGCGAGTGCCAAGTCTAGTCATTTCAGTTAGCATTCCTCTCTAGCGTGCACTTGATCTTATTGCTTTGCATCATGCTCATGCCGCAGTATTTGAGTGGTTACGTTGTGTAGAATCAGTGGTGGCATTTTGCAACATACTAAGCAAAATTCAATGTGACTGCCCTCGACAGACAAGACTTCATGCAGTTGTGCATTTTGCATCATCATTATTCCTGGCGTTGCATCTGTGATTACATAGTTGGAGCTCTGAAAACTTCAGTTCCATGTGACTGGAACCATCAGCAGTTCTTTCAAATTCCATTTATGTTAGGCACGGTTTAGTTGGGAGAGAGAGAAAAAAACAAAGGCTAGGTGGTTAACCAGATACTACGATATGGTATGCTACCCTTTAATGGGGTTGGGGAATAGTGGTTGAAAGAGAGGGAGATAAAAACAAGAACAAAACACAGACACACACACAAACAAAAGCGATCCACTCAGAGTCGTTCAGACATTATAGTAGTTCGCAACAAGCTCAGTAGCACTTTTACTGCCTTCTTTTGTGACATTGAGTATGGGCGATGATGTAATATTCTTTCCTCTTACAGAAGCTGGTCATCTAACTTGTTGAGTGCATTACAAAGAGATTGCCTCTGTGCACCATTCAGTTGGTGATTGTTTTTCATTATATTTAAGATTTACTGATTGAGATTTTTTTGGATAGTATATTTATGATGTGTACGGTGTGATCTTGGCAAGGTAGTCTCTCAGCATTCGGTTCCTCCACATTTTTGTCCTCTGGGATATGGGCGAAGCATCACTGCTTTTTGCATATTCGTACGATTTTATCTTAAGGTCACTTGCACTTACTTTGAATGACTGTATCTACCTTATTGTTCACTACATATTTTTAGTGAATATATATATATAGTAGATTACAAAAGGGTTGTCTTCGGTTGCTACAAATAGAAAAAAGGTGTACTCTAGTCCAAAACTGTTTACCGGTCTCTGATCGAAATATCAACTAATACATATATATATGGTGTTCAGAGAAATGTGTTCAATATTATTTAAAAATTAGACAGGCACCTGTGTGCCGCATGCGACATTTCCTTTACTGTGGATGTAGGTATCTTCAGATGTGTACAGACTATAACTACGGCAGAAATTAGAGAAACTACAGCACTTGACTTTTTAACCAGTGTGAATTGGTGGTCCAGTCAAATGGGCGAATTCGAGTTCTTGCTACGAATAGTCCACAGCCACTTTGAAATTTTGGAAAAGCGGCCACTTGTAGTTACTGCCAGTCGTTGAAATCTGGCTAATTTAGTAGGAAGAATCGAAGCCTACGCGCAAAATGGCGCATCTATTATTCACCTAGAAAACACACCCAATGACAGCACTGTTTCCCTCCCATTGGGGGAGGAGAATGAGCCAGCGCAGATAAGCGGCCACAAACTAAAGTGTTTAGATTGACGGTTGATAATGACGAGGGAAACAGTGTCATCATTGATGGCATTTTAGAAATTAATGGTACATGCGCTGATTGGTGCTTCAGTTTCGCCTGCTAAATGAGCGCTGTTCTATCGCTCGGGTATCAACATCCTATACAATCCCGACATGTTTGGGTACCATCATCCTATCTAATCAAAACATGCATACCCTAACTGCAGTGCAAAAGAAAAGAAATAAACGACTATAGTTTCGAAATTTCCAGTTTTTTTTTTTTTTATTGCATGCAGAATGCTTTTTAAGCCAAAGTTGCTGTAGTGCAGCGGTGGCTTGCAAAAAAAGCTTGCTAAGATTTTTAAAAAAATATTAGTACTAGCTAACATCAAAAGGCACAGCACATTTTATTCCTTAAAATGGCAGTAAACAATCCAAAGATCCAAAAACTGTTATAAAGAGAAATATGTGCACTTTTGATTTGCGAGCATGCTGCCGCAAGAATTATGCAAAGACGAGCTATATTAAGAACGTTACAGTGATTAGAACATCGGTTTCAGCTGGTTTCAAATTTCCGCGTGACCTTGCCACACTTCTCCCTCACAGAGAGGAGAAAGCATAGCCTGTCTTCGTGACTGGTTTTGACCAATCAACGTGCTGTGTGCTATGTCAAGTCGCTGAACAGTGACTTTGCATCACTGCATCTGAAAAGAGAATTGGCCAGGCGTAGGAAAAGAGCACAGGAATTGTTTTTTGAAATGGACGCTCTACACTGCACACAGCACAGTAATATTCGGAAAACCGTGATAGGAGCGGTCTACTCCACGAATTGCCGAGCTTTTTCGGGGGGTGTAAAAAAAGCCTTTTGACTGGCCATTTAACTACTATATGTACATGCATCCTATAGTTACCTGTGCTAGTATGATCACTGACATATAAATAATTATGGTCAATAATCCAGAGCTGTGTGGGATGTTTCTGAGGGTCTGGGCGACAATGAACAGAAGCACACCCTAGTTTTCCACCCCCACTCGTTCCTACTTTACAAATCTTCCGAATTTAGAGGTCGCTAGGGTGCAGGTCCAGATTAGCACTCGCTGTGACTGTCAAATAATTTCATGCTGATAAAACTAAGTTTTTTTTTTCTGAACCTCCTCCGAATTTCAGTTTTCTGTCACGAAAAGCAACATCTTGCAGCTCCAAAATTTGCTGTGTATCTTATTTTGGCTGTCGCACCATTGCATTCAACCAATCAACTGCTAATGTTGTGACTACTTCCAAGAAAAAATATTAAAGTGAATAATTAATAAAATATTAGTTATTTATTAATTAACTTTCAATAAATTAAGGCTATAAAGCTGAAACTCTGTCAGTGCTGTCTTTCTTCTCTTTGCAGTGAGAGTGATGTGAGGCCCGTTTTGTCTGATTAATTTCAGGGAGATGACATGCTGCGTAGCCTACTGCAAGTCGGGCAGGGAAAAAGAAGCTTGGAGTTAGCTTTCACGAATTTCCGGCAAGTGAGACATGCCTGCAAGCCTTGTTGAAGGTTATATCAAGGAAAGATTTCGTTCCAAATGAAAATTCCAACAACAGCCTCGTCTGCAGTCTGCACTTGGTGGATTCCGATTACTCGTGTTCCACAAGTAAACGACGCCTCAGGCCGGATGCGGTGCCTAGCGTTTCTGATGGCTACCCACGCTACATGCAGCCTTCTCCAACCAAGAAACGGCATAAAATAGTGTGACATCTTTTGATCCCTCATAAGAAAACTGTTAAACCAACATTCCCTAAGGAAGGAAACAAAAAAAATGTGGCTCACGATTTCCACAACAAGGATTTTAGCACATCAGTTACTTCGACAACCATTTTGTCGAATCATCCGTCAACCACAACAAGGCTAAGTCCTGAAGTTCTGACACCACCCACCAAGCTGTGGTTTCAGTAGAGGCTGCTGTACAAGTTCATTGTCGTATGCCACTTAACCCTTCCAATACCAGGGCTGTAAATCGTATCAGGGTACAAATATCCAGGAATAACAAGGCCATTCAAAAACTACAGGAAGAAAATAAACAACTCAAAAAGAAGCTTGAGATGTTTGAATATATATCACAGTGCATCGAGCGGGGCAAAAGTATTAGCTTAGAGGGGACAGTTCAGCATTTTGTAACTGATTGATCAAATCTTGAATGCAGGGACACCTCGTCCAGCGTGGTCCTCAGATCGGATGAGGAAATGTGTGGTTTATTATTGCCCTATCCCGAGGGCATATGCGCTAGAGGTCTGACAATACTTTCATCAAAAAGTACCTTGTTGCGCTATGTTGGCAAGTCGTTCAACGACAGTGGCGTCACCCCACCAGCGAATGAAGTCAAGAAAGAAGCACGGCTCTTCTCACTCATGGTGGACGACTAACTGCACTGCTCCAGTTAGCTCATTCGCACTTATCCGGAAATTTTCAAGAATACTATAAATTATTTATGAACACATCTACATCCAGAAACAGCATAGGCACATTGGTAGCTTTATTCTGTCCTTTGACAGATATCGGATGGGCGTTTCGTATACCTCACCAGTCATCATCAGTGACTGCGAGCTAGCAGCGATTTATGTTGCCCTTATGTATGTGCTGGAAGGATTGCCAACATGGAAGGTTGTCATCCTTACGAATTCTCTTGGTGCCAATGGCAGACTCACTCAAAAATACATCAGCAGCCCTATTCTGTACACCATCGTAGAATCTGCTGACAAAATGATTTCACATCGTAAAGTGTTCCTCACTGCCCGATGGATCCCTTCGCATGTGGGCATCGATGTGATCACCTTTCTTCAAGTTGTAACCACGATGAGTGTGGCTGCCTGAAAATTTTGTGTATGATGGACAATGCTCGTCTGCTTAAACAGTGACACCTCTTCTTGCAGCTCCTAGACCACCCTGTTTTGAACGGATCGTTCCCTCCCTGTGCTTGTGGCTTGGTTCTGTGTTATTACGCGAGGGTATAGACTTTTGAGGATGAGTGTACGGTCCAGTCTGTGCATATTGTGACTGTCATAAAACATTTTAACGTTTTATATCACACTGTCCCAAATTCGTTACGTAGCACACTTTGCCGACTAAGGAATGTAAATGTTTTGGATATAAGTGTGCAACCATGAACTTTTTCCTCTTTCTGGCCGGGTGTGCTTTCGACGCAGCCAGATCCATCAAGCTCCGCTGACTTTAGTGGACCTAACAGATGTGGTCCCGTTTATATATGTTTTTTGTGTGTTTTTACTTAGTTTTGTCTAAGTCTTTGGCTTTTTGTTCTTTAGTCTCCTATCGTCCTTTGCTGTATTTCTTCTCTTCTCTTGAAAAAGTAAGCAGGCATTGCGCCCTTCTTAGTGGCATTTTACAGCCGGCTCTCTCCTTTGTTCTTCTGTATTCATGCATCAATCAACCAATGATGTGTGTGTGAACTATTTATCATTGGTTTATCAACCAATGATAAATGGATGTGTGGACTGCTTTCCTGTGCAGTTCGATCGCCTCACTGCGCAAGGGAACACAGGGTTTGAAAACAAGGCAGTTTTCTATATGGATACAGATTTGTTAATGGCCTGCAAATTACGATGTCATTTTTTTTTAGGGGGGGGGGGGGGATTTTGCTCGCCGAGCTTCTTATGCTCGTGCCTTGTTCGTTGTCAGCAAGGTGTACACTGCTTCTCATTGCTGCTGCTAGAGGCCGCGCTGTGCTCTCTCGCAACTGCGCTCTCTCTGGCGAGTCACGCAAGTGGCATCGTGTGCTCTAGTTACATAAATGACTGCTAGAGGGCCACGTGGCACCTGTATACAGCGCTCGCGTTTGGTGTGCTTCCTTTCTCTTTACTGAGAGCTCACACTGAACACTCTTTGTTACTGATCCTCAGTGTGAACACCCTAAAAGCCAAGGCAGGAGTCCGGGCTCGCTGTGAAGCGAACCCAGAGCTGTGGGCCAGCGAAGCAGAAGCGGAGCGGGCGCGCCACCAAGCAAATCTGTCATGTCTTTAAATGATTGTATAGAGGAATGTGTAGGAAGGATTTGTGGGTTACCCAATTATCTCAGAGCAAGCTCCTCTAGCATCATTCACTTTGTGCATATAGCAGCTATTTTTACAAATAAGTTGAGTGGTACAAAGTTGATTTTGATTGATATGTGTGGTTTAACGTCCCAAAGCCACCATATGATTATGAAAGACGCCGTAGTGGAGGGCTCCGGAAATTTCGACCACCTGGGGTTCTTTAACGTGCACCCAAATCTGAGTACACGGGCCTACAACATTCCGCCTCCATCGGAAATGCAGCCGCCGCAGCCGGGATTCGATCCCGCGACCTGCGGGTCAGCAGCCGAGTACCTTAGCCACTAGACCACCGCGACGGGGCTGAGTGGTACAAAATTGTATAACCCAAATCGTTTGATTGCTGCAGTGGAAAAATATGGACTCCTAATAATAGCAAAATAAATGATACTATGATGCGCCACTTCTGCAATGGTACTCTGAAACAATTTATAATACATTCATATGATGCAGAAAGCAGGTTGGTCTTACCTTTTTGAATGGTGCCATGTACTATAGAAACGTTCGAAGTATCTTTCTGGAAGGCGATGTGATCAATGAATGGAAAGCTACCCATAATGGGAAAGCTTAATTTTGAAACAGCTTTACAAACTCCAAAATGACGAGGCTTTATTAAAGCCCTTTCAGTTCTTCACACAGAGGCATGTGGAACCTAAAAACTTTGAGGTGATCAGTATCAAAAGATATGTGCAACTTTCTGCAGTAGCATTTCTAAAGGACTGCACCTGTTATCACCCAAAAGCATAAATGTTACTAAATGATAGTGCAACACTGGATTTCTTGTGAATAATGCAAAGGTAGTTTGAAGGGGTATGATAGGGTACACTGGGTGTCTTGGTTTCAGCTTTGTACCTTTAGAAGTGTTCTGTATTTAATGATGGCATTTGGCGTGCCCATTAAGAAAGTTTCTTGGTCTCCACTCCTCATAGCTTTAACCCTCCAGCCTTTAATTTTTGTAGTTGCATACCGAATTTTAGTCTGGTTTGTCAAATTAAATGTACCTTTTCTTGGAAAGAAAGGACAATATGACTGTGAAATTTGGCTCCGTTATTCCATAAAGCGTTTTGTACATTTGGGACATTTGAGCCATGACGGGAGATCAGGATGGGAGTAGAATGACCTAACGGGGGGCCAACTGCGAACCAAGACTTATCGGGCCAAATAAGAAGGGCTAGACACGGTATGCAGTGCGTGTGGAGAGGAGGAGGTAAACTGCCGAACACTTGATAATGTTCTGTAACGGGCTTCACCACAGAACACCTATACACTACTACCTACACATTATAGTGTATAGTATACACTACTATACACTATACACTACTATACACTACTATACACTATACACTACTATAGGAAGATGGCGCAGAGTTTTTCAAAGGGTTTAGGGAATAGAAGGAGGTTATTTGATTGGTGGCTACAATCAAGGCCCGAGTGAAAATTAAACTTTTCACTGCAAAATGCAAGTGCTTAGCTTCATCATTAAAAAAAAGATAAATTTAGTTTTTGTTCACTAAGTATTGCGGCTAGGTGGCGCTAACCGCCGCCAAATCTCAAGGGTACAGTTATGTTAATCTATCCATTATCTATGTGCAGTTTGAATCCAGTCGTAGCCGTGCCAAACAACGCGCGCTGAGCTAAACGTGCATGGGTAGCGAAAACAACGTCAGTTCGGCCTTTCGTACCAGTATTTTGTTCAGCGTTATTGCTCTTGTCATGAACGGATTCACGCACAATCATCGGTTTATAAGGAAAGGATAGTAGGCTTTTGTTGCTCTCTGTTGTGTTCTGAGTGTCCTGAAGGAAAACGGTGGCATCTTTCCGCGCCCGGTACACAGAATCACGATGGATGTCCGTCGTCCCAAACAAGGCGAGACTGACGAAGAGCTTATTCGCTTGCAAGAAGAGTTTCTGCAAAGCGGCGAGAAACCATCGGTCTATGTGGCTCCAGCTGAACGAATATTCGCGAACCCAAAGCAAAGACGCACTCAGTCGCTGATCCAAACGAAACCACCAGTGTTTGTGATCGAATACCGCCAATATCTACGTCAAATGCAAGCGATAAATCACCTGAGGTGGTGCATGTGCAGCTGGACTCCATACTGTGTGATGTCATTGTAAGATATCGTCCTGTATTTGTGCGTACGTTCTTAGTTAAGTAACTGGGGGGGGGGGGGGGGGGGGGGGTTAGAGAAAGTAAAAAAAAAAATGGTGCGGTTGTCAACTTGCTCGTAGTTTTTGGACGTTGCTGCATTCGTAGTATAATCACTAACGCTACTAGCTGATATTAGGATCTGGGCTGTCTTATGATGGGAGATAATTATAGGAGCAATGCTAACAGAGAAAACTAATAAGGTCCACGTGGGCATGTTGAGTGAGGGGATATACATTTTGTTTTGTTTTATCGAGAGGCGATCGAAGAAGAAGAAAAGTGAAGAAAGAGGTAGATATTATGCTTGCACACACGAAGTCTTGTTTGCACCATTTGAAACAAACAAATATGAATGGCAAATGATAGCATTATTATATTCAAACAGAGATACATGAGCTTGAAATGCAACTGATGAACATATAATTGAATGAAAGCCAGAATGTAAATGCAGATAAAGTGTTACACAATGATTAGGATGCCGTATGCTGATCAAGAATAAAAATCAGCTTCAGTACATAGAAAAGCTCGAATGGTGGCATTTCAAACCTCTTCCTAATTATCTTGGCATCATAGAGGTTAGCATTGTTCTCTAGAAGATTGTTCCAAAGTACAATGGCACCGTGGTAATGCAGATAATTTAAAGGCACTAGTGGGACCATATAAACGCTGAAAAGTGAGGTTATGCTGCAAACGATGGGAACATCAAAGAAGTTCGAGAAGTGGCAAAAAAGAACGATGCTTGCTCTTAATATCCTGTGCTACAGACAGAGAAGTGAAATAATTCTGAGTAAAGCAAAAGAGAAAAACGAGTGACTGCTTGGTTCTACTGAAATCTTTGTTGTAGTTGCTGACAATGAAAGCAGCCGCATGGTTTTGTTTAGATAGGATTGTTCAGGGGACCATGCAGGAAGCGTATATTCGAGTTTAGGATACACAAACGTTCGGTAAGTGAGCTTGCTCATGGGAAGAGGGGCACCATAAAGGTTACGCTTCAAGTAGCCAAGTGTACAAGATGCATTAGGTGTAATTTTGTTAGTGTGAGTCGACCGCTAGAAGTTGGATGACGGGTAGATGCCTATATACTTGTAAAATAAAGTTGGTCTTAGATAGTTACCAAAATATGGAAAGTGATCGCTTTCCAAGTGAAGGTCATTTGGCTGCACTTATCAATGTTTAATGTCATCAGCTTATCTGAGCACCATGCTGTTACACGATCGAGGTCTTGCTGCAAAGCTATATGGCTTGATGGTGATGAGATTCTAGGATGGATTATGCAGTCAGCGTGAAGTCGTATGGATGATGTGATTCTTTAGGAAAGGTCATATATAAAAACTTAAAAATAACAAAGGGCCGATTATGCTTCCCCGTGGGATGCCAGATCTCTCCTCTGAGAGAGGGAAAGACATGTTATTAATTACAGTAACCCATTTATAAAACACAAGGATGTGTCCTTATATCTTTTTTTACCTTTCCTTTTTTTTGTTAGATGATAAGAAAGTCCCAGCTATAAACGTGTGAGCTGTAAACAAGCAGCTGTGTTTTTCTTTGTTATTTGATCTGTTTTGACCACACTTTAATTGTATGTTAAAATGTATTCCATGTCATTACTAATGGTGAATTTGGTATTCATCCATGGTTACAATGCAAGGTAATGGGAATAGGCTCACACAAAGCAAGGCCAGTGTTTTAAGTATGTTCTGTTTATTTGTTACCTCATCTGTATTTCACCATCTGCAAGAAAATAATGCAGAGTGAACACGTCTCTTTTCAAATTACACAGGAGCGCAATGTTGACAAAGATGTTATCAGGCCTCCAACACCCACAGTGGTGCCATTTCCAGAATCTACTAGAGTTTCGGTAAGCAAGCAGTGTTCTTATTCTGACCTAATTTCTAATTCTGTATCCTTATTCTAATTCTAATTCTGTATTCTGTATCCTTATGCTGCCGCATTGTCTTGGTGTTACTTAGATGGTTCAACTTCATGGTAAAAGTGCCCCTACTGACAGCCAAATAGGCTATGGCAATTTTCCTGGATGTGACAGAAGATGTGCAACTTAAGAGCAGATTCATATAGTCATTAGAGTAGATTAATTGTACTATACATCAATGGTTGCAACAACTTAGGAGCAGATTCATAAAGTCATTAGAGTAGATTCATTGCACATGGTTGTGACTGTCACATGGTTGGGAAAGTGGCAGCATTGCTTTATGGAAGGGTTATTGGCAAGCTTTGCCTTGAAGATTGGGGGCTATTTGACAGACACAATGTTCCGAGTTATTACTGTTGCCTTTTCTAGAAGGCATTTGTCTTACAGGCTCGAAGACCAGTGTGTCTAGTTTCGTTACCGACTCATGCCACGGTTGTTGGTAGGCCTCAGAAACACAGCTTTGTTACTTCGTTCTGTGCTCTTACGACAACTCCTGCTGCATCAACGTCTTCAATGCAGGGCACTGCATCACAAGGTCGCAAGAGCCTTTTTGCATCAAGGTTCAAGAAGACGGTTGCGGCAGGGCACGAGGCTGATACTTTAAAATCGTCATCTTCAACATCACCTCCAGGCTCAGCTCTGTCGAAGGATGATTATGAGGCCATGCACGCCGAAAACCTTGGACGGTTGGCTTCCATGTCGCACGAGGAGAAAATGAAAGCACAAAAGGAGCTCCTTTCTAAGCTAGGTGTACCTTTTCTTTGCTTTGTTCACAGTGTTAAAGTACACACTTTTTATAAACCAAGCAGTTTTTCATATAGAACATCAATATAACCACACACCACAAGTGCTGTGTGTGGTTCTCTGCGTCTGTTGTGTCTTTTCACACTACATTATAATTATTAGCAAGCACCAACTGGCCCAAGAACAAGTCTTTCTGCATGCACACGTACACTCGCACCTCGATATAATGAACCCAAGTATAATAAAGTATTGTTTATAATGAGGTAAATTCAGAATAGTCTTGTGATAGATGTAGTGTTAGAAATGCACCTTTATAACAGTTGTTTGGATATGACGAACTTATTTTATGGTAAGATGCAACTTTATTATAGTGAGGTGTGAGTGTATTATCTACTTTCAGTAATGAGCCACTACAATTTTTTATTTATGTGCATTACTTGCATTGCATTTTCAAGTTCAAATGAGGTTGAATAAATATAAATATGTCATCTTAAAATATTATATACAATAAAGATTTGCGCAATGTTAATACTCTTTATTCAATAATTATTAGATCGCACTAGAGATAATATAGTTTTCAATATGACCAGAGAATAAAAATGTCTGCAGCTACTTCTAGTGTCCTGTGTATTGCATATAATCAATGTTCAGTGTATTGCAGTGTAAAGGTCTGTATGTATGTCTCTTTGTGTTATGTTCTATTATGTGACATATGTAGGCCCCTGAGTTGAAGGAGTGAGGCTCATCGATTGAATATCTTTGCCTGTCTCATAGACCCTTCCACGGTGGCATTCCTGCGATCTCGACGGAAACTTGCAAACTCTGGTAGCTCGAGAAAGGAGCACGTAAAGATGGCTTCCGGCGATTGCGTTCCTGGCTCGAAAGATGATGTACATATTGATGTTTTGTCTGGGACAAAGCAACAGATGCTAGGTATGTGGTGGTAGGCTTTTATGTACTAGTGTGACGGAATACTAACGCCAATTTTCAAATCCGAGTCTACTCTGCTGTAGAGAACTGCTATATCGTCTTCAGACTTGAGGCAATAGTAAACTAGGTGAACTCATATAAACTCTTTCTCTTGAGCATTTTGGGGTCAAGAAACACTTCTCGGAAGAAGAAAAAATGAAAACAGCAATTTCAGAAGAAAAAAATGGATGTACCCATTTATGTACATCGGTCATATCTGAGTAAAAATCAAGAAAATGATTTTTATCTATTAGGCAAGGAAACAGGCCACATTTAATGCACTTAACAGGGTTTTGGCAATTTTTTTTTTTTATTGTGACATATTATCTGAAACTTTGGGAGCGCATGCCCTGAAAAATGTTCCTGCATGTCAAACCGGACCTCGTTAGGTGGTATAGAAATCACCTTGCTACGTTTTAGGACAGCCAGAGACTCACCAGTGTGAACGTACTGCTGTACTGCATTTTAAAATTCTTGCATTTGCTTGACGTAAGAAGCACAGCAAGCATTTTTTTTAAATGTAGCCATATGGGTACCCACAGACTGGCAAGGTTATACCGAGACCATTCTTAACAAATGCTCAGTTCATGCTGATAAAATTGTTTATTTCAACATTAAAGGCAACTTTCACATGGTGCACCTACTGACATTGACACCAGCACGACGTCCGGCTAGGGAGTTATTTCTGGTGTCTTCATGCACCAGTCAACTAGCAGTGATGACATCAGGTACTAAACATACAATACGGCTGTTTGTGCTTCACCAAGAAAATTCAAAATGTCTGCTTGGATGTCGCCAACAAAGCACTGCTGCGGAGCGGTCAGAAATGTCACATCTTGTACGAGCACATAATGAAAAGCTCATGCTGTGGCACAATGTCAGGATACAAAAGCAACCAAAGTGAGCTTCGCGACACATTCTGTAATTTATTTTTTAAAGTTCACCATTACATTTTCTGGGTGTTTGAGGATTTGGTTTTTCATGTGATGCATAGAAATGACAACTGAGAAATTTCGTGTCAGTTCGCCTTTAAGTGTTGTTGGTAAGCAGTTAATTGCTCTACTGACATCTATATCGCACAAAGGATGAAAATGTCCTTTCTCTTATAAGAAAAGCATTAGAAATATCAAAATGCTGTGCAATTATGGAATTTTTTGCATACTTAAGATAACTGAACATCCTCTTCACCAATGACCGATGTATGACAGGTGTAAGCTGCACATTCAGCATGAAGCATATTAACCTTATGTAAGATTACTTGTATAAGAAAATGTAATGTCTTTGCAGACTAATTGTGTGATGAAAAGTGCATTATGCATTATACAGGGTGCTCCAGGTAACTTTAGCCAGAGTTTAAAAATATGCCGACACACGCAATTATGACGCAACCAAATGCATGTAGCCCACCTGCCGCCTGTAGTTAGTCAGACTATTTTTTGTGTTCTAAAATATTGTTTAATTAGATCTGTTTAATTAACTAACTCTTAATGGAATAAACATGGATAAAAAATTTCAATGAGAAAGTTGTAGATTGGTTTGCAAAACATCCGATTAGATAGTTTTGAGCATTATATCTGTTAATTATTAGTCTTTTCTGACAACTGCAAATGCCCACGGAATACAAAAACTACCACGTGACAAACCCAATCGTGCGCCAGTGCGTTCGATGATTCTAGTGCTGCCTAACGTTCCGCGTACGAACGACCATAGCATTTGCCCGATTGTGCTGTCTCGACAGGGCCGCAACGTTGGTGGTGGGTTTGCGACGACCACGTTTTGCAATCGGCCAAAAATGTGATAACCGCTGTGACTGCTTATCGTTGTCATGAACGGTGCGAGGGAAACGTATCGTTCGTATGCTGAACCTTAGGGAGCACCAGAATCAAGGCGCGCGTAGGCGCACCAGTGAGTTTGCCACGTGGTATTTTTTTTATTTAGCCGGCATTTATAGTTAGCAGAAAAACACTAATACTTAACATATATATCGTTCAAAACCGTCAAATCAGACGCTTTGCAAACCGATTCACAGCTTTTTCGTTGAAAATTTTTATCCATCTTCGTTCCTTCAGAAGGTAAATAATTAAACAGATCTAATAAATGATATTTTAGAACACAAAAAATAGTCTGACTAACTCCAGGCAATGGTGAGCAATATGTATTTGGTCGCATTGTAATTGCACGTGTTGGCATATTTTAAAACTCTGGTTAAAGTTACCTGGGGCACCCTGTATATAGTGCGGAAGTGTTGCTTTACAAGGCTGTAGTGCTCACACACACATTGTGCGTGCTTTTTAATTTTGTGCTTATGCGAGTCAGTGGTGACTTGTTGCACGTTTCATCAGCCATATGACTGTTTTCATTTTTCTGGTCTACAGGCTCCCATACCGAGTTACTCCCTTTGGGTTTCAAATTGGAGAGTACAAAACTTAATTTTTTTGTTCCAGAGAGGACCAAAGCTTCTGAACAAAAGATTAACGTGCCGGAGGGGTCAGCTGCTGACACCTCCGAAGCAGCTGATGCCCAAGTGCCGCCATTAGGTGAGCGTTGTGTTGGTCCCTGCTGTCTCTTGACCTGTAATATCATCTTCTAACTCATTGTAGTAAGCCTATTTGAAGCCTGCTTCTAGTGAGCGGCCCCTTGCAGACATCTCCAGTAATGCCACTTAAATTGGCCAACACTAGAAAAATTTTTTCCCATAATTTTCTAACCTTCCCTGCTCCCCCACTCTCCCAATTGTGTTTCTGGTCTTTGTCTCTCTAACAAATGATTGAGCATCTATGCGTTTCATAACCTTTAACACTCATTGTTTTTTTTTACTGTAATGCTTTCGCAGTAAATAAACACACAGCCTTGAGACGTTTATAGAAGTTACTAATAAGTACTGAATTGCAATTAATGCAGAGCCAATTTGTTGTTCAAGATGGTTTGCCACGTGTACCGACTTCTGATGTGACCTCTGAATAAATACAAGCTTCACTTTTATAGTGCGGCAGTTTCATAGTATGTTACACTCAAACCTCATTGTACCAAATTCACACCTGCTGGAAAGTGCTTGGTTATATCCGAAAATTTGTTATAAACATTTATTTGTAGCACTGTATCTCATAGAGCCATTCTCCACTTACTTTGTCATGACCGATAATTCGTTATATCGAGGTTTGAGTGTGCTATACCCTCCTCTTCCTTGTGGTCGTGCAGATGTGTATTGAGGCTTCTCCTCGAACGTGGATGAATGTGTGCCGGCACAAATGGGTGCGTACTCTAGGCTGACATCATGAGCCGCACGACTAGCGAGTCTACCATCGAACACACAAGTGGTACTGTTTGTTTAATCCCAGAGGTGATTGGCAATCACGCTTCAATCGTCTGGGTGGGAGCTGTCCTGCTTTCTCGTCCGTCTATATATAGTTTGAAATTTCTTCAGTGTTGGCTTTCTCCAAGTAGTTTTGTTCGTCCTGTAGCTTGGTTCTTAAAGATCTGCAGCTTCAGAAAGACAATTATTTTTGGTCATGTGTTTGGTGTCTCAAAAGAGCTGCTTTCGGAGCAATAAACACAGTAGTGTGGTGAACACGTCGGCATTTATTAACAGCTTTACATAACGATGTGGAAAAACACTTCATTTTAGCTGTATTTGTGTTTTGATATGGTGCACTGCTCAGATGAAGAGGAGCTGCCAATCAAGCCATCGGAAGCAGCCCAAAAGTGGGTTCACATGGATGATGTGGAGAAGGACAAGCTGCAATGGATGACCATGCTACCACCGGTCAAAGCCCCAAATCCCAAGGTGCCGTAATCTTAGCCGCTAAAGTCTGGTTGCGGAGTTTTTGTTTGGGTCATGGCTTAGCATGCGAGATGCAGAGCGTGCAAGTAGATAAGAGCCTAATATGTTAAACCAAATGTCGTTACGCCTTCCTTCTTTCTGCACTGTGAGAAAACATGTGTGAATGTTCAAAATGTTTAATATGTTGTTAAATGCCCGGGTGGAAACTGTCTTTCATTCAAAAAGCCGCTACTGAAAAATAAAAATATTTTTTGAATTTGGGAATATTTAATGCGTGAGCTGCATTGAAATAAACTCAAAATTGGTTCACAAAAGTAATAAATGTTAATCTCCTGAGCTTTGTATGCATACGAATCATGAGGGCTAATCATGCATCCTTTCTGAAGAGTTATGCATTAGAAAGATGCTGCCTGTTTTTGTTTATAATGGTACCATTACAAATGCATTATGTTACTATGTTAAGATAACCATAAATGATGCTGTTTAATATTCAGAATCCTTAAGAAAAAGTTTTGTATTTGATTTTATTTACATCTTTCACTTTTTGATCTGGTCTGAGAAATCTCTATTCACAGACCTGTGCAGGGAAGCCTGCAGTGCATAACGATATCCATCCCGGGATCAAATCCCGGCCGCTATGCCCTCATTTCCATGTAAGTGAAATGCTAGATGCCCTTTGTGCTTTTAGATGGGCGTGCACGTCAAAGAACCCCAGGTGGTCGAAATTTTCCAAGTCCTCCACCACGGCGTCTCTCATAATCGTATCGTGCTTTTTGGACAGTGAACACCAGTAACTATTAACTATTACTTGGCAAGCCATGCATATGCAGCACCTTCTTTAATTGGCTAGAATACTTAGCCTTGCAGCTATGCTTAGGTGGCACAATGCCTAAAGTGGGCTGGTAAAATTTTAGCTCTCTGCATTTATTGGTAGCATGTTCTTCATTATCCCAGCAAAATGATTACATTATGCACAACTACCACATGTGGACATGAAGGAACAGCAAATCGCATAGTATTATTTGTGTGCCGTTGCGCTTCCAGTGTGTCTCATACGGTGTTTTGCACTGGGGCCTGTGGTCATAGAAAATTGCCACTGCATACGTTCATAGGCAAATAAATTTGTATCCACGACGCCTTAACTGTCATGATTACATTACTCTTAGCAACATAAGATTGTCTTAAATCTCGTAACGCTCTGTTGAAAAGTGTGTATCTCTCGTATGTGGTACGACGTTTTGGTTACAATTGCAAGCACCAGGAAAAGTCTCCAGCTTTAAGAGCCCTTTCCGCTGGCCACGAAGCGGAGTACAGGTTGAGATATAAGTCATGATATATCTGAATTGCATTAGCATGTGGAACGGGGCATGTCTGCTTTACCTAACTAATATTATAACGAGGATTCAGGATTTTCTACTCTTTCGGCTGTCTCTCGTTTCACGTGTGATCGTTCTGTTGCGCAGGATGCGGCCGCACCGTGTGTCGGGCGATTTGACTTTGACGGCGAGCTGGTTCCTCCCGACCAGGAAGTGCCCGTTCACCGGGGCTTGCATCACCACGGCGATAATCCCGAGGTCAGGCTCATTGTATGAAATGTCATTAAAGTAATCAAAGCTGTCATCAATGTCATCAAGGCTGGTACATGACTGGAAAAACAGAGAATGCTGAAAATGGTGCTTGATTTAAAAAAAAAAACTTATTGTTGTGTGTTTGTTTTAGTCCTCGTTTCATTTTCAATGCTGTTTGTTTTGTTGGAAGATATGTCTAAGTATGAATGTTAGAACGTTCCTCTCTTAAGAATCCACTTTTATGGTGTTGTGCTTGTGTTATTTTGTGAATCTGCATGCTCACTTATGCCAACATATTGATTTGAGTATGTTATTATGCAAGCAAGTCACAGAGTATACTGTTGAAGTCACACATTGTTGTATTTCTGTTATTGTGTTTCAAACTTGCCTATTAATATGACATACATATGACTAGTATTGTACTTTGACATACTTTGCTGCAATTGCCTTGTTTTTGATGTTCTTATACATTGTTTTTATTTTTGTGTGCTGGCTTCGTTTTGGATGCTAAACCAGTTCTTACCTTGTATCGATGACCCTTACACAATGCGCCTGCGAGGCCTGTAAGGTACTTTTAAAAAGATGAATAAATAAATCGATACACACCCTAATTTTTTTTTCCTTTTCTTCAGAATAACCAAGAGTGGTAGTCGAATAAGCATGCATCAAAAATTCATAACAGTCACATTCTGAAAACGCCAACTTATATGAAGCATTCAAAGCAAAGCGTCAATGTTAAAGTTCTAATGATCACTCAATGGCCTGGATAGTGACAGTCTTTATTGAATCTTCAGATGGCTGGCTACAGCACCGCAGAAATCCTGAGACTCCTGCGAAGCCAGGTGCGCTCGCAACGTCTGTTGGCCCTCCAGCTGCTGGAGCGTATGCTCACAAAGGTAAATATCTTCTATTGCTCTTGTGTAATTTTTTTCCTGTATTCAAAAGCTTTAGCTATCATACTCTCTATTTAATGGCTCATAAAACTTAATCCCTTGTTTTTTAATGCGTAAGCAAATCTATACCAACTCAACGTGTAAACTGTTCACCTGTCCGTCCCTCGGGCATGTAATCATTTCATAACGAAATGAAATAAATTTTCTAGCCGGGGCTGGGTGTGAGCCCAGTCCACATGCTCCAAAAGGAAGGCTCTTAGACGATCATGCTGGCACAATGTGCATGTATCGAAACCATAGGACTATTTTAACCACGGTAAAAAACAAATGTATAAGGATAACACTTTTCATAATGGCTTTGCATTTTTAGGTCGTTGAATAAAAGGTTTTTTGCAAAATTATATGTAGGGGCTAGATTGTACAAATCAGAAAAATTTAGGCTTCGCAAAAATTTTATGCCAAATGTGCACTCCTGCGACTGCAGAACATGCTTTTTTAGCAGGTATCTTGAGATACTGGCAAACACTAAAAAGTCGATGAAAAACCTCATACTGATGCCACCTGAAATTTGGTATTTCAAGTTGTTTCAAGCTGGAAAATTTTTTACACCATCCATAGATTCTCTCTTTATTCAAAGTGTAGGACAGGCTGTAAGGTTAGAGTTCTTCCTAGTGCGACTAGTTGGGACTCATAGATTTGTTTCGTCATGACTTTGTTAGATTCTCTTGTTTGCACTCTATCTATGTTGGATGTATTCGTTCATCCAAATGATTCAATTCACCTGAGCCAATGGAGTTCGCTGATAATCGACTTTTGTCACGAGCCATGCATGAGAGCAAGAACTATGGACTTCTTTTTCTAGCACTGGCTCGGTCATTACGTGGGAAGGTTGGAAGGAGGTGACTTGCTGGCGCAGCTTCTGCAATCCGGACTGGGGCCCCTCGTACGGTCGGCGCTTGATGACCGAGCAACGGTGGATGCTGCATTGGCGGTGCTCCAAGCACTGCTGATTTCTCAGCCGGAACAGGTGGGCCTTGTTGCACTCTACGAAGGGTTTAGTGTAGTTTAACGAAGCACGCCAAATGCCCAGTGTTGTATCGCTGCTCTGAAGACTGCTCATAGGAAACATGAAGGCAGTAAATTGCACTAAAAATTTAATAACCTTATGTCAATCTCTTTGGAAGCTAGTCAAGTATTCGTCACAATGTATTGAGATGATAAAGGGTTTCTGATTATTTCGTTCTGCATCTTTTCTCTCTCTTTTTAGTTTTTGAGGCAGTAAAGTATGCAATGCCTGTTTCTCCTGAGACTGCAAGTTTATGTCTTGACTTGCGTCAGGCCTTCCACGTCTTGCAATATTTTAACATCAAACTCTATAAGTAATGAAATAACAGTTAACTGTGCGCCTATGTTTTCGCAAATGTCACAATGGGAAAAAAAAAGCCATAGTGGCCACATAGCACACAAATGATTGGTCGTGGAACCCAATGTTAAGCTGTTTGCATCACACTACTGTCATTGAAGTTTGTCCAGTGATGTCTAACATCGTATGACATCTGCTGCATGCGATTTTTTTTTTGCAGGCGTTGTTCAGCCGGGCATTCCTCTGGCGGCACGGTCATCGTTCGTTTTTTCTTCGGCCAGCCACGGAACTTGTAAACTCAAGCGAAATTTCGGACGTGGATTTGTCACAGATAGACCTCGTCCAGGTAATGAAGGCATGTTTGAGTGACATTTAAAGGGACACTATGAAGTGAAATAGAGAATCAGTTAAATTACTCTCTGGTTCCAACATTATAGCTTTATTTTTAGAAAAAAAAGTAAAGGTTGAAATTCCAGTTTGAAATTTCATAGCTAAATCTCCACAAGGGTTTTCCCCACAGTGGCTGACAATGATTCTGTCACCTCTAGAAATTCAAATTAGCAGTTCTAGAGGACGGCCTTTCATTGCCGTCGAGCACTCTTCAAGTGCAATATTTCAGACTCTATACACTAACATGATAAAACAAAAGAATGTGTGGGACAGTGTAGGTAAATTTTTTTTATGCTTATCTTGCAATTAAGCATTTACTCTGTTTAATGAATGTAACAAGTGTAGGGAACTATGCGAACGACGACGAAGCAGCATGAAACGGCAAGCCACAGCGTTGGTGCACGCGCGACCCGAGCTTGCGTTTGTCTTGTATTTTCGGCCTGTTGGCGTTCCTCGCTCTTCTGGCGTTCCTCGGCCTTCCAGTAGGTCTGTACGTGAATAAACTGCGTGACATCTGGTGGAGGTGTGTGGACTCCCGTACAAACCTGGAACTTCGCTCCCGTAAGCTTCCCCCTCTACGTGACACGAACATGGCCACCGAGACGCCTCTCCAGGTGGGACCTTCGACCGTCCATGTCACTTGCGGTGCCGTGTATCCTCAACGAGACCCTCCTATCTTCACGGGCTCCACTGAGTCGGACGTCGAAGATTGGTTGGCGAGGTACGACAAAGTCGGCGCAAGTAACAAATGGGACGACCCAAGTAAGCTTGGCTACGTCACATTCTACCTTGCGGACACCGCGCAACTGTGGTTTAATAACCACGCAGCTGACATTACTACGTGGTCTGCATTCAAGACGGCTATTACGGACGTCTTTGGACGACCTGCGGCACGCAAGCTTCAAGCCGAGCACCGTTTACGTCACCGTGCACAGCAACCAGGCGAGACCTACACGGGCTACATTGAAGATGTGTTGCATCTATGCAACCGCATCAACTCTACCATGTCTGAGGAAGAAAAAATCAGGCACATATTGAAAGGCATTGACGACGGCGCCTTTCAGATGTTGCTCGCGAGAAATCCCCCCACCATTGCTGTCCTCGTTTCCCTCTGTCAAAGCTTCGATGAATTGCGTAGGCAGCGCGCAATTGCTCGTCAAGCCATCACGACGCCAGACACGCTCGCAAGCTTGCACCTAGCCGCCCATCCTACCGACCAGCAGCCGCTGCTTTCGACAATCAAGGACTTCGTCCGCGAAGAGGTAGCGTGCCAGCTGTCACTGCTGCCACTGACACATGAGCCCACGCAAGCTTTGGCACCGGACCTCCAACACGTCATTCGGACCCAAGTCGCTGAAGCCCTTCCGCCGGTGCATCAGCAACCACCAGTCACAACGCCTCTCACGTACGCCGCCGTCGCTGCTCGGCCTACGCAACAGCGTATGCCGTATGCTCAACCTGCCACGCCACCCTATGTCGTGCCTACAACCCCAATTGCGGCGCCGTATCCCTACGCGAGATCTCCAGCTCCATTTTACCGTCGCTCAGACGCTTGGAGGACGCCAGATAATCGGCCCATCTGTTTCGCCTGTGGTATCGCTGGACACGTCGCCCGCCACTGTCGCCGAGATCCCCCTCCAGTCGACGCCGTGGGCCGGCCAATGGCGTCGTCGTCTAGGACGCCATCAAGGTACACCACTGACGGTTCTCGACCCTACGCAAACCATCGGTCACCATCGCCACGACGACGCTCCCTGTCACCTATGCGTCGCCGACCTGCTACGGAAGAGGGAAACTGATCGCTGCAGCTCCGGAGGCAACAGCTGCATACAATTCGAACTGCTTAAGGCCTCCATCTTTCTCGCCGCAAAACGTTATTGACGTCAATGTTGAGGGGACCGCCGCACAAGCGCTTATCGACACAGGGGCCGCCGTTTCCATAATCTGTGAGCCCTTATGCCGCAAGTTGAAAAAGGTGACGACGCCTCTTTCGGGCCTGATGCTCCACACGGCCAACTCGCAGTGCATAGAACCTACAGCTGTGTGCACTGCACGGGTCATTATCCAAGGTGAACTTTATGCCATTGAATTTTTTGTGCTGGCATCCTGCTCTCACGAAGTCATTCTTGGATGGGACTTTCTTTCGCGTCATCGGGCCATCATAGATTGCTCACGTGCAGAAGTTGCCCTTACACCGCTACCAACCTCTTGTTCTGTGGATTCTCTTCCTGAACCTTACAAACTTGTCGTTGTTGCAGACACGGAAATAGCACCGAGAACATCCGCCCTTGTAGCCCTGACCTGTACGGCCGCTCCTGCCGGAACTGTTTTGTTCACTCCGTCTGACGTATTTACCCGCCGCCGTAGCCTACACCTGCCCTTTGCCGTACTCACCGTGGAATCCGGTGCTACCGCCATGCTCGTCGCGAACTCGCTATCGTCGCCAGTTACCTTACTTCGCGGAGAATGTTTGGGTAACATACAAGACGTTGACCTCTTGCGCCCTCTAGAGTTCGCCGAACACGCACCTCACCTCCAGCTCAATGCTATGACGCCACCTGTGGCCACAGTGCCCGCGCCAGACTCATTCCAGCCCTCTGTTGCCGCTGAGCTATCGCCGACACAAAGAAGCGAACTCTTGTCCCTTCTTCGAGAGTTCCGTTCTGTCTTCGATTGCGCTCAACCATCTTTGGGTCGCACAGCGAACATCACGCACCACATTGACACCGGTACTCATGCTCCCTTACGCCAACGACCATATCGAGTTTCAGCGGAAGAGCGCCGTATTATCAACGAACAAGTCGACGATATGCTCAAGCGTGGTGTCATCCAGCCATCGCAGAGCCCTTGGTCGTCCCCTGTTGTACTTGTGCGCAAAAAGGATGGGTCTATCCGATTCTGTGTCGACTACCGCCGACTCAATAAAATAACTCGGAAGGATGTGTACCCGTTGCCACGCATCGACGACGCTCTCGATTGCTTGCAAGGGGCAGAATATTTCTCCTCCTTAGATTTACGCTCAGGATATTGGCAAGTTCCAATGGCTGATCCTGACCGATCGAAGACTGCATTTGTAACACCTGATGGGCTGTATGAGTTTAACGTCATGCCGTTTGGACTCTGCAACGCCCCAGCTACCTTCGAACGGATGATGGACACCATCCTTCGCGGCTACAAGTGGAACACGTGCCTTTGCTACCTAGACGATATCGTCGTTTTTTCTCACGACTTTTCCACTCACCTTGTTCGTCTTCGTGCTATTCTCACGTGTCTCACCTCTGCTGGCCTTCAACTTAACATCAAGAAGTGCCATTTTGCCGCACGTCAGCTCACCATACTGGGTCACGTCGTCTGCAAAGAGGGTGTTCTCCCGGATCCGGCGAAACTCCGCGCCGTGGCTGACTATCCGAAGCCCAATTCCATCAAGACGCTTCGAAGTTTTATCGGCCTGTGCTCTTACTTTCGTCGATTTGTGCGCAACTTCTCTTCCATCATCGCGCCTCTTACCAACCTGTTGACAACTTCCAAAGGCATTTCTGCTTGGTCAAAAGAGTGCGACGAATCCTTCACCGCGCTTCGGCGGTTATTATTATCACCTCCAATTCTACGACATTTTGACCCTGATGCGCCTACGGAGGTCCACACCGACGCCAGTGGTGTCGGTCTTGGTGCTGTATTGGCTCAACGAAAACCAGGGCACCAAGAATACGTGGTCGCTTACGCGAGTCGAACCCTCAAGAAAGCCGAGTGTAATTATTCCGTCACGGAGAAAGAGTGCCTCGCAATTGTCTGGGCTTTGACGAAGTTCCGCCCATACCTTTATGGCCGCCCTTTCGAAGTCGTTACGGACCACCACGCTCTATGCTGGCTATCATCGCTCAAAGACCCATCGGGGCGCCTTGGTCGTTGGGCGCTTCGCCTACAGGAATACGACATTCGTGTTGTATACCGATCCGGCCGCAAGCACTCCGACGCTGATGCGCTATCCCGCTCGCCGCTACCGGCTGACCCAGCCTCCTCGTCACCTTCTTCAGCTGTCATAACACCAATCGACTTCACAGACATGGCATCGGAACAACGCAAAGATGTGTGGATTTCCCAACTCCTCGCCTTTTTGACTGATCCGTTAGCTAATTTAGTGTCAAGAACTATCCGCCGTCAAGCCACACATTTCGCTATTCGAGACGACCTACTCTATCGGCGGAATTACACGTCTGAAGGTAGGAAGTGGCTGTTAGTGATACCCAACCACATGCGCTCGGAAATCTGTACTGCTTTCCACAACGACCCGCAAAGCGCTCACGCTGGCGCTCTCAAAACATACAACCATCTACGTCAGCGGTACTACTGGCGCGGCATGTACACATTTGTCCGCAAGTACGTACGTGCTTGTACTGCATGCTAGCGACGTAAAGTCCCACCTCAACGCCCTGCCGGTACACTTCAGCCTCTGCCTTGTCCAGCGCGTCCGTTTGACCGCGTCGGTATCGACTTATACGGACCACTTCCCACGTCGTCTTCTGGAAATAGGTGGATAATTGTCGGCGTGGACCACCTCACGCGTTACGCGGAGACAGCAGCACTACCCGCAGCAACCGCGAGGGAAGTTGCGTTTTTCATCTTGCGCAACTTTGTTCTTCGCCATGGTGCTCCCCGCGAACTTTTGAGCGACCGGGGGCGTGTTTTCTTGTCTGACGCCATTCAAGCGTTGCTCGCTCAGTGCAACATGGTTCATCGCCTGACGACAGCATATCACCCGCAGACGAATGGCCTCACAGAACGATTTAATCGCACTCTCGGTGATATGTTGACGATGTACACAGCTTCAGACCAGACTAATTGGGACACTGTCCTTCCATTCGTCACGTATGCGTATAACACCGCTACGCACGCGACAACAGGATTCTCCCCTTTCTTTCTGTTGTACGGACGCGAACCATCGTGCACGCTGGACACTATCCTCCCATACACACCCGACTCCTCTGAGTACACTGCAATTTCTGATGTTGCCAGGTACGCAGAAGATTGCAGACGATTGGCCCGTTCTCTGACAACCGAGGACCAAGGCCACCAGAAGCTACGGCTTGACACCGGCCGACATCTCTCTACTTTCACGACTGGTACTCTCGTTTGGCTTTGGGTTCCACCGAGCACTCCTGGCCTTTCGTCGAAATTACTGGCACGATACCACGGGCCCTACCGCATTCTCGCCCGTACGTCACCCGTCAATTATGAGATTGAGCCATTGACACAGTCTCATGACTTACGCCGTCGTGGCCGAGAAATTGTGCATGTGAGTCGCCTGAAGCCGTATTACGACCCCGCTATAGTGACTACGCCTTAAGTCGCCAGGTTGGCTACGCTATTCACCGGGGGCCAATGTAGGGAACTATGCGAACGATGACGAAGCAGCATGAAACGGCAAGCCACAGCGTTGGTGCACGCGCGACCCGAGCTTGCGTTTGTCTTGTATTTTCGGCCTGTTGGCGTTCCTCGCTCTTCTGGCGTTCCTCGGCCTTCCAGTAGGTCTGTACGTGAATAAACTGCGTGACACAAGCAATGATTAGGACTCCCACATATTACAACCTTAGGTATCTTTCTGTTTGATAGTTTCTGTTTATCTTGCTTACCTGACATGTGTTTTTTTTTTTCTTCAATGAAAGAATGTGTTGTAATATTTTCATTATGTGCTTTAAGCCTGTAGTAATAATTTTTGTGGGCATATCTACACCCAATAAAAGACCCATACCTATCCATGAAAAATGTACCCCCTCTCCTGCCTTCCCCATTTAATTTTGCATACACAGTGCTGCAAAATAGCATGGTATAGTCATTACTCTGTCATTAGAACAATTGCTGGGGTGGGAAAAACCTTTGTGTCATTATTATTATAGATCCTAAGGATCCGTGCGGTAATCGTGAGCATAAATAATCATGCTGTGAAGCCACAACTGAAGGCAAAGTTTTTGTACGATCTGTACACCTCCACTTTGGGGTGTCATCTCTCGAGCCATCGGTGTGGCTAACACGCAGGAAAAACACACTGATTGTGAGATAGCAGGATAATACCGATCCGAAAAGAAAGATCAGCATTAGAAGTCCTGCAATTTGACTCCCGGCCACTGATAGGGTGATGGTCCGTGTATTCACTGGCAGGCGCTTCTGCGGATGGACCTCTTGCAACGACTGTATTACGTCCTCAAGATGTTTCGGCCTGGAGCCAGCTGTGTTGCATCCGCTCTACTCGTTATGGCAAGGCTGGCAAGGCACTCCACGGAAGCTGCGACAAAGGTGATTCGTGGTGCTGCAGACGGTGCCTTTTCTAAAGATCTTTCAATAAAGCTAGAATATGTTTTTTTGCTGGAATATACACTTCCAGCACGAGGTCGCAACTAAGAGCCTTTATCAAAGAGGATGAGGCGAATATCAAAAGCACATGGAAGTTACTGCAAAAAAAAAAAACAATTTGTTGTGAATTGTCTTGAGGTGAATTGTTGCAGTTTGCAAAGCAATCAGTGTAACGAGGCAGTAGTGCAATAGTGTACTTGTATTGTTTTATTTAAAGCTGTGCAAAAGGCATAATTTTGGGTGCAAAGCAAATTTAAGCATTAAAGTGTCGAATCAAACACTTTAAATCGAGTCAAACATTTTAAAACCGAGTCAAACATTTTAAAAATATTTCTTGAATATCCCCAGAATGTTTTTCAAAGAGTTCAAAGTGAAATTGCAGAAAAAAAATTGGAGAGCATTCTAAAGCATACTGTTACGAAGATACAGCATGAAAGTGTTTCTTTTGGCTGAAGCACAGCTGGGACAGTGGTTCATAGTTGTCTTATCAAGAATATACTATACAGTGGCCGAATCCTATTTATGTGCATTAATTTGCTGCAGCCGAAGTGTTGTCGTTGCCAACGGCATGTTACATGCCACATGTTACAGGCGAGGATGCTATTTCCTCAACATCTCCACGTCTTTAAACTTCTGTTGAAGCCCAAGCGATGCCAAGGACAAGGGGGGGGCTCTCACCGAGTCTGTAGTTGCCAATTTGCCTCAGAGACGTCAATATATGAGAACAACTGAAATTTTGACTGCTAAAAATCTTTGGCGTCATCTGGTTTCGCGAACCTCCTGCTGAAACTTAAGGTTGAAAACAGCATCCATTGAGCCCCCACGTCTGCTACGTCTATTATGTGCATACATTGTAACCAACATTTTCTCAACTATAGCAGAGACTGGAAGGCAGCTTTGCCACAATATGGAAATGTGATGAAGGTGAAGCATATGGAAAAAAATTTGAAGAGGTCATTTTTAATAATAATAATAATTTTTATTTGCACAAAAATATGAGCCCTCTGGTGACATGCAGAGCTAGACAGAAAGAAAAAATCTTTACGCACATCTGCTAGCCTGTCATCGGATGTTGTATTTGTCTTTAAAAAGTTTGACCGTAGCAGAGCCTGAAAAGTAGCTTTGCCGTAACGCAAGAGTGTGATTAGGTGAACGTTTAAAAATTTGAAATGGCCACTTTCTGGATGTTCGCTGTATTTGTTTTTGGAAAGTTCGAATATTTTGAATAGTAAAATCTCATTGTGAATCGAATAGTGAGCACTGCTAGAAAAATATTCGAAACTTCAAATAATTGCACATTCCAACCGTTAACACATTGCACTTAGAATGAATAGCCAATCGAAATCCAGCAGTTTACCGATGTTGCTGTTACGTGAAGGAATAAGGTTATTATGAAGAGAAAATCTTGTGGCTGTATCCCTATCTTATGTCCCTTTTAAGCATGTATTAACAGGATATGTTGGCACTTATATCTCCTTCATTTGTACAGATCCTAAATCACCCATACCTGATGAACCTTATTTTTGAAGAGTTTTTACCAGAGCACTGGAACTCTCCTGGTAAGTACTGCTGACTGTGCCTTACATTATTGTTTTTATTATAAATATAACTATATACTTGAATACGAATGAGAATATATTGAATTGGGGTTGTTGGGGCTCGCAATGGCGAGCGCCACGTTCTTGGAGTGAACGAACACAGCCGACACGATCGTAATGAGCCAAGCCAACATTCACATTTATTAAACTACTTTTAGAACGACGATATCATCAGCCGAGTCATTATAACATCAATCGTGATCAACACACTAAGAAATCCTTATACACTACTAAACAACACTCAGCAACATGACAAACAAGACGGTGTAGCAAATGCCTGACTCACCTTGTGGGCCCACTGCAGACCCTCCGCTAGCGGCGACGGTCCTTGCTACCGCCCCACGCCAAAAAAAAGACCAGCTTATTTCTTACGCACCGCCATCAAGGCTTCCCGCCAGGCGTCGCCGCCGGCACTGACATTTTCTAACCATGATGATGATCGTGGCGATAAACGCTCACAAGCACGCCACCTACCGCTCAATAGCTGTGATTCCAAAACACGGCTTCTGCGCAAGACACATGCTCTACGCAGTGCAAACAACTTTACAGGGGGTGTCAGCACCCTCACAGGGTATGTTAAAAAATTTTCCATATCATACAGTTGTCACATCTCTATGGATATCACATGTAAAAATGTAGCTGTGTGCTGCTATATATGCATAATAAGAAAACCATTCACCACCACATATAATATATTAAGAAAGCATCACTGAAGGTGGGATCCTCGTAGTGGCCTTGCACCTACACCCTACACACGTTGTATTTCCACTACGGGGCAATTTTCTTTTTTGTTTATTTTCATTACTGTATATCTAATTTACTATCTTTCAATTGTAAACTATAGAGCAATCCTCCCCATGCTTTCCTTAGCGTCATTACCTCTTTGTTGCTTCAATGTCATTCTGTAAAAAAACCCACACATTTTAAGTGTACATATTTCAAAATGTGAATATTACCTGTATATATTGCTTTTTGAAAAGCTATTGTCGTGTGCTGTGGAGGCTTAACTAATGGTCTAACTTCTATGGTGATGTCAGCACGTCCATTTTGTTAAGCAAGTGTTTCTTTTCTTCGGGTGCATTTTTGGTATGAGTGGTTGAAGCCTAATGAGCTGTAGCAATACCTTGGAGAGCAATCGTGGAATAGTTCTATTTTTCTATTATTCTATGCTTATTGCTGCCATTAGGAGTCTGTGATTGGTTGAAGCGTCGCAAACGGTAATTGGTGGGGAAAAGCATAAAATAAATAAATAGAATCGTGCTGCGAGTGCACCCTTGGTTTGGGCGAATTGCTCCATCGTTAGAGAAAACTTTAAAAGCATGAAACGATGAAGATGAAAGTGCGAGTCCTGTTGTATTTGTTTTGTCTTCGTTATTTACGCTTTTAATGTTTTCTCTAGGGACTTACAGTTGGGGTATGTCATCAGCTGGCTACCAGCTGTACGCTATCTGGTTCACGAAACAAGCCTTTGGGCAAACTATAGTATGACAGTGTTTGCACTTTAAGAATGACAGTACAGATTTTCCTGTTGTGTTGTAGGCTCCAGTATTTTGAGTCAGCTTTCTAAGTTGATCAGAATATCACCTCGAGATTTCAGAACGCCATAACTTATTAAAAACCACATTTTGTGGACATTTTAAACGACCTGCTTGTTCTCTTGTGTGGTTTATTTAATTTATTTTTTATTTATAAACTCCAGGAATTAACGACATGCCTACATGTTATGCCAAGCACTCGGGCTTGCAAAAGTTATCAAATGCTTCAAGTACTAGGTGTAGTTGAAGGTAGCTCATATTTACCAGCTGGATGTTGCTTTCTAACTTATGATGATTAATTGATTTTAGTCTTGGACTGAGCTTAAGCTGCTCGAAGTAAACGTTAGTTCCAGCTGCTCGTAGTAAACGTTACAACTTTTTCATCGAGTGACTTGATCTCTCACGTCGGCCAATCAATACGCAAGAATCAGATGTAAAATTTTTGTGTTCTTATTTGCCCAAATGAGAAATGCAATTAAAAGATGATTCCATCTTAAATCTTTACTATTGCTCTAATCAAAGCCTGGTGTTAGTTTTTAATACAATGAGTAATAACCTACGGTAGATGGTTTGCGCTGTCAAGCACTTTCTTCGTCTACCATGCAGCACCAGCCAGCTCAATCAAGCACTTTGTTAGAGCAATAACTCATACTGCAATTGCTGATTCTATTGCAGCTGTCATCAAGGGCAAGATTGCAGAAGCCTATGGGAACCCAATGTGGCCAGCTCTCGAGTTGGTTCGAACGATTGCTGCTGCTGGAAAAGAACTGGCAGACACGCTGGTGAGGCTTGGCGTTTTTCGAGTACTATAATTTAAATTGGATCCAGGGGAAGCACCAATTCCAATAAGACAAACTATAAGCCAAGAAGATTCTTGAAAATATTGCCAACAACCTAAGGCACATTTTTGTGCTGCACCGTGAAGGGGCTCATCAGGAGAGGGGAGGAGCTTATTCTAGTTGTGGGTGGGTGTTAGCATTCGAACAGAGATCCACCATTGCAATGAAATGCCGTATTTACTCGCATAATAGGTGCACCCTCTGTTTCGTCGCGAGAAACCACATTATTTTGTTTTCCCACTTTATAGGCACACCCCAAGTTGGCTATTATCAGTAGTTCTGTACCGTATTTGCGCAGTTGCAATTCGACGCCCTCTCACATTAACAGAAGCGAGAAAAAAAAATGTAGCCACAATGCTGCGCCAGCTCCGTAAACTTGCCGAGTGAGCAAGAAGGGCGTTTGCTAGGGTGTCGGAGTAGCCTTTGCACTGGGTGCCAGCATGGCTCCAGCCGCTAGCCTGGCCGCGTGCGCTCTGCATGGAACGTGCGATCACATCCTTATAAAATTGCGCATTGAGTTTTCCTGTCAGGTAAAGCGTTGTCATTAGCGCACTTCTTACCCCGTCTGCAAATTTGAAAGCTTTTGAAAGCAACACGGATCTTTCGGTGTTAATTTTGGGAAATTTGAATGCGAACCACGTAGCATGCTTCGATTCTCAGAGATGCGAGACTGCATAGTTAAGGAGTTTTGCGCTAGTGTAGCTCATGAAGAAGGTTGTTTCAGCTGTATTGCGGATATTTGTGACATCTGCGACGTACATTATCAATGGTCTATACGGTCGACGAAAATGAAACTTTAGGAAATTCCCGAACTTGGAGCCAGTTTTCTGGAAAAGAAAGTACGCCTATTATGTGAGTGAATACGGTAATTCAGGTGCATTTAAGCAATTTCTGCATTAATGTGACAAGCTAATAGCAACTTTCTTTATTGTTTCTAGAACAAAGCATTAGCAACCACAAGCTTTTTCCTGTCTGCATATATTGCCTTTAAGGTCTGAAAAAGAAAATAAGTTCAAGCACAATTTGCTGATATCTGTTGAGTATTATCTTGTCTACCAACAATTCCAGCTCTGCCTGTGGAAGTTTAACTCCTGCAGATAGCAAAACGTGACTGTAAATAAGGCAATTTATTGCAGTATTTTTCAAATAACTTCATTACAATACACTCAAACCTCATTATAACGAAGTTGCACCTTAGACGAAATAGAGTTCATTATATCCCAAAATTCGTTATAAAGGCATATTCCTAACACTATTTCATCTATTTCAAAATGTCTTCGTTTACTTCGTTATAACCAATATTTTGTTATATTTGCATTCATTTATCAAGGTGTGAGTTAGTTATTGCCTTAACGAGGCAAAATACAACGGCATTGCTGATGAGGCCTCTGTGGTATCGGTCATGGAACCAGGCTTTTGTACTATTTCTTAAAATGTGCGATGCTAAGTCATGTTTGATCATATTAACAGGAAATGGTGCTTGCGAAGTACATTGCTGATCTGCTAGTCAAGCAACTGCATGCCCCAATCAGTCTCAGTCTTAATTTAATGTCTGTGTCACAAACGTGCGCGTGTTGAATCTCATGTGATTCTTTCCCGGTGCACTCGCAGATGCAGAGGCACAGACTGGAACAGTGCTTGGCTGCTTACTTGGCTTTAGAGCCGAGGTGGGTGTCCTTTGCTACCATTGGTGCTAGAGCGTGCGGTTTGTTGTTAACTTTATGTTCGTTGCAGTGGACCTACTAATACCAGTTTAATATTGCAAGTGACAGGTAGAAAGCCTAACGTAATTAGTCACGCAAAAAAAATAAAGGCCTCATACACACTGTTTAACTCAAAATTTTAGTATATCGCTGACGGAGGACACTGCTGTGAACATTTTTGTATTTCTTCATTGATTTTGATGAGTCCTGCTGAGTTGATGTAGGTTTTTGTGCTGGTTTCAAATATGCAAGTATTTCTCTAATATGTATTTAGTTGTTTAAAAAATATAAATTACGGTGTGCCTTTAGGCAAGGAGATTTGCTCTGAACTGAGTTACAAGATAAATTAGAATATCGCGATAATCCGGAATTGGAAATGTTCGACATAATGTAGCTTTTTGTTTGAATGGACTTATACCCCTGTCACACGGGCACCCGTGAAGACCGTTTAACTCCCTCGTCTTTACGACAACGAAGATGCGGTTGGTGTCACACGGCCACTCTTATGCAAACGAAGGTGAACGGAGCATTTCGCAAAGGACGTTCAACAATCTCCCTTCGCAGCGAAACGAGGTACTCTCGTCCTCAGCAGTCTAGAGGTCACAGAAAAATTTCGAGCACTAAGTGGCCGCAGTGAAAGAATACTACATTTTAGCAATATTAAACGTTCTTTCGCTGTAGTACTCATTCACAACGCGTGTTTGTTTACAATATTTACGCCCACCAGAGTTCATTTACTCTCAACACCGATGCCCTACACACCGTGCCTCGCGAGTCGGGCCGGCCGGCGCCAGCCGATCAACGTCATTAGCAGCGCAATATCGCACCACTTCCTCACGTCGTCCACTAAGTCACTCATGGCTGAAGAACACAAAATGTGCGCTCACGAGGCAAGAAAGCATGAAAACTTTCGTACCGGGCGTTTACACAGGCAACAAAACAACTAAAAGCACAATGTGGCCAGCGTCACTAGCAGCATTGCTACATTTAGCAAATGCGTTTTTATTTGAAATTATTTTCAATGGTTTGTTAGTCGCATACTTACTTTATAGTGCTTTTTTGTAAAAACCGCATAACGAGAATTCACAAAAAAATCAATAGGGATCAAATTTGAATACTTTTCCGAAAATCAAACAGCGCCAGCTGAGCCCCCTCGCGGCAACTGTTACAACCTTGTCATTGCCGTGTGACACTGCCACAACTTTTTCTCCGTCGAACCCCCTAGGGAAGCTTTACGTTGACGGTGTTCAACGGAGTTTGGTGGTGGCCGTGTGACAGGGGTATTAGAACATCCATTCTTGCTTTACGACATGGGGTTCTGATTCCAGATTATTGCGATATGTTTATTTGCTTCATAACTCTCTCAATTTAGAAAGAAACTTGGTGCCCAGAAGGCACTTGAGATATTTTGTGCTTTGAAAGCTCCACATTAGACTAGGAAAAATAATCATATTTGAAATCAGCTTACAAATGTACATAAACTCCACATGTTTCATCGAAATTCATTTAGAAACTTGAAAAATATTTTAAAGTTTCGTGTCCCCGATCAAACTCAACCTGCCAATGATGACCACTATTTTTAGCATGGATTGTTTAATCTCGAGAAATCAGCGGCCACAGCTGTTCTGCCTGCTCGGAGACGGTGTGTGACCATACCAAACGTATTGCTGCACATTAATGCTGGCACCCACTTTCACAACAAGCTTGCCACAGATTAATTATGGCCACAATGATTTTTCTAGTGTCATAAGAAGCAGCAGCATCGGCTGACATGCATGTGAAAAAAAAAATAAGAAGAAAGAAATGCACAGCGGCCATCACCTATTTATGCTCTGGCAATCACTTCCTGTTTTTACAGTGTACTAAAGAATTACCTTTGAGGTCGCCTTTCAGTACTGAAGTTGTTGTTTCCAGATTTTTGGTAGATTCATCACCACTTATGGTTGAACTTGCATATATTGAATTTAAAGGGGATCACAAAATAGTACTATGTATAGGTAATTCGATATCTAAGGTAGTAGTTCATATATAGAAGAGATTTCAGGGAAATTTTACAATTGTTTGACTATGCACAATAATTTGTTACATGTGGGCTCAATATACACGGATTTGTCTGTCATGTTCTCATGCTGCTTGAGGACTCAACTGCAATATTAGAAAGTTTAAATGCTTTAACTGCACCAAGTGCTCTTCAATTTTTCTGGCTTGTTGTGGTGGACGCAGCAGATAACAGTCAGTGCAAATAATTTATGCATTGTGGCCCTAAGCAGCTGGCGTTCTTTCCACTCAGTGATGTGCGATCTCTTTCATCTTCCCACAGCATTTGCAGGCTTCATGAAATATAGGCGAACCTGTTGTATGGTTTGAAAACACGTAAGTGAACATTGCACACTTTTCCTTCTTTTTTCTCACGCTTGCAGTGCCAGCCAATTGCCGACCACGGACTGCCTCAACCTGGCCCTGGAAGCATTGAGGACGTGGCGCATTCTTCTCACTTATAGTTTGGGGGGAGAATTGTGCATGTGAGCATTGCAATACCACTTCCATTTTCTTTTCTTCGCTTCTTCCTGTGTAGCGATACGGAGTAATATAAACATTTCTTTGTAGGTTTGATTCTTCAATTGATTAATTACTTCATTTTCCTGACTCAATGGAGTGAGGGGGTTTATAGGTACAAAATGGGTGCAATAGTTCCACGTACAGGATTATTGGGGAACTTGCAAAGCAATGAGCTTTAAGGCAGAAACCGCCAAGGGATACAAAGAAAGGTTAAGGGAAATGTGGGGAGTTTAACCAGAAGACTTTCAGTTTACTACCTCGCTACCAGGGATGTGTAAGGGAGAATAGGTAGTTAATTAAAAATAGAAGAATAAAAAGTAATAAAAAGCTCTCAAAAAATAAAAAAAAACTTACACACATACACACTCAAGAACACGAACGTCATAGCTATTTAGCACGTCCCGTTGATCGCAGGAACTTCGGCAGCGCCTTCGTTGCTCTCTGGTTGGAAGCTGGAACGTTTCGGCACTCCGTAATTGATGGTTCGAAGAGTAGCCGGTCATCAAGGCGTGCTAATGTTGCTGAGAGCTGCGGTGTTTGGGAGTCGCTTTGTGAGAAAATAGGGTATACTATATTTTACAGCAATTGATTGTGATTACGATGTGCTTCGAGATGAGTATGTTCCAACTAGGACATGCCATGGTTTCCTTGCTGCCACAGAAACACCTCACAAAATGAAGTTCACGTATAGGGTATCTCAAAAATCAGGCACTCCATGATTTTCTAGACGTGTTAATGTGGCGAGGAAGCAAAACCGCAGCTGGATTTGAAACGAGCTACAAGCTGCCTTGCTACACTCAAACCTTTTATAACAAAGTGGCACCTTATACGAAGTTAAGTTTCTTACATCTGAAAATTTGTTATAAGGGTATATTCTTAACACTGTACCTATTGCAAGACTATTTTTCATTTACTTTGTTATAACAGATATTTTGTTATATCCTTGTTCATTATACAACTGTTTGAGTTACTTCCTGTTACATTCATACCTCCATAGCCTTCACTTCATTGCCAAGATGAGCTATCCATGTGCATAGTGAAATCCAAATTAATGTGTCTGTGGAGAGAACACGTCACTGAAAGAAGCAGTGAGGCACTTTTGTACTCGTAATTAGTTTTTTTTTTATGGTTAAACCTTCCTGAAGTATTCGCATAGGCGTACGGGGAGAAAAATGAGAGACACTAACGGGCCCCTTTAAAGGTGGGGATGCGAGTTTTAGGTGAGAAAATAGGGTACAATATATTTTACAGCAATTCATTGTTACGATGTACTTTACTTCGAGATGAATATGTTCTAACTAGGTCGAATCGCAGTTTTGTTTATTTGTTGTAGTTTGTTGTATAATCCCTTGACATGGAACGTTTTGAGGTGTAACATGTTGAGAATGAACAATCTTCTTATCTATTAAAAAAACAAACAATATTCCATTCTAATCTCTGAGTTATAAATTGCTTTCTCCATTCCAGGGATCTGTACTCTGTGATAGCAAGGAGGTTGCAGTTGTTCTCAGCCCTTGACTTGGACGGCGTGCCCTTTGACCTCGAGTACGGTGCCCACCTCCTTCACTGCCTGGGCCGTGTTACCCACAGACACTGCAAGGTCTTGCCTGGCTGGCCTGGGTGTTGCACTGAACATGGTGTCTAAGCGTTGGCTTACTCTCCTTGCTAGGGCAACCGATCTTCGTTCAGTCCAGGTATGTCCTGGCCCCTGCCGGTATAGAAATATTCTGTATGCCGTTCCAATAATTCTATACGTTAGCTTACGGAGTGTATGTGCTTTCTGTGAGACTCTTACGGAAACATATGGAATTATTGGAATGGCATATGAAATGTTTCAATGGGAAAGTGGGGACGTTGAAATGCAGTCAGCCGAATAAAGTAACAACACAGTGCGCTTGTACATATGCTGTCGGTGGCAGTTGCTTATTATTGGTAGAAAGCAATTTGAAGGGAAATGGTGTGTTTACTCTTGAGATCTTCATCAATGAAAGCTTCTGGTTGTGGTGTCATTTGTACTCAAGCAAGAAGGGGCATCACACAGCTGTGCAAATTAATAGAAGAGTGTTTATTGTACAGTATATGTAGCGAGCCTATTAGCATAGTTGTACAATCAATGAAGCACACTAATGAAAGACGGTGTGAAATCGAAGAAGTTTGACTCATGATGCCGGAGTATCGCGCGTGTAATGTTTGCCTCTGCCAGAGACCCTGCGTATGTTGTTCGTGAATGAAATCTATTATTCTTGGGAACGAAAGATGACCGTGGCACAGTTCTGCGGAGCGCTTTGATGAGTGCACGATGACATTAATCCCAAGCTAAAGAGTTGGTGCCAACGCACGAATACTTGCTCCATGTCTCTCTTTGCCGCACATTTAAACAGCCCTCACTACGGCTAAAACCATCTGAGAAAGCCGGATTTTGTTGCTGATGGGAGCGCCATGTAGAGAAGGCAGTATTGGGGAAAGTGAGATAGCCGAGCATATCCGCAATGTCTAAACACTGCTAAATCTGTTAAAATAGCATTTTTCAAAGCTTCCTTGTATTTAAAAATGTGTATTTAAATGTCGCAATTTGTGGTGTACACGTATCCCGAAGGAGTACGGCCACCAGCGTGGGTCCGGTCTTAGCGAGCCGCAGGGCACGCGTTAACCGTCGCCGTGGCGGGAAACACGATACTGCTCAAGTCGCAACACTTTATTGTGGCAACACCAAACGCAGTACAGCCCGTTGCAAAAAGGCGCGGCGGGAAAGCAAGTAGGCTTATCCACGCCACGGGCACAAACTACTACACAGGGGTGCCACGAGCATGTCTCCGCGGTAAAGGTGATCCACGGAGACACCGGAACAAAGGCCCGGTTGCTCGAGCGAGGGCAAAGGCGCTCGCGTTGGCTTCGAAGGGAGACGGGTCGGCGTAGCGAGGCCACGCACTAGGACACCGTACCGCCCTTCGGCCGTGCGTACGCAGCGGGGCAACAACAGGTGAGCGTTCGCCTTGGGCGCGAGGCGCCGTCAGCGAAGTCCGACGAGCCCCCGACTGACGGGAGTCGACGGACGAAAAGATAGCGTGGCTCACCGTTTGCTGTCCCGGAGAGTATCTGTCCGTTCCCGACGCAGCGCGCGAAAACCTCTCGGGGGGTCCCCGCGCGCGGCGCCACAGTCTACATCCGCTTCCGGGTGAGGGAGTTAAACGTCACTCCGCCCTTCCCAGCGCGGCAGACAGCAAAGGAGGGCAGACATGTCGGGGCATGAGAACGGCAGAAAAGGCGGCAAAGCCCGCGCGAAGGCAACGGGCTAGCCTCAATTCCCACAAATTGAAAATATAAATGGCTTTCAATTTAATTTGCTTGATTAACATTGTACTCATTAATTAATACTGTACCACAATATATTATCTTTACAATAGATCTACTACTAGCCTGATTGTGTGTGGATCCAGATGCAGGGATGCAACAGCTGCGTCAATTGCGTCACTTTGATACAATTCTCTATTCATGCACCAAGCTGTGCCAAAACCATGAAACTTCCCGAAATGGTGCCAGACTGCACCACGGTAGTTGCCATAGCAATGGCACATGCGATAAATATCTGGTGCCATGGCCAGGCCAACAGGCACTTACTTTATCGCCATTTACTTTATCTGGTCAAACGTGCCTTGCAAGTGAGCCCAGATGTTGAGCCCTAAACACCTTCGTGAAAAAAAAAAAAAGAGGGTGGGTGGGGGGGAGTAGTAGTTCGAAAATTTTTTGGCCTTGTTCTAAACTGTGCAGAAGTTTGTTTAAGCCACTTCTGCTGCAATACACCAGTGATTTGCCGGAAAGCGTTTTGACATTGTAATTGGTCCTAAAGCAGTAGTCACTAGACACAGCACAATTTGTTCAACTACTCATGCGTGTATACGGCACATAATTGTGGGTACTAATATTATCGCTGACATCTAAAAAAGTTACTGGCAATCGTTTGGAGTACTGCATGATATTTCTGCTGGGTTGGAAGTTTTGCGCCATTGTGCACCAATCTGACCTGCTGTGCCAAGCTGTGCCTAAAAGGCAATTTGCGCAAGCAACACCAAATTTAGTTGAGTTATATCATCGACCGAGCAAGACGCGTGGGCTACACAAGGAAGGCAACCGCGTCAATGTTAAATTAGTTTGGTCACATTGTACAGTAAAACCTTATTAATTCGAACTCGGAAATTTCGAAGCTCCGCTCAATTTGAAGGATTTCTGCCATCCCGTATTTTGCAATGTATGCTTGAGTGGATAATTTGAAGCAACGGCCGGCACCAGTCCGGTTAGTTCGTAAACTTTGGGTGCTTGTGCGAGTTCCAGATCCCCATTTCGCCGCGAATCCGCGATAACGACGGCCCTTAATAGCCACAAGGCAATGTGACATATCGATACTAATGAGTGGCAGCTGAAACATCCTAGCCTTGCTACTTCTAGCGCAAAAAAAAGAAGAAAAAAACCGGTTGCGTGGTCAACCAAAACGTGCGCTTGCGGAAAACAAGACGTGCTTCACTGCAACACAGTGGTGACACGCGGGCTGTTTATTGCATGTTTCTCGCAAGGGTAGCGGGTCATTGTTTACCTGTTCTTTCTGAAATTGTAAAGAAATTAATAAAAGGCAGTTTAGTGGAAATCGGGATGCCTGCAAACCTCCGATATTCAGTTGCTCCGGCAATTCGCATCTCTGCAGTGCTAGCGGGGTTCTTGCCAGTAACATCTATTTAGAAAACTAAGGTTCAAAAGTTTAAAACTATCATTTTTTTCAGCCAAAACACATCGTGAGCTTCGTCATCCTGGACATTAATAATTTTGTAATTATAACAGAAAGAATGTGCGAATGATGTCATCATGACGTGCTGTCGCAGCCAGGAGCAGGCGATATGCTGCCCGCGTGTCATTGTTGTGTTGCAGTGGAGATGTCTTGCTTTCTGCAGGCACACATTTCAGTGTATTAGGACAGCATCTTCTTTTTTTTTTTGTGGCAGCAGCAGGGCTCACCGTTCCTCCATGTTCGCGGTAAAATTAAGACTAGCTATTGCTGGAAAAAATCATCCTTGGAGCCACAAGCTAGCCAGCGCAGCAAACGACGAGCGCTGATTACTTGGAATAGTTGTAAGTTCCTTGCATCCCACTTTTTGTATGTTCTGTTAATTCGAAAACCCACTTAATTTGAAGATTTCTCGCGGCCCCAGTGACTACGAATTAACGAGGTTTTACTGTATTTCAGCTCATGCATGAATCTTGCGCCACATGAACAGAATGCATGAATCTTGTTAAGGTGTCGTTTGTGTACAGACCTCATTATAAGACTACATATATGTTTTAACAGAACAGCTGTTAGTCAAACTATAAGGACGGCACTGGCATTGCAGAAAGCTCCGTTGCTGAGCAGCCACCAAGCACAGCACACGCTTTGCGATAAAGACTGTCGAACCATATAAACTGAAAAAAATGATAATAATCATAAAAAGCAGTTTCACCAGTGCAGCAATGATTGCAATAACAACAATTTGTAATGTTCTAATGGTAATGTCGCACGTGCCCTTGTCTTTCTATTTTGTTACAATTATACGTGTAATACTCCCTTGTGCTAACTGGCCAGTTTGACTGAGAACCATCTAGATAATTTTATAAACTTCCGATGAGATTATACACAAAGTGAGTACATTGAAGTTTGTTCTGGAACTTACGCAGCCGCTAGCGATAACGCTGGAACCTTCAATTCGCACATGTATAAATGCTGACACACTTTGCTACGTGGCAGATTATCGACAGCTGACGCTTTGTTTTCGCTGCCATCAGTTTACAGCAGTGTGTTGCTTGTAGAGTAACGTTTAGTTTTTCAGGCACAGTTTAGTCTAAATAAAAAGTTCACTCAGAAAACAATGGCTATTGTCTTCGTTGAAATTACGACTCCGTGACAATACGAAGGCTGACAGCTAACTCTTTTGGATCCGACATCCCAACACTCGCAGCTACAAAACGCAGGTGTAAGAGAATAAGTACATCCGCTCAGGGCTCCTATTGCACAATCTCTTCCCGTTAAGAGCGCACCAAGTAGAACGGTTTACGAGCCGTGCGCTGATGCTTGCCGATAACGGGCGCGCAAGCTGTCGCAACCACGCCTTTCATTAGAATCAAAGGTTCACGGCTGCTGCTCGAGTGACCCCCTTAACCCGCGTCTATTCATGCTTGGTCAAGACGGGCATGCGTGTTTTTTACTCTGCTTGAACATTTGACGGCAGGTCTAAAACGTGGTGGGATGCTATCGTGTGTGCCCTCGCCGAGCGACAGAGATAGGCCGCCTTGTTTAACCTCTGCTTGCACAGTTTTACGCGCTGGTACAACGTACGATGCGCTCGGAATGTTACCAACTTGTAGTTTACGCGGAACGTGGCGGCGATGGCAAAAACTTGTTGAGTGTTCATATAATTTTTTTCGTAATAAAAAATTTTGACTTCGTTGTCTAGCAATGGTGCGGCGAGCGCATCTAAACTACCTCGAGGTTCTCATGTCGGCTGTGGCACTTCAATGACCAGAACATAAGTTTTTACATTTATTTTTATAGGGCCTATTGGTTTAGTATGAAGATAACACTTATTACAGTAGCTCATCTCTACTCTTGATTTACTGTTCATGTTGAATGCAGTGTTTTAATTACAATTAGAACATTGCAACTTTTTAGCATTCAATTTTTTCATTTGAGTTCTTGCAGCAGTACAAAGTGGTGCTTATGTTTTTACAAAGAAAGATGTTATGAGACCACAACTCGGGTCATGCGCCACCGTAGTTGTCCACCGCTGCTCCGGTGTCTGTAACCACATCGCACGAAATTAGAAAAAAAAAAACTACCACCAATGACTCAATGAGGCTCAAACACGGGTCCGCTGGGGCCAGTTCAGTATTCTACCACTGAGCTACGCCTGGGCTTGGTACTTGTTGGCAAACTTGCCTTTGGCAGGCTTGATTTCGGGAAAGCAATCGCGGTAATACGACTTGTAAAGCATTTTAAAAGAGCGAAAAACAACCAGTTGTTGAACAATGCAAATAGCGTCACAAGTGGGTCGTCCAATGCTACAACCCATTACAAAAGCTTGTTTTTGTTTCCCTATTTACTGTGGCGCATACTCATTTCAGGCATAATTCCTCATCGTCGTCAGCCACTGCATGAACAATTGGCACTAAATTCTTTGCAAGTGTTTAGCGGATACCACATTTCTCAGAAGAATGACGAAAAATAGCATAGCGAATGCTGGCCTAGTAAAAAGAATTTTTATTAATGATGCCGTAGTAGGTATCAAGCAAGTTTGCTTGCAGTAGTTACCCACTGAGTGTTTCGAAAAAGCTCTGAAAAGGCCGCTCTTCTAGCTGTCGCTGTGACTGCTGCTCCTTAAGCGCAGGCCTGGCGTTTTTTTCCTTTGAGTTGCTGTGCTTTCACTTTTGTTGTTGTAAGGTTTAATATATATTAATTTCGGGTAAGTCTGGTCACTTGATCAGCAATGCATGCTTAGTAAAAACCACTGAAATATTTGTGTTTACCAGAAATTAAAAATTATTTTAATAACAGTGATGTGTGACCGGAGAAATATACTCCGGAACTACGTAAATTTCAATGCTCCGAAGCACACCTTTTTGTGCACCAGGGCTGCTCCAAAACTCCCTTTTTACTGCTCCAAAGCTGCTCCAAAACCATATTAATCCTGCTCCCAAAACTGCTCCAAAAGACTGAAGCCCTCTTCCACCCCTGAAACGGCAAAAAAAAAAAAAAAAAAACAGAACAGTGCATCAAGAAAGTTTTTTTTTTTCCTTTTTTTCTCACCCTCACTCTTCAGTTTTGAAATTTCCCAAATCTCAAGGTCACCATGAATCTTGGCAGATCCACATTTGAATCCTCAGAATCTGTCAAACAATTTGACAGGTGTAACAAATTGGGCTAAATTAACAAATTGTAACAAAAATGTAACAAAGTGGGCTAAATAAATGTAACAAAGTGTGCTAAATAAAAAAATACTACTACTTTTATTGAAATGACAGTGCTCATTTCGCCCTACATGAAATAGGGGATGTTGAATGGTTTGCAGATATTTTTTTCTAAATGTGAGCCTTCTTTCTCATACTGTTCCAAATTGGGTCTTTTGTGATGAAAAATGGATGCCCCCCCTCATTCATAACCTGCTAAAAATTCGGATTTTAGTGCTCCAAAAGTAACATTTTGCTGTTCTAAAAATCGCTCCAAATTTTATTTCGGCTGTTGCACTCCTGTAGATAGATGTTCTTTTTGAAAGTTTTCTATATCTTTTCAGTTCATGGGAATAAATGAAACTCTTCAGCCACATTTAGTCAAAGATTTCTAATGTTAAGATTAAGAACTATAAACTGACTGAATATACAAACAGTGCAACTTAAATGTAGTTACAGTGTTACTACAGAAGCAAGGAAATAAGGACAGAAAAGAGCACTAACTTTCAACATTAATTTAATAGTGGAGTGGTGTACATATATAGGTGGAAAAAAGAAGAGAATGGGCATGCGTAGAAACGTGCAGTTTACAACCACTGCGAAACAGTGTCAGCAAAACTGAAGCAGTGCGCTCGCCTTCTACGTGTGCCCATTCTCTTCTTTTTTCGCCTATATATGTACATCACTTCGCTATTAAGTCATTGTTGAAAGTCAGCGCTCTTTTCTGTCCTTACTTCTTTGCTTCTGTCGTTACACTGTTACTAATTTTAAGTTGCACTCTTCGTATATTCAATTATGTCCTACCAACTTGCCCAAGTTTCCACGCTTTATAAACTGACCCGACATTTAGGAACCCAAAATGTCGGGTCAGTTTATATTTTTCAATTTTAACATTAGAAACTTAAGACTCTAGGCATTAAGATTGTAGGCTCTTAATAATTGAATCATCTTAGTTATTTATTTATTCAATCTTAAAATCTTTTGTTGGTACCAGATGGGAGTGTACACTGTCGCAGCCATGTTGCACTGCCTGTCCTCGATGTGGAAACTTGGTGAAACAACTGACACCAGTGTTGTGGGCACTGTCCTACTGGTTCTCAACTCCCAGCTTGTCACCTTGATGACCTCACAGCTCAGGTGGGTACCACTCACTTAAGGGCTCTGTGCGATAGTCTCTCTTGTTGCTGGCATTGCTAGGGCCAAAACAAAACAAAACTACGAGCTTCTACTTTGCTGTTCAAATTTTTTAAATGTGTTCTACGTAGCCTGAAGATTTCTTAGGCCGTTTACAGCTTGACAAAAATTAACTTCAATGTATGTAGTACATGTATTACGGAGTCAAAGGAAAGATTAGCAGCACAAACTTGGGAGAAAGAAAAGAAAACAGGTGGACAGGCAGTGTTAATCTATGATACACTTAAACCTCATTATAACAAAATTGCACTTCACATGAAAATAAGTTTGTTATATCCAAAAATTTGTTATAAATGTATATTCCTAACACTATATTTATTGCAAGATTATTCATGTACTTCGTGATAAGAAATATTTTGTTATATTCAGATTCTTTATTTTCATGTTTGTGGGGTCTCAAAACTACTCGCTCTCTGAACGAACAGACACAGTTGACACGGTCAGACCAAACCAAACAAGACATTTATTCAATTACCTTTAGATAGACGATATTGCGGCTTACTCGCAAGACACGTGTACCCCATGAGGCGCAAACAGCTTTACAGCCGTTGGTAGCACTCCCACAGGTTTGAGGGTAATTCGTTTCATGTCTACACTGTTGATACCATCCTTGAGACATCCATCAGCTAGCTAACCTTTCGCCGCTTTTCCAGAATTGGGTCCCAAAACGTGGTGTGAAGTCTACCTTCATGTGAAGTTATGATTCTGTGCAAAACTTAGGAACAGGTTGAGTTACTCAGTTTTGCTACTCATTCTCAGATTAGTGTTGAATTGCAATTGCATTGAGCTTGTATTTATGTGAAACTTGGTACAATACTCGCAGACTGAAATCCAGTCTTGTTTTCTTTAGCAATAGGACTGCAATGAGCAGTAGCTCGTCATTAGCGCATCATGTTCCTTCAGATATGACTGCTGAAGGTAACACATTGACTGTGGTGCAAGTTTTCGAGTAAAATTATGCCCATATGAAACCAACTGTATGGGCTGGAAAAGTAAATGTGAGCAATACTTCGCCCCAAATTTCCTTGTTTCACTCTTTCAGTATGCTACCATCCAAACACTGCTTTAAAGGAGCTCTGCAACACTTTTCCAAATAACCATAGAATGCATCCACTAAAGGAGCTTATTGCTTCATAATTCACTGCTGCAAAAAATTTCAGAATTCATTCAGTATGAGCAAAGTTACAATGATTCGTCGCACGATGCAACCGTATTCTCTCTACCCGACAAAAGCTCTGAAGCTAAGCAGGGAGGGATAGCACGGGCAAAGAAAATAGGTCACGTGTGCCTCGTGACCTTGGGCCCTTTTTCTCTTTTCTTTTTCTTTCTTCAAATTCTTGGCTTTTCAGTAGGATTTTCAGTAGGAGCAAGTCGCAGCTTCTTGCGGTGGCCCCAGTGCTCAGCTCAAATCAGGTCTCATCAGGTCATAGTGGTGCTGACACTTGGTCTCGGTCATAGTGGTTTTGAGCCCGTAGTGTCATTTGTCGAGAGAAGAGAAAGCAATATTTAGCTGACTTCGGGAATTTATTGTGAATTCTAAACCACATGCTGTAGTGTAATATTTGGCTTGCGTTTTCTCGAGCGTCTCAACTACTGATCGGCAGCACTTTCTGACCATGCTCAAAAACTGTTGCAGGGTCCCTTGAACTATGGCAAGTGTAGAACAGCACTCCAGTTAAAGCTGAAGTTCAAATGTGGTGCTGACGTGTTGACTGGGAACGGGCTAATAGTGAGTTTGATGTTTGAAGCAAATATCAAGTCATTAGTGATTTCATCGAATAACCTCAAATTGAATAGTTAGCGTAGTATATATCGCATATTAAAAAAGGTTGGCCACTTTTTTCATGGCCCAACTAACTTTCACAGTATCTTTAAGAATTGGAACTAGGCATGTGTGAATGTCACTTTTTTGTTTTGAAGTGAAGTGGAAGCAACTTTGAATAGCAGCAAGGTTTGTGTAGCAGTAAGGTCAAAATTATAAGTGGCACAATATGTTACCTGTGAAAAGTTCCTATGCTTAGTGCATGAAAGCCCGCGTAACAAACTCTTAAAATTACAAAATTTATAATTCAGGTGAAAATAACATTTACCTTTAACCTCGTAGTGTGGTAGTAGGGCAGTGTGGATTTCCATTTTATGAGTGGTTTCACGGCATAGTACTCCACACTGCAGGGAAACTATCCTTACAGGGGAATTCTATGCGTTCTATGCATTACAGGGGAATTCTATGAATTCTATGCATTTATTCGTTCATATCGAGTCCTCGGGAATTTCCAATAGCCTAGATTCATGTCCAAGCAAATACAAATACTCGAATATTTCTTCAAATATTCAAAATGCCCGAATATTTGTCCGTCTCTGGCATTGGTGGTAGTGTCAAGAAGTTGGAATACCAGTCGCCATGCTTTAGAGCGGGTTTTACTTTGCTTGCAGGAGTTTCTCATTGTTACTATCTGAAAATGAAAGAAGCCAAATGCAGTCGGATTCCAGTTCCAGCCAGTGCCTTCCATGTGTTGCCTCTGAGGAGCCCATTCCTTGTGAGGGTTGGGATATGGCTTCCTTTGAATTCCTGGCTTCCGTGGCCAGACTCATTCGCAAAATGGCCACCAAGTCAGAAGCTGGCAAGAGTGAAGAACTTTCCGTGGTAAGTATAGTTTAGCTGCACGATAAATAAATATCATCGGATGCCTACCAACCGTAACATGTTTCGGTGTCCTGGAGTCGTTTCCGGCTCTTGCCGTAGACGAAAGCACGGCCTTTTAAATTGTGTTGGCGTTAGCTCTTTGCGACACGGCATGCCTTATGGTTAATCATCTATAAAGGCATAAAATTGACATTATTTGAAGCCAAGATTGCAGAAACCAAATTTAGCAATTGTGAAAGTGCTAGAGTAAAGTACCACATTTTCTCGCATGTAACCACCACACACAAAAAAAGGAAAAACCTGCTTTAAATGCGGGAGTGCTAGTTGTATATGAGAAAATACAGTTTAGTGTACTTTACAGCCATTAATTATATTTACAATGTAACTAACTACTCAACTATTGTGCAGCCACTTATGGTATGTTTTCTTGCTAGTCGATTTTAGCGACCAATCAAATCTTGTGCAGTGGTTAATTGCTAGCAGCAAGCATTTCAAAAAAGGCGGAAAACAGGGCTGCCAAATCTTCTAAAAAAAAAAAGCCACAAAAATTTACCAATGTAGCCAAAACAGTAGCCTACTGGCAGCTGTTATTTTGTTTTGGAGCCAGAAAATTAGCCAAACATGATTTCAGTTTTTTTTTACCACACCACATTCTGATGCTTAAAGATACAAAAATATACACCACAGCAACTTTTATCACATTAAGGTAGACTTTAAAAAAATTACGTGACTTCCTGCAGAAGGAATTAAGACTAGAAAATTGGCAATTAATACTGCACTGACTGTCAAGGGTATGTAATCGAGTTCACTTTTGCCAGCATGCCCCACAGCACTGTTAAAGGGTCCCTTAAACACTTTTTTGAGTAACCATGGAATCAAGTCACTGGAAAAGTGTATTGCCTCATTAACCCAATGTGGCAAAAATTTTAAGAATCCATCCAGTACGAGTGGAGTTCCGAAGATTTGTCACACGCTGCAATCGCATTCTCTATTCTGTCATCCCAACGAAAGCACTGGAAGCTAAACAGGGAGAGATGGGAGCGGCAAACAGAAAGCGTCATGCGCACTCGTGATCTTGAGCACTTTTCCCGTTTGTTTTTTTCTTCGAATACGTGGCTTGTTCAGTGGGATCGCGCGCAAACACGTGGACAAGTGATGCCCTCCGGGGCGATCTCTGTAACGACCGAGTGCGCTATGTTCAAATCAGCCAATGATGGGCTTACTACGGGTGATTTTTGGGCTTATTGAGTGGTTTGCCGAGAGAAAAAAAAAACAATCTTTAGCTGACTTTGAAAATTTATTGTGAATTCTAGGCCACGTGCTGCGCTTTAATATTTGGCTCGCATGTTTTCAAGAGCCTCTACTACCGATCAGCAGCATTTTCTGACCATGCTCAAAAAGTGTTGCAGAGCCCATTTAATGTATAGTGTGCAAAGTACTTCGTATTTCGCAGCAAATCGAGTGCAGTTTTTTAATCACGTTTGTGTAGAGCTTCTAACACCTTTCAAACACCTATCAGACGTAGTCCGAATTTGATCCGGTTGATCGCGAGAAGTTCGTGCGATATTCGATTCCTTAGGTTGCTTTTTGTAAGAGGCACAAAAGAAAACACTCGCTCCGCTTCTGCATTGGATTTAGAGAAAACAAAGTTTTATTGCCCTGTCTGCATTGTCTTGCATAGGATTATCACCTGATGCATTCCCGTAGGTTTATATTTCGATCCATAATTTCACTGCTGGAATATCAGCTCTCACATTGTCAACTTGACAAAGGTGCAGTACTTGCTCCTCAGTACGAGCTTGAGGCAACCAAATATGTCTCCTGCGAAAGTTTTCAAAGCGTTCATCGGATTGGGCCCCGTAACAGTTGAGTCAATGTACAGTTTGCTGCCAGAGTCACTAAGAAAACAAGACCGCCTTGGCTCTTCACATGCAAATACTTTTTTTTAATGTCTTCTGTGTTATCATATCATGGAAATAACAGCTTAGACGCATTCATGTAAAAAATGCATGCAGTGCATCATGTGTGCACACAAAGATAAGAAAAGGGGCTGTCATTTCAAAACAAATAACATAAAGCAATCGACATGACAAACGTCATGGCTGACAAGTGCAACATCGTCGGCAGTGCAAATGTGAAACGTCAATGAAAAATGACTGCAGAAAAAGTGAGGTGCATCCGCTTTGTGTAAGTCTTCTATGAGCAGTGTGCAACCGCTTTTCGCCAACTTTTGCCTAGGATGGCGCCACCTATTCAGCTCGGAGCATTAGCGCGTGAGGCGGATAGTGACTAGAAAGCTTAAATGAGTCCCCCGCCAGCTACATTACAGGGCTGCCTTACCTATATGAGTTCTATTTATAATGTGAAAACCATAGCGGCCGGGACGTGTTTTGCGTGCATGCAATTGCTTCTGGCATACTGAGTGAAAAAATGCGGTTACACTGAGAGAACCGCAGTTGGCGGTGTGAATGAACTTTTTCTTAGTTGTGCTTGGTTTTAGTGCATATTAGCTGTTGACGTCAGCGCCAGAACAATAGACAAAAAGTAGCCAAGTAAGCAACGTCATTTTTTGTTGCCACGACCTTTGAAAAGTAGCCAATCTGGCGTAAAGTACCCAAATCTGGCAACCTTGGCAGGAAAAGTTTTTTTTTTTTTTTTTATTCCTGCAGAGACACCTAATGTGAAGGTCTCGTTAAACACTGTACTGCCTTTGCTGAATTGATTGTGTGTAGCATAATACTTCGACCACCAGAACAGAAACTTTATGCAACAAGAATGCTTAACTTATCATTAGCTGAGTCTTTGTGGTTTCTTCTCTCCCAATAGTGGTAGGAAATGGCAAAGTAAGTCGTATCTTCACAAGATGGCGCTGTGCTACAAAGTATTAAAGGAGTACTGAAGAAAACTGAAAAAAACCTTCAAAGGTGTTGTGGCGACACACTGCGCACGAACCAACGCAGCCAGCGTGACTCGGCCGCTTGCTGGAACCCTCGTTCAATAACGGACAGCGCCACCGCTATTTCACCGGTGGCTGACGTCACCACAGGTGGCTATATAACCCAAGCTACCAAGCTTGGTTTCATGTTTGTTACCCTAGCCGTTCGAGCACAGCATCGGCATGCTTGCCCTGCTGCTACCACGTTAATTAATAAACATCCTTACATTTTATGTTCCTATCCGTCCTTTTCTCGACACTGTATCTCACATCCGGTGACTCGGCATTCCAACTAACTGCACCGCTCTTCGCTGACAAGTACTTGCCCTGCTGCTGCTATCATGTTAATTAATAAACATCCTTACATTTTATGTTGGGATCCGTCCTTCTCTCTACACTGTATTCTACATCCGGTGACTCGGCATTCCAACTAACCGCACCGCCATGGTTGAGCAAGAAGCCCTCGCGGCTCTTCGCCGACCAGTACAACTACTTCAACAGCTACTTCATGCCCAACAACAGTCGCGCTTGGTCTACGCCCACCAAAGCTCTGTTCTAGCGAGCACCATCACTCCTACAGGCACAACACCCTGCATCCTCATACCACCAGAGTTTCCCGAATTCTGGCCCGGAAGCCCAGCCACCTGGCTCCTCAAGATGGAGGCTGCTTTCTGCCTGCGCAACATCTTGCAGCAGGAAAGGTACGCCATCATGGTAGACATACTTCCTCCATCTCTGCGATGTGTTGTGCCTCCTCCGGGACCACAGCCATATGACAGACTTCGAGACTTCGTGCTAGCCCTACCTCAACCGACAGTGCCACGCCACTCACTACCTGCCATGCGAAACGTTAGCATCGCACCTCGGGCCGTCACTACACCTGCACCCAACCCAGTAGCTCATTCTACGTCTGCCTTGCTGACCATCGTGCCGTCTACTCTTCCCACCTCGGCAGCCGCCACTCCTACAACCGTTCCTGCTTCCACCACCGCTGCCCCAGCTTCATTAAACTTCCGCGCCAGCCGCTTCATGCCTACCTCAACCCCAACTGACCTACCTGCTTCTATACCTGCTGAGGCCATGTCAGCTACGGAAGTCTTGGTCGATACAGCCCCGGTATTTCTTGAAAGCACGGTTGTAACTACTGAAAGTGCTCAGCCTGCTGGGCTGACCGCTCCATCCTTGCCTAGCACTGCTTCCACCGAGACCCCAAGTCATGGTGCTCCACTGAATCCATGTGCTGGGCCTTTCTCTCTCCTAGTTACTTCACCGGTAGTGTCCACCACTGGCCTTCCGAACCAGGAGCAGTCAAACGCACCCACGGCTTCTACCAGGGCCCGTTCAACAGTTCCCGTTGAGCCTCGTGCGCAGACCTTGACTTTCTCTCCACCCGAAGCCACTTCTACTGCTTCACTTCCGGTGACCACAGATGCCCCTTCGTCGCGGTTCACCGAAACCACCATTAACTGGACTGTGGCAACTACTTCTGCCCAGATCTACAGTGGTTCCGATTGCTCCTCTCGAAAAGAGGATCCCACTGGTGATGACTACGGCAGCATATGCCCTTGGCCCAGTGCCGCTGCCTGCGGCCAAGGTTCCAGCCACGACCCTGGCTCCTACTGTGTCACAGCTTGCGAAGTTTCCCTTCTTGGGTGTTCACTTTGTCCCCCCTCGTCGCCATTCGCAACCTCGACTTACAAAAGAAAGTCCAGCACCTTTTGGCCACTCCTTCCACAGCCGCCATGTCACAGCCCGCTACTTTCACGGCACGCTTTGGGCGTCTGGTACAAGCCCTGAGGGTTCTCCACTCCTCAGGGGGGTGATGTGACGACACACTGCGCACAAACCAGCACAGCCGGCGTGACTCGGCTGCATACTGCAACGCTCGTCCGATAATGGACAGCGCCACCGCTCTTTCACCGGAGGCTGACGTCACCACAGGTGGCTATATAACCCAAGCTACCAAGCTAGGTTTCGTGTTTGTTACCCTAATCATTCGAGCGCAGCATCAACGGCTTGCCCTGCTGTTAATTAATAAACATCATTACATTTTATGTTGGGGTCCGTCCTTCTCTCGACACTGCATCCCACAGTGTGATAACTTGGAAGATAGGCTTGTGTTGTGGTAACCTCGCCACTCACTGTAACAAGATCACCTCGTATTCAGGTTTACCAAGCCACAGAACTGCATATCGCCGCCTGCTCACGTGTTGTGCACTGCTACGCATGCGCTCAACTAGCAAAGCAGATAGTGTTCAATCGAGCAATACACAAGAGCACTTTATTGCTTTCCCCCCCCCCCCAAAAAACAGTACAACGTCCGCTCCAGAGACACGGGGAGCAAAGGCTTTTGCACACGGACGCACATCAAACAAAGAAACCACAAGACCATTGCAGGCGATGGGGAGTTTTAACATGCCACTGAAAAATGGTCCTCGTGGCTATGCTGGGCACTCAGACGAGCACTACTGAATCTGGTTGCGTAAGCTAGGGCATATCTCCTACGCATAGGCCTCCAGCAAGTGTGGTTCAGCATAGTAGGACTATGCACGAGCGCTAGGCACTGTTCTTTGACTTATCGTACGTAACCGGAGCTAACGCAAAGGTAAACATGCCCTCTAAGGATGAACACGTGTTTATCAAATGTTGCCCGAGAAGAATGCCTTCTTCAGTGCGCACCTGACTCAATCTCGCCAACTCTCGCAACCCGAGACCACGTGCCGCGCATGGCGCCATCTTTTGCCACGCACAGTCACGAGAGCACTGGAGAAGGCAAGAGGAATGGCAGTACAGCAAAAATGCCTGCGAAATGGTTGCAAGCACACTTCAGATCCCCACAGTGTCGAAATTCACATTTTATCTATAAAATATCAGCGGCCAGTATAGCCTAGAAAATATTTTCTAAAGGGGCCCTAAAACACTTCTTCAAGTAACCATAAAATGGACTCACTAAAAGTGCTTATTACCTCGAAAATTCAATGGCACAAAAATTTCAAGAATCCGTCCAGTACGAGCAGAGTTACAAAGATTTGTTGCACGCTGCAATCGCTTTTCCTGTTCTCTCATCCCGAAGAAAGCACTGAAAGCTAAACGGGGGGGGGGGGGGGGGGATGGCATGGGCAAAGAAAATTCGTCATGCGTGCCTCGTGACCTCGAGCACCCTTTCTTTTTCCTTCAAAAACGTGGTTTTTTCAATGTGATCGAGCGTGCACACGTGCACAAGTAGCGGCCTCCCGCGGCGATATCTCTAACGATCAAGCGCGCCATGTTCAAATCAGCCAATGGCTGATAGGAGGCCTTCAGTGAGTGATTTCCGAGCTACCTCCGTTATTCCTCGAGAGAAAAGAAAGCAATTTTTTGCTAACTTCGATAATTTATTATTAATTTCAGGCTGCGTACTACGCTATAGTATTTGGCTCGCGTGTTCTCGGGAGCCTCTACTGCCGATCAGCAATGTTTTCTGACCATAGTCAAAAAGTGTTGCACGGCCCCGTTAAAATCAATTTTAAACTGTATGCCTTGCAACTGTCTCAGAAATGGAGCTTATCGCAACATCAAGATCAACTTGGTTTGAATCTAAATGACAAACAACCACCTATGTTGGAAGTTTGTGGTGGCTACTAGTCTCCTAGCATTCACTTACTCCCACTGTTCTCAATGCAGTGCTAATGTGTACGCAGTGCTGCACACTATGCATGTCGCCGTTGTGTCCCTGTTTTATGTGTTCACATGGCCAGCTATGTTGACCAGTGAACCACACTTGAGGCTTTCTAATACTGAAACTAGGACTGGGTGCTATAAAAATGTCCCCAAGTAATTAACTATTGTGCACTCAAGAAGACGAGGTTTGCGGCTGTCATAAGTTATTACTACTGAAAAACAAGTTGGGAAATTTTTGTGCAGTCCTCTAAATGCATTACCTCCTCATTATTTTTTAGATTTATTGCTTGTTTTTGCCTTCTTCGTCCTTCTCTATAATGCCTAATATTGGCTCTCTTACCTGAGCAACACACTCCCAGCCTTGCTTATACTCGACAGCTGTGCTATTAATTGCACCTGTACTTTGCCCAGCGCAAATTTTCTTCCAGAGCTTTTCACTACGGTGTCTCTCATAATCATACAGTGGTTTTGAGACGTTAACATTATCCTGTCCGTGCCTATACTCGTCAACAGTATGCTGCCGATGGTTTCAATAAACATTTTCTTGCGTTTGGAGTGCTTTGTGACAACTAGCGCCATCCAGTGCATAAAAGGAGGTCTTTTTCTAGTTCCGCTTTTGCGTTTTCTTTTTTCGCTGTGGGAGGGATTTTTAAAAGCGCCTTTTAGACGTCAGGCTAGACGAGCGCTCGTTGTTTCCGACACGACATCAACGCCGCACATAGCTGCTCCTCGAAAATGGCGAATTTTAACGGATTCTGATGAGTCTCTATTAGAATTTTGTGATGGTGGTAGCAGCGAAGACTCGGGAGATGACTTTGATTCATCAGACTTTAGCATGGATGGTGAAAGTGCATCAAGTAGCCCCGGAACGTCGACAGGTATCCGTCGGCAAGTTTCGTTTTCTACTACGAATCGTTTCATCGCAGCAGCGATCATATCTAAAGACATCTCATCATCATCATCAGCCGGACTACGTCCACTGCAAGACAAAGGCCCCTCCCACGTTCCGCCAGTCAACTCGGTCTTGTGCTTGCTGCTGCCAATTTATACCCGCAAACTTCTTAATCTCATCTGCCCACCTAACTTCTGTCTCCCCCTAACCCGCTTGCCTTCTTTAGGAATCCAGTTAGCTACCCTTGATGACCAGCAGCGTGTTCTAAAGGTTGTGGTTCTTATCTGCAGGGTGTAAATGTCGTTTGGACAGTATCACTTGTCAGCGGCGGCACAGAGAGTGAAGTTTTGCGTGAGAAGACGGCCGGGTGTTGACCTCAGCATTGCGCTCTGCAGTGCCGCGCGGCGCTTCGTTGGAGCCGCTATGGCTAACATTTTTTTTTATAAAATTAACTTGTACAGATAGAAAGTTAGTATTTGCAGTAATGTTGTATACAGCCTACTTCTTTAAAATGTACATTTGTACATTTTTTTAGGTTGAATTGGTACAAAGCAGTGTCCATGGTTTTACAAGTTTCAGAAATATTTTTATTAATATTATTCTACAAAAAACATTAAGAAATGTTTGTTTAAAAATAATACCATTTGAATGCACAGTATTTCTGCTACAAATTGATCTATACATTATAATAAAAAGCATTTAGTGTAGTAGTAAAAAAAAACGTTCACTAGACCACCCAATAACTGCTTATTTTTCTGCGGACAGGAAAGTGTGAAACCCCACATATCAATTACCAATCTATTGCAATTTCACCGCATGGAGTATGTGTGCATACCCCTTGTGGTGAAATTGGTGCGCAGCCTAACTGTGCACAGCATAACAAAACAATTATTCCACCCTTGTTAATGAAAGAGCCCCTGATAAATGATCAACTAGACACAGTATTGCAGAAAAAAAATTCAAGCTTGGGTCCTTTTATCGTGCTTCTGCAGTAATCGATAGTAGCCACCAAAAAGTGTTCTCTTTAACAGCGGGCTGGACTGTACATGGAGTACAACTGTATCCAGGAAAGACCACATTATATTGATTCCTGCGCTATAATAAGTGGTTAAGTTATGTTAAGAACCCCTGGTTGTCAAAATTTCCGCAGCCCTCCACTACGGCGTCTCTCATAATCATATGGTGGTTTTGGGACGTTGAACCCCACATATAAATCATTAAGTTATGTGATGGGAGTCATCTTTTAAGTAAGCAAGATGAAGGTATTGAATCTTGTTCACCTATACTTTTCTCTTTTTTTAACTTTTCACAGGCAATGACCAGGCTCCTCTGCAATGCTAATGTGAAAGCCTACTTGGAGCAGCTCTGTTCTCAAGCCAAGCACTGGACTCGGAGGTGCAGTCAGCGATGGCTTTGCCGTCCGGAGTTCAACCTGCTGTTTGAGTTGCTACTTCTTGCAGCGTCTGAGGTGGGTTGAACATTGAACGGTAGCCAATCATGCCTGTTTGCAATAGTAGTGTCTTTGTCACACTGTTTTCAAATCTGTCTTGAGAACCAATGGTGGACATTTCTTTTTAACCATAAACCTCTTCTGTCTCTATTTCAGACTTTAGATGAGGATGATGCTGCGCTATACCATGAAGTGTCGCTCACGCTTCTGTGTACAAGTGCCCCAGGCTTTGAACATCAGTATCTGGAAGTTCTTGAGGAGGTTGCTTTTGCCGGAAACCTCGCTTGGTGAGAATGCCGGTTCTTCTTTGTACTGCAGTTATCCTATTTAGTCTACTCTGTCAAACCCTTACTCGTACTCCACCTACATTTGGCACAGTCAGAAGAAAAAGAAAAGGGGGAGAGAGAGATAAGAAAAAGAAGAATAATAGTAAATTTGCTGTCTTCAATTGTTCACTCATCAGTTATTGTTGGCAAAGAGAGGCTTTTGTGGCTTTCCCATTTTCAGTGGATTTTGTTTCTCAATGATGTACCATGTAACTCATAATGTTCTTTTATAGAATGACAACTTTTTTTGCATTTGGCAAACAGTGCACCATCTGCAATTTCCATCTGAAGTTGCTTCATAAGGTGAACAGAGCTTATCACCTTTAGTGTAATTCATGCAATTTGACGTAATTTCATTTCTCTGATGTCTTGCAAATAGCTTCAAGCTATGTATTTGTATAGCATCCAGACTATTAAAAGAGCTAATTATCTTGAAGATTTGTAACGAACCTGCCACAGCTTGCACAGCCTTGGCATTTTAGTTCACAATGATTTCACAATGATAGTAGCTTATCACTATTGTATTATTTATCTCGTACTCCACACCTGAACTACGGTCGTGGGCACTATGAAAGAGAACGCCGAATTATTGTTTATGCAACAATTTGCTCATAATTTGTCAGAGGGAATGTTATGTATTGATTAGGAAAAAGCGTTTTCTTCTGGATCTTTTAGTGTTATGAATACTTTTTCACTTGCCTACTGGGTTTGGCCGCTATGACTTTTTGAAGGCAATTTAGGCAGTATGAGTGTTCCCTTTCAAATTGCTCACGACTGTACATGTCACATTTTAGGCAGTATTTTCTGGGAAAAAGTGTACGTTAACATGAAGTACAATTGAACCTCAATATAACACATGCGAATACATTGAAGTCTATTTTGAAATATTGTCCACAGGTGTTGCAGTGTGGCAGATGTACGGTTGTTACGAGCATTGGAGATTGCAAAGCTGTTTCTGTGCTTGACATTACTTCAAGGTCTGACTAAATTCAGTAAGTGCACTAGAGCCAAATGCCCAAGGATGCAATGGCAAATGTGGTTGTGCTGAACTTGAAGTTTGAGTAGAATCACTGAGAGGCAGGCAGGCAAGTTGTAGCAGATTCCCAGTTGAACCTTGATTACCCGAAGCGGTCTTGAAGCATTTCTGCCAAGACACTGATATCGTGGTTTCGGTAATTTTACTCGCATATTTGTATCTGCTTCTAGCTCGCAGTCCAGCCAATCGGAGACGCTGTCGATAGAGGACGTTTCAGCGAGTGAGATAGAAAGCATCACGGGGTGCTCCATGCCTGTCGCCGCCAGTGCCAAGCTCGACAGTGCTGCGTTGTCAGACATCAAGGCTGCCTGTTTGAAGACTCTTGAAACAATCCTAAGGCAGATCAACCAAAGGTAGGGCTTTTTTTTTGTAAGACTTGGCTAATCAGTTCGTTTTTGTTGTTGACTCTTGTTATTACTAACTTTTAGGAAGTGCATGTACTGTTTGTACTGTCAAAGTATTGATGCTGTAAGTCAGAACACAATGTAATTGCTGCAAAGGAAAATTTTGTTAGTTAAATAAACCTCAAACAACCATTTGGATGAACTGCCCTAAGTTTCATTAAGGAAAAGTCACTGGCTTGGGTAGAGCTGTGAGGCTTACATTGATGGAACTCAACATTAATCAGCATTTTGTAGTGTTGTGATTTTACTGTATCTATTAACACAGTACTGTTGAGCTTATCTACAATGATATAAGTTGTACTGAGGGCTTGGTTGTTGCAGCGGTACCTTGACAGTCATGATTTTTATGGGTGTCGTGCGGATATGTCGTTCGGTATGTCATACAAACAATCTCATTTCTCGAAGTTCTTTTAGAGTGAATGGGGTTGTGCAGTTATGCAAATGTTTGATAAGGCACACACTGGAGGAATGCTGCTGCTCATGACACCTTCACATCAAAGTAGAATTACTGTGTGCGTAGTCAGTATACAAGTCATTGGTTTAATACCTACCTACGCATTGCTGCTGAGCTTCTTATATCAGCTTGTGTGTATTTTACAAACTTTGCTCTCACTTTTATTGCAGCTCAGCGGTGTCCCTAACGCTGAGAATGAAGCCCGCGTATTCGTATGACTGGCTTTACGTCCCGTTGCACAGGCTATGCGCTTTGGAGGAAATAACAAAGTAAGTCAGCTTTTGTTTTTATGGTTCAAAGTGAAGATGTCTTTTCCTTTATAGCAGAGCTGTAAAAGGGTCGCTTGCTTTATTTGGGGTGACCTTCCACAAGCAGAAACGCAAAAAATAGAACACATGACCTTCTATGAGGAGGCGACGGCATCATCACAAAATGTTGTAATGATGTCACAAATCATCAAAATTCGGTTGCCATCTTCACATTGCATAAACGTCAACAGATGTCGATCGGTCAAGGGTTGGCCGGTCCAGGAGACTGTGCAGAAAACTCAAGGGGAGCGACGCACCTTCTGTATCTGTTTCAACGCAACATTTGAGTCTAGGGGTGGCTTTGCATGGCCAGTGTCAATCAACCACTCTTCTTGCGAATGCCAGTGATGCAAGTGCTGCTTCAATTGCTTCAAACTTCTCCGAAAAGAAAATGTTGCTACATGGTCTTTATACTGGGATATTTGTTAGTAAGTGCTCCTAATCTGCTCTAAAATAGAGCTGGAAAAATGGAGATGAGAAACTCCAAGCATGTGACCAACTCGCAAGAACTTTTTAAAAACGAAAACTACCTGTATACTATCATCCTAGTGTGCTACTATGCAGCTTTATTGGCTCTGATCTTATTTGAAGATATAGCTCATTTTAGGTTGCGTTCATTAACCAACCATCTTTTCATTTTTAGTTTTTTGCCATTCATTTTCTTGCCTGTGAAATACCTGTCCTAACAAATATTCATTATGAGATGCTTGAGCAGTGCTTTGAATTTTAAGAGTTGCAGGGCATACTTTACCATCTACTCTAGAGTGCCATTATTTCTGCTCCGAAAATACTCAAGGCTGCTCCAGAGTGGCATTATTTCTGTTTGCCCTGAATATACTTATGGCTGCTTCAAAGTGGTGAAATTTACTCCATAAAGTCGAGAGTCGCTTCCATCTCTAGAATGGCCTTGGAGTATCATGCTCATGAAGAATGCCTATGACAGCAGAGGCGGCAGTGTACCCGTCAGTCCACAGGTCATTCTCTTTCATCAAATGCAATAGCTCCAACATTTTGCAACGCAAAATGTGTTTCGACTTTAAAGAGTGGTGCATTGTGATCCAGTTATATAGGCTAGTCTATTCTTCGGAAAGAAGGAGGGGGTAGGCATTATGTACTGAAAAGTAAACCATGCTAGCCCAACTTTGTATACTTCTAAATCTAATCCATTTTTGTAGTTCATTGGTTGTTTTGAAATGAGAACAGAAGGAAACAGGTGGCAGGCTCTTTTTCCTGTGGCTATAATTTGCATGTACGAAATAATGCGCTGGAAATCGATAAAAATGATTCAAATATTATACATTGCCCTTGCAGAAACTACGATCGTGGTCATGTCCTGTCCTGCTTGCGCTGGGCCATCCACCTGCTCGGCGCAAGGCACCACTTCATGCGAACGTTCCCACCACTGGTTCATTTCACCCGTCTAGCATCAGTATTTTTGGCCGGTAAGGCTATTGTTGGCTATACCCGCATATATTGAACCCACACATAAATTATTTTTTATAATGAACAACTCTATAATCTCCTTAGATGCATTTTTCATTTACTATGCAATATTTTACCTTTAAACAGGCAATCTTTGAGCTTCGTCATGATTACCTTCAGATTCTATATATATATATCTGATGTTTACTGTATCCATTTCTCATCTTGACTTTCTAAGGGCAGTGTGTAGGGGAGCGTACTAGAGGCATAGAAATGTAAGGAAGTGACCAAAAAGTTACTTTTAGCAGAAAAATGCCTTTTAGGCAAGTTTGTATTCTTGAGCACCTTTCTCGGTGTCGTATAACTCCGATCCCAACTGGCTAGTGGGATGATGGAACTTGCTCTGAAAACTTCACGAAAGACACAAAATTCCCAGCAGGCAAAATTTTTTCTGATTTCGAGGGGCACAGTAGCATGTGATTGCTTCTCTCTGAGGCTCATTTCAATGCTGACTTCATGTGCGCACTTTTCTGTGTTTTAGAACAGCTTTGATACCACCAGAGCAAGCCAATTGTTGGAAGGGTAGTTTCAGTATGCTGATGGGCCGTAGTGCGAGCAACCCCCCCCCATCACGTCTTGATTTGGCAAGCATGATCAAGCCTCTATTCGTTTACTTTTGCATTCACCGCTGTTGGAAAACATTATCTTGAAACATGTGTCTGCTCTTAGGCTTAGCAGGAGAAGCAGCGAATAGCACGGAAACTGCGTGTGACTGTTCGCTTCACTGTGCACACGCAAGGCACTGAAGTGTGTGTTACTATTTATGGTAAAATCATTGGTAGTGCTGACCAAACAGGGTTGTCTTCAATGTTGGTTGTTAGTTCGCATGCCCAGTATGTTGTGCTCACCGTTTTATTGCCATGGTAATTATGGTATTAGTATAGCTATTCATAATTGTGACACTAGTATTCACGCTTAATTCTGGCAGGTCCTGAGCTGTTCCTAGACATGGAGGTGCAGGGCGCCATGTTGCGGCTTCTCCAGCTGCTTGAGCAGACAAAGCTGCTGTGCTGCACGCAGCGCCACCTGGATCTGAACCACTGGCCAGGACTGCCATCGTTCTCAGATTTGTGAGCCCCTCAGATTGTGTAGAACAGCAAGGGTTTGTGTTTAATAAGAAAGGCCAGGAACGGATCGAGGGATCGTTTTTGTTGGGCAGATTTATATTAGGCCAAAAGAAAAAAAAATAATTTCAACAGTTTGCTCTTTGTTCCATAACACTGGCATGAATTTTACATCACACAATTAGTGCAACGTACTTCAAAAGTGTTGGCCAGCACCCACTGTAGCCACTGCGGCAAGCATGCAACACTCCTGTTGCTCAGTGACATACCACGTGATTTTTACAAGCTGGCAGCTAGCCAGTGTACCTTCGTGAACTACCAAAAGGCACAGAAGCATTAGTTTATGGGGGGCTTTGGAAGGAGGGGTGTACCTACAAATTACACCATGGCCACCTTCCCTCCGCACGCTTTGCATAACATCGATTCCCTAGGTATGTGAGATCTACTGAATTTGTTCGTGACCGGCATCAAGTTTTGTCTGTTTGTGACATTAAGCCACCAACTGTGCCTCGAACAACGGCAGCGATCGCCAATGCGTGCATGTGGTCAGGCCTTTCGCCGCAGCCCAGATACAACGAAATCTGCTTGCCCCCAATTGCAGCATGAAGCATGACATCATTGGAGGTCCTTTTAGGCTTCCTGTCTCCCAAATAAACTTCATTTTCATGTATTAAACCATTTCTTCAAACTTCAATTTTTTGGACTATTTAGCAGTCTAGACGGAAGATTGTTCAGTTACTGTACCTTAGAAGCCCTAATTAGCTGCTGCATTTTCACCTAGACGAATATTTTCATCTAGGCGAGCTTACAGTAAGACCTTTGTCGGGGTTGTTCTATGAAATGAAAAAGATTGATGTTTTCAGAGGTGGTGTTGTCAGATGGATGTACATTTTCTACATCTCATAATTTCTGTTATATATATTTTTTTTGTAGATAGAAGCGTGTCTTAAGACACTCTTTTCTATCTGGCAATCTTGAATTAGTTTATATCACTCACGTAAGATACGTCTTGTTATTGAAACTCATATACATGAAAAATTTCTTCCTTCTGGGTTTTGGTGATATATTACGTAAAATATTGAGTGCAGTAGTTTCTTCGGCAAACAAAGATCTAGGGTAAACCGCAGAAAACATGTACTTTCCTGGCTGTAGGAAAAGTTAATTTTTGTGCCCCTTTCTAAATGCAATTAGCCCCATGGTGTAGGCCCCCCATCCCCCAAAAACGGAAAACTTACACCTCTCTAAACAAAGGTCTCAAACCTGCCTTGCTACGAATCAAATGAAAAATGAGGAGTTTATCGAAGAGCCTTTTTTTCCTTGACAAGAGTTTTTGAAAAATCTACACATTTGTGTTGTGAATGCAACTTTATGCCTCTGCAAAATGCATTTTTCTTGAAAGATGGTATTTGTTGACTCGTGGAAACAGCAAATGTGCCATAGACCAATCTTTCATTACAACACACTGAAGCTGTTTCTGGAGCTGTTGAGTTATTTCGTGCCAACCCAGCTGACATAGAGGGGTACTAACTTAATACCGTATTTGCTTGCGTAATCCTTGCACTCCCCACATCGTCCAACAAAAAAATGATTTTTTTTTTCTCAAGTAATTATCGCACCCCCAAAAACTGCCGCAATAATGTCGTCTGCTCATTCAAACCACTGATGATGATAATACGCACCATCAGGCGCCATCTCTTATGCATCAAGCATAGTATTATTGCCCGGAGATTCAATTTAATCCAAGCCAAAGCGGCAGGTGCGCGTTGCGGCGTGTTTTGTATGTTGTGTCGGTAATCTTGTCACGTTATGGGGTGATACCGAAGCTACACGGCTAATTTTAAGCTGAAAGTGATAGATCATACACTAAACAACGGCAACAGGGCCGCCAGTAGGCCCTTCGGAGTCTACGAGTTTTGTGTTTGCTACTGGTGACGGCAGCTGAAAGCCACCAAGACGTGTTAGGCCTTCCGTGTGCCTAAAACTGGGATTGACGGTAAACTTTATTTCTTCTGAAGGAAACTGTAGGCAATTTTGTTAAATAGCCATTAGCCCAATACTGACGTCCTACGCTTACCTTTTGAGGACTCCTGTTGAGCGACAAACGCTACCGCTACGCCCGCAACGCCCACAAGCTTCGCGTTTGGTATTCTAATTCTCGACTATTTCCTTGCACTTGTGTCTCAAATTAAACTTGCTTGTGTTGAACCTGCGCTTTTATTGTTGAGGTAAGTTTTAATTAGTGCTTCTCAAAGCTTGCTGTTAGTTGCTGGTGTGGGAATTCTGATTTGCGATCACTTTCCTCGTAAGCTTTCCCCGCGTAATTCTCGCACCCCCCAACTTTGCATCAGTTTTCTGCCAAAAAAAGTAAAAAAAGTGCGAGGATTATGCGAGTAAATACGGTAGTGTGGGCCGTGGCAAGTGCTTTTTGGCTTGATGATGCACAGAATGCGATTCTGTGTCCTCCTGTGCAGTTATCTTCAGCTTCTGGAGGCATACGTCGGCGAGTCCTACGGAGACCAAGTGTTTGCCTCGTGGCTTCTGGTTCCCCTGCAAGGAGCGTGCGACCCCCACTTCCGCAAGCTTCTCTTTGCCGAGAACCCGGAGGCCCTGGCCATGACACGCTTGAGGCCAGAACAGGTACGAGAACGTCATTACTTCTAGTGATGTTGCCTTAGTGGAGCCTTAGACACTGCCATATTATTACCAGCACCCTATATGAGGCGCAGAGCAAATAAGAATTACGAAGTAACCAAATATGCTGAGGCTCATGCAATGAGCAATAAAACAAAAGCCTATCATTGGTATGTGAAAAAAAAAAAAATGAGGCCGTCTTGATCTACCCTGTGTTGCCATTGTCATCATAGTAGTAGTAGTAGTAGTAGTAGTAGTAGTAGTAGTAGTAGTAGTAGTAGTAGTAGTAGTAGTAGTAGTAGTACAGGTCACGTGACCAGAAAGGTGTGAAAATAAAGAAAAAATTACAGCATATCCACGGAGTGAAGGATGATGAGTGGGGCGAAGCGTCCGTCCATCCGTCCGTGCATGCATCCATGCGTCCGATTGCGTTCGAGAATGCAGACAGGGCACGGGTAACACTGACGAGATGCGAGACAAAGAAGCCGAACGCAAGCGTTTTCGAAGCGTCCACCCCTCTGCTTCGTCCATGCCCCACCAACGATCCGCCATATACAACGACTACCCAAGAGACTGAGAGAGGCACTCGTTCTTCGTACACTCAGGCAAAACCCACGTAGCAGCCAATCGGAGAGTAACGGTACAGCACCATCTGAAATATCCTCACTCAACTGCAGTTTGTATGTACTTCCATGAGGCAGCGCCGTCTATTATACTGTTCAGAGATACTGCTTTCTTTTCTTTCTCGTCTCTTCTCTCGGTTACGCGTGACGCATGACAAGATTAGTCTAAGAGAAGCTTCGCCACTAATAAAAATGAAAAGATATGATGGAGACGATTTGAAATTATGGTGATGCTTAGTAATTATGATGCTCAATATGCGTGAGCGAGGGTATGTGAAATATAATGGCATATTTACGATAGTGATCACACAAGCCAGTCATAGACACTTGCATGCTTATAGCTTTGCTGTTCCCACGGTTTTCACAGCATGGAACTGGGTGCAATTGTTAATACAGTTATAACAACCTTTACACATGTTTGCCTTTACACATATAGGATTGTTTTGCTCATTTTTTTTAGACACACAATGCTTGATCAACTTTACTTGTCTCCCACTTTTCTGTGCAGTCTGTTGTGCCTATATCTCGCTTCCTGGAACCACCTGAGGAAAATGCAATTGTGCTTGAGACTTACCTGAAACTCTTACTGTCAGGTGAGAGCTTGTTTTGACACGGAATACACCAGTAGCGTTAGCAATACAGTTCTTTAAGATCATAATGGTTTTAAAATAAAACATTTGAAACAGGAGCCAGAACACAACATCGCACGAAGTCACAAGCATGCTCGAAGCTGCAAGCATGAAGGCTCGGCAAATCCGTGTTCTACAAATTGTTCCCTTGGTGGCTGAACAATGATAACACTGCAGTTTGCTCTAGTAGATCTTGTAGAAAACTTGTAGGCGACACTTTACTGTTCTTCGCATGTCACTTGTGACAGCTCACTCGGCTGCTTCTACTTTGTAGTGCATCGCTCTCATCATTTTGGATGTGAAGCTTTATGTTGTCCCTGAGCAGAAACAGTGCCCATTGTATTTACTGTGCTCATTCTTCCAAGTTTTACTCATGGCATTTTACGTTCGTTATGCCATTGACCTGTTCCTGCTTTAAACCGAAAGTGCACCACATTCTGTTTTGTAAGTCAGCTGCTTCGGTGAGAAGACTACGCCATTCTTCGATATTGTATGATAGCCGTAATGCTTGCAGTATGTTTTGGGGATTGTTGTAGCAACCACTGTTTGGTGCAAAAATACACAACACCTGTGCTCCTCACATAGTGACCTCTGCTCATATTCCGAGACAGTCACTTTTGGAGACCTCAAAGTAATATAGCTTTTGTTGCGCAGTGATTGACTGGTTGAGGAAGAGCGGGCAAGAAGTAACTTCACTTATTGGACACACGAGACTATGTCACACAACGATCCATCACCGTGATTGCTGCAAAATATGGCCTCAGGTGTGAGCAACACTATTATCGCGACAGCCTTAAAGACCTCACTTAGTAGAAATTCCTGCGTCGGTGTCGTTGTCGGCATCGATGGCGTTGGTTGTGAGCGAAAAATCGTCATCTTTACGTCACCAAAAAAACTAGAAAGATGCAAATAAAATAAATAATAAAAAATTATGTGTCTTAGTGCGGATCAAACCTGGGTCAATTGCGTAGCAAGTAACTGTTCTACCACACAGCCTTGCCTCTGCTTGTGAATACAGTGAAAATAACTTCCTCTGCTTAGAAATGCAGTGAGAGTAACCTTCATGCTTTAGAAGCCACACACGTCCTGTAAACATGCTTCACAATACAGCATGAAATATTGTTGTAGTAATGCGTGGTACAAGTGCACATTGCCATCGGTCGTCAGAACATGAGATTACCATAATGACTTCGCGGTTTAAAGCCAGCCATCCACTACAAAATGCACACACGTTACTGCACCCTTAAGGTCACGTAGTGGGTGCATAGCATGTTCGAAAAAATTTCGTACACTAAGTGTTTGAAGTACTCACTAGGAACAGATATCACTATCAACTTTTAGCATTCAATTGTTAAAGGCGAAGATTAAGGGCCCCCAATTTTTTTAACCTGTTTTGTTGTGCTTGATACTGTCAGATAACAGACATTTCTGTCGACAGATTAGCAGTTTTAAAGGCACAGTTACCACTTGCCTTTCATATTCTTAGTGTGCCCTTATGGTGTAACGGCAAAGCGTCCTTGACGTCGTAAAAGTTATTTGCAAGTATTTTACGCTAAATTTTAGCTTGTGTCTTTACAGGGAAATTAAATTCCACCAGAAGCCCACTGCTACACACCATAGCTGAAGAAAGCGTGGCAGGGTTTGTGCACAACACCGCTTCGAGCCCCTTCAAAGTCCATCTGCTTCAAGTTCTCTCACATCATCAGAAGAAGGTGCATATCATCAAGGGCCTTACGGGAACAGATCTGCCCATGTAAACTTGTTATAGTCATTAACATGACAGTGCATAAATGTGCTGTTACATTGTCATTTTAATAACATTTTAGCAGCACACAGCTTTGTCATGCAGCACATGCTGCTGGGATGCTACTTTGTCATGTTAATAATAATGTAGGGGCACATTGCTTGTGCGTGGAGCACGCTTTATTAGTTGCACATCCTAATCACGGGTTAGGTTACACTCACTAACCTAGTTTTGCCTGAAATGGGGCATCAAGTGAAAGATCAAGTGGCATGCTTTAACCTTGTGAAGCTTGATTCATAACATGTAATGGTAAATTAATAGTTATTATTGAGTTCAGTATTATATAATTAGTAGTTTCATCTCCTGATAGCAAGGAACAGCAAGGCTAACTTTTATCTACCTATAAAACTTTTTTAAAAACTTAATTTGCAGTATTTGATTTGTTTTTTGCGATGCTGGATGCTGTTCTGCAATTGTAAGATATAATATTTCACCTAAATAAGGTCACTGCGACCTTTTTAGGAAGGTCATATTTTTTATTCTCCAATTTTTTTTTCTCTTCCTTGAAGTTCTTGACAGTCTTGCTGTAACATCTTTTTGTAGGAAGCTACCAAACGCATCCTGCGTTGGACACGTGCGAAAACAACATTCTAGGACAATGTCGCAGTGCCATCGTGCAAGCTTGCCGTCCCATCACAGCGACCACCTCCAAGTTATGACCAGCACATCTGTGTGATTCGACGACCTGTGAAGCTTGTGGTTGTGTGCACTGCAACTTTCGAAAGGCAAACGAATCTGTACCTGTCGAGCGTTTTCAGTCGTGAATAACAGTGCACCGCTTGGAAGTGTTTTATTCCATCGTTTTTTTTTTTTTAGCATTTCACGACAAGCGTGCTCAGACCAAAGGAACCATCTTTGTTTTTCATTCAACTCTATGGCATGTACCCACTCTGGGGGATTTGCCATGAATGTATCGTTGAAAATTTCAAAGAGTATTAGATGAAATAATAAAAACAATCTTTCATTCTTCTTCTTTGTCTTCCTCCCATTCCCACGTCATCTATTCTTTGCCATTTCAACTGGCTACATCCTCTCAAGGTTTGTTTCATCGCTTTGCTACAAATGAGGGATAACGCTGGCAATGACTGGGAATTTCTTCGCACCGTTTTTCATCGAGTGGCTGTTTGTCTTGAGTGCTCCCTTCTTTTGTAGTCTGTTTTATCACCTTGAATGGATCCACAAGTTTAGGGTGGGGATCACCGCAACCTTTCTACAACAGAACTGTATCGCCCAACACAACTCTGGCAATGTTTGTCACACATGACATTTGTCAAATGCTCTCTTCGTTGCTTCCCTGTGCTTTATCTCTCTTCTTTTGAGTGAAGCTTTTCTATAGGGCTGTGCGAATAAGAAATTTTTGGGTGTGAAGCAAGTTCGAATATTGACGTGTGAATGCGAATTGAATAAAATATTTCTCAAATATTTTTCAGAACACTTTCGAATACTTCGAGGTGAGATTGCAGAAGAAAAAGTTGGAGAAAATTCTTAAGCATGTCCTTAACAGACAGCAACATGAAATGTTTTTTTTGTGTGTGTGTGTGAGGTTGAAGTGCTGGCAGGGTGGTGTTTCGCGGTTGTCTTATCAAGAATGCAGCAATGGAAAGGAAGCATGTCATTTATGTACATAATTTAGTGCAACCAAAGTGTTTTGTTCAAGTTCAATTCCAGAACAGTACTAATAGAGGCCCCGTTTCTGCCACATTTATCATCTCGACATTTGAATTAGCGCTTTCTCGAGTTAATACATTTGCGACTGTAGCAGAGACTGAACGGCAGCTTTGCCGCAATATCAGTTTGTCATGGAGTGAAGCATATTAAAAATCTTAACTACAAAACTGCGCAAGAAATCGACAAGAAACAGAGAAGGCACGCACACAAGCACGCAGTTTTGTAGTTATGAATCACCAACTCGCTCAGCGTTCAGTTCTCTTAAAAATCTGAAGCGGGCCACTTTCAATTTGACAAATGTATTTGTCTTCAGGAAGTTCGAATAGTAAAACTGCGGTGCAAATCGAATTAAAGAGCAACCATTATTCAAAAACTATTCAAAATTTTGAATATTTGCGCTCCCCGACTTCTCTGATATGCCAGGAATGTCATTTGCAGGCAAGTAAGCAAGTTCCCCTTTAGTGCATCGAAACCTGAAAGTGTCAGCGTCGATCGTTTGCTGCTTGCTGGCGTTGCATAGCATATCTTATTACGAACTGGCAGCTGACCAATAATGCCTCACATGAAGGCATCAAGTCTGCCAGAACGAGACCCTCGCTATGAAGGAAGGAAAGAAGTGTATATTCTAAGGGCTCATTTTTATTTCTTTGACGCTATATAAATGAGAACTAAGAGACAGTAATAATAATTAATGTATAGGGGACGGTATCTACAGTAATTATAATATAGGTAATTGTGAAGAAAATAAAGCAGATAAAAAGATATATTGACTGTAGTAGAATACTTGACTGCCATGCCAAGGGCCCAGGTACATCTGACCCCAAATCTTTATTTTTTTTCATGTGCTAGTGGTTACGGATACTGGCGATGGCGGTCAACAACTACAGCGTTAAAATCAGCTGTTGTGATCTCACAACAGCTATCACTGTGAATGAATGGGATCAGTGACAACTTTTCAAAATTTATTAAATCAGTTCCTTCTTCCTGCGAGGTATTGTGGTATGGTTGTTTGCCTTTACTCAGAAGCCAACGTAAATGCCGACCGAGTTTTGTCATTTCCATTCGTTCTTCAACATTCCCTGTCTTGCGCATAAAACCTCTCTTGTCGGACTCTCCTGAGTGGCTGCTTTGCACTTCAAGCTTCGCTGTTTTCTTTGCTGTCGTCACTGTGATGAGCGAGCATGTGCTTTCTCAGAAAACACATGGCTGCAAACCCTTTGTTGCAGTGCGGGCAGTGAAGTGGGTACTGGCGACCATGTACGACCAGCTCGTGTTTCTTGGCAGAGCCGAGCCGTGTGAACCTCACTCCGCAGACGGAGCAGGCGTGAGGCTTCGCACCCGTGTGGATCAGCCGGTGCTTGGTGAGAGCACTGCTCTCCATGAATCCCTTTCCACATTGGGCACACATGTGGAGTCGAGCATCGTTGCCAGAGTGTAGTGATCTTTGGTGTCTTGCCATGCCTGAAGAGGTTGTAAAGCGCTGGCCGCAGACTGAACACTCGTACGGTTTCTCTCCCGTGTGTACGAGAAGGTGCGTCTTGAGATGTCCATGATCCGTGAAGCCCTTGCAGCAGACGTGGCACACAAACGGTTTCTCACCCATGTGGGTCCTTTCATGCCGGATCACACTGCTCCTAAAAGGATGAAAAAGGAGTAAAACAGAATTGATTTACTCTGGGCCTGGTGTCAAGTCTATACCACACTCATCACAGATGCAATAATAATGGCCCTAGTCATGTCAATTAGGCAGACAGACTATCATTTTACAAATGTCCAGCCAGGTTTCATGTATTAAAAAAAGTGTGGGGGGACAAAAGAAAAATGAAACAAAAGGAAATACGATTTTTCAATGTTCTCTATCCAAGGAAAAAAATTGTACTCGGGTCGAAACTTTCATTTGCACTCAAAGTTGTCCACATTAAAAAAAGTCGTGAATCCTAACACAAATAATATTTAAAGTATGGTAATATTAACATACCACATGCCATTTACAGAAATTCGGACATTTACGTGTATATAAATGACCATTTAAAAAAAATATAAAGTGTACAGGCTCATCACTGGTGATAAGATTTAATAGGAACAAACAGTGTAGTATTTCAGGCATTGTTTGTTACATTAAAGCATGAACAACAGGTCAAGTTTTTGGCTATGAGCATCATGGAAGTACGATGTATAATGTATGCAGTGCTAGCACATTGTATGGTGAGATTGGCTACAGTGCACTAATGAATACAAAGCAAGTGCCAACTCATTCATAAGCCTACTTACACGATATTGCTAAACGTTTTTAACAGATGTGTAGCAGTGAAGAACGCTGGTGGGTTATGATTTAGCACACCTAGCTCACAGACACTTCTCCTGCTCAGAATCGGTGTCCTGCTCTGATGGTCAGCCGTGGTGCTGCTGAGCAGTGAACACTTTTGCTGGTTGATGGTACATATATAGTGCTCTAAACGGAGTGTTTGCCCCCTTAGGATATTTATTAATGTGATGTCAATGAAGAACGATTGAAATGTCTAAATATGTATGATTTTTATTGTATGCAATAATAGGAGTGGTTTACACATATATTAAAAATTGCATTTTACGAATTAGGATTCGCCGAATTGCATATGGCGAAATATTATTCCTCTATTATTGCATAATGTTGTACGAGCTCGGATATTTAACTCACTGTACAATCAACTCCTGCTGATCTTACTGCATCTAAATGAACATCTTGTGTTGTGGATGATAATGAGTAGCAGAAATATATTTCTTTTATCATGTATGAATTACACCAACTGTGACAGCAATGCGAAATTTGACACATTAGTGTCTACAAGGTTTGAAATTTACTGAAAACAAGGAAGTCTTTTTTTTTTTTTAATTTGTGGGAAGACACTGCTCTTAAAAAAAGTTTATTTCATGATAAATTTTGTTGAAGCTTGGTGAGTTTATGTATGTTTGTGTGCTCGTTTCAAATATGCAAATATTTTCCTTGTATAAAGTGTAGTTTTTAACATACAATACATTTAATGTGCTTTTTGGGGAGCAAGGGTAGCTAGCTAGCTCCCCAAATGGCACATAAAAAAGTTTGTATTTTGAAAACTACACTTCATGCAAGAAAAAGAAGTTGCATATTTAAAATCAGTACGTAAATTTATATAAACCCGCCAAGTTTCATCAAAAGTAATCAATAATAAAAGAAACTTTAAGTGCCTTGTTCCCTTTTAATCGAAGGTGAAATTGTCATGGAGGTATGCTGCAAAGGTATACCTTGCTTTTTTTCCTGTTGTAGGCTTCAAGGTGAATAAATTATACTGTGCATTGTGACATTGATAGTGATTGTGACTTATTGTACAGTAGACTGTCAGTAAGCGGCAATCTGTTAAACGGAACTGCTACTGAAATGGAACAAATGCTTCTGACAAGGATTGATTTCGTTCTCGCATTCTTGACCTGTGGTCATCTCTCAGTAAACGGACTTCTTCTTAAACAGAACATATTCTTGGTCCCTTCAGGTTCCATTTAATGAGTGCTAGTGTATTTAGAGCGTATAAGCCAGCATAACAAGCTTTCAGATGGGAAAAAAAAAGGAAGAATCGATGAGATGGAAATATCTATTTACTGTACAGCACCCTCTTAGGGCAGTGAAACCATTTTCACAAGGGGTTACATGTGGACTACGTACACCCATTCACTCATTTCGAGAAAGCTTCACTAATTTCAATGCAGATCAAAGCGAACTTGAATAGATCAATATTCATTCAAATATTTGAAGTGCTCGAACGTTCGCACAAGCCTAGTCACCAGTAGTATCTTAAGACACGGATGGTTCAGGCAGACACTGTTGTTCATTGTCTTTTGCGCAGGTCGCTTCCAACCTTGCTCTGTAGTAATGCATATGTGTTGTAATGGGTATAGTTTGCTAACACTTCTAGACTGATTTCAGCCATAGGTGCATAATTTGCTTTCACGTATACCAATACCAGATAAAGCAGGCCTACGACTCCAGCATGTTACATTTATGCATTCTGAACATACTATAGCAAGAACAGCAGTATACGAGTTTCTCACAGCAGCCATGTTAATAAGTGTGCCAACACTAGAGAAATAGAACGACTACAAATCAAAGAGTCTGGTAGAGCCACGTCTGCTTTCACCTTTGGTTGCTGGAGTAGGGGCAGTGGGCGCAGCTGTGCTTTCCCTGAGGCCTTTGGTGGTGCTTAATTCGCCGGTGGTGGTCCAGCATCTTTTGCACGGTGAACATTCTGCCGCAGTCTTCACAGGAAAAGACTGAATGTAGTTTGGCTACGTTCTCCTCAGCCCCTTAAGACAAAAGAATAAGCGTTATTAAGGTATGTTTTGATAGTTACTTAAGCAGTACAGCACAAATGTCGCTGACCCCATAAGTCAACACCAATGGATTTAGTTGTACTTACTATACATTTTTTAAGGTGAACATGAAAAATCCTACATCTGCAGGGTAATAAAAATTATATGCACTTATATTGCCTTAGACACAATGATTATCGTCAACTGTAGCTGCCTTTTCAAGATTTTTCTACTAGCTGGTCTAATTGCTATAAAATGCAATTTTGTGCCAATTGTGCACTGATTATGAGAAGCAAAGAAACAATTTATAAGTTCCCAGAATAATAAAATATCTTTTTCATAAATGAATGTGTACTTCACAAATAATTAAGATGACACAAATCTACTGCTATGCAATGCATAGTTTGCAGTGTGGATTAATTGGTTGGTACTGCCTTCAAGGAATGCTAAATAAAGAAAGCTTTTTAATCGGAGCCATATTTTTCATGCCTTTCTTACCTTGGAATCTCAGAAGCAAGTTCTGAAAGATTTTTCTTTAATATATGAATATTCTTAAGCATATTATTATGACTTTAGTCTCTTGCAATGAAAAGTTTCATTATTTCATGTGATGAAGGTCACAATAGCCTTCATCACACTGCTGTGTTTTTTTTTTGTCCTTTTTGTGTACTGATCGTAATGAGTATGTTCCAACTAGCCCAACTTGCTACTTTACTTCAGTTCATCCCAATGGCCAGTTGACACAACCTGTTGCTTCATGTGCTCTGGATGTGAAATTTTCGTTTTTGATGTTATTGTCATGCACTGGTAATCTTCTCTTCCATAATGTTTTTTTTTTATTTTCATAAGAAGAGCATGTTATGTCAACTGGCTGTGGGATAAGCAGAGAGGATGCCTTCATTGTTACCATGTGAAAATATTTCATTATGATAGCAATTTTGTAGACACTCTCGGCTGATTTTGGCCGTTGCCATCATGTCGCGGATGTATATATGTACTTATGTAAGTAAAAAAAAGGCGTGATAAAAATAAATTGATTGAAAGTAATTTCATAGAAACATATCGGGAATTCGAACCAGCGACCCCTTGCTCCGCAGTCCGCTGCGCTTGCCAATACAGCCACGTGCAATGCCTGTGGTGGTGATACAACAGCGAGCTCTTCGTATGCACCATTTACCGCTCGCGGCACACAGATCTCAGAACAGCTTGAGTGGGTTTATTTATCACCAGCACTTCTACATTTTCTTTGAAATTGAAAACCATCCTCGAGACGATAAAGTGGGCCTTTTTCTGTACCACTCGTGATGTATAATAATAATAATAGTAATAATCCATAAACTAGATAGAATCCAAAACAAGGCTGTCCGATTTATTTTCAAGAAATATGGCCCAACGTCAGTCTCTGAATTAGTTGCCAAAGCGGGATTCAAACGGACTTCAGAAAGAAATAGAATTTCTCGTTTGTTGTTCTTCTATAAGATAGTTAATGGTCGAATAAATAGTAACACAGGTGAATACTTAAAGTTCTCTTCCGGTTACTCTACCAGACAACGTCATAAACACACTGTCGTTCCTTTCCAGCCCAATAATAATACTTTCAAGTATTCCTTTTTTCCGCGCACTGCCAAAGAATGGAATGAGCTTGACAGCAAAATTATTGAAACAGACAGTATCGAGGCATTTGAAAAATTTATATCTGACTTGTGTTTTTTTTTTTTCTTCGTGAAACATTTTTTATGTTGTTTGAAGTGCTTTGTTCTGTGTTGACTGCAGTATTGTATTGTTGATTTTGTTGTACTATGTATACCCACTCTGCTATGGCCCCATGTTGGGGCTAGCAGTATTGCTAAATAAATAAATAAATAATAATAACACGGTGCGCACTCAGCGTCAGATGCTACCACGTTGCAGGAGATGCAGAGGCGTCATTCAACGTGCGGATGTCTAAGAGAAAGAAACCAAGCTATGTTGGCTTCTGCATTGTGGACGTTTTCAGTGCATTCCTCATATGCAAGCACATAACTACTATAACAGTTGCTAGTTCATACTTGCCCTGTGTATACCCATGCATTCTTTTTGCGCATCCTCTTTTTTTTTTGTTGCCAGCAGCCTGCTGAAGGTATTGAGCTGCTGTCGTTCTTTGTGTGATACTATTCTCATTTCTTGCTACCACATTCATTGCTTCAGCCCAGTGGCAAAACTGAATTTTGCTGTATGTTTTCATTTGGAATCTTCAATAATTCAGACTACTGCGCACATGCCAAATTGGAATATCAAGACGAGGTCAAGTCACTGTTCACATATAGAGAAATATTCTGACACATGTACACACTGCCCACAACGTGTAATAAAAGCCTATAAATGAAGAAACTTTCAATTCTTGTCTCTGTGAACTAAGCAAATTAAAATAATTTCTACTTTGATCAAGAATTCATTCTTTATCTGCACATTATTCCCCGACCAGGCAGAATTCATTCAAGTCTTGCCACTAAGAAAGCTTAAAAAAGTACTGTAGAAAACTGCCTCTTGGACTTTGATGTCATGCAAATATCTCAAAACAGAACCACAGATGTCTCATTTAGTGTGCAGAAAAAAATGAAAACAAACTCTTTTGCACCTTGCTTATTCTGTGCGCTGGCAGTGGCCGACTTGCCAATCAGACCAAGCTGCTTGGCAAATGCGTCTCCGTACCAGACGAAGAGCTCCTCTCCAGGGTAAACCACACGGTTTGTACGATAGTAGACGGCTCCCTGGCGCACGAATGCCAGCAGGTTCTGCTGGCTTTGCTGGGGTGCGCAGTTCACATACCGCATCCAGTTGGAGCGATCTAGAGGCCGGCCATCCACCAGGTACACCCTGCCACCATGGCGAATCTGCGACACGCAATGCACGCACAAATGGTATCAACCTCAGTCATTTCATAAAAACCTGTGAACAACTCTTAGCTGCATTACTCAATAAGTTACAGAATATAAAAGTTGTAGCACATTTGGCAGTGTTCTTGTTTTTGCGAGTGCTAATGTTTGATTTATTCATCCACCGATTTGAACGGATTATCGAGAATGAACGATTTGCTGTGCCGTGTAAACTGCCCATACAGTGATTGACCAACAATTGACCCACAATTAACTTTGCATGTTTAACATCTGAGATTTTTATCTGCCAAACCACTACATGAATAAGGCACACCATAGTGGACAGCTCTGTAGATTTCTACTACTTGGATTCCTTTAACAAGCACCAGACAGGCCTTTAATATTGTCACTTTCACAAAAAAATTCTATCAAACGCAGAGCCTGCGGATCAACAATCGAGCACTGCAAGCACTGTATTACTGTTATTTTTCATGCTGTTCACGTGTGGCTCTGTAGCACATATACCTGCCAGGTGTATCCATTGGCACAGCTGCTGTCCACTGTGACGCCCTCGTACGGTCCAAAGCAGAGCCTCTTGGACAGTTGCTTTATGGTGAACACGCCGTACTGGGCTCCCTTGATGGTTGACCGGCGAACCAACAAGCCATCAGGCACCGTCTTGTTGGCACGCTGAGGGTCTCCCAAGGGCACCTGCAATGGGCAGGCAACGTTGCCTGACATCTCGCACTCTGCTTTGAGCTCATAAGACAGCATGCTTAGAAGCGTGATGGCTTAACAAGCTTAAGTTGTTTCACGCAAGGACCCACGAGGGCACAAATCACGCCTTGGCAACAAGGTTGTTATGAGAAAGAATGCACAAACACAGTGTCCGTATTTGGCAACATGTTTGTACAAAATTTGCATGCGTCACTCACGGGAGTGTCTTTGACGTGTGTCAGTGGTCCGTGCACGGGACAGTCACCCGGGTAGTCCATGTTGCAGTCGTCGCAAACTGAAAACGTAAGTGACCACACATATATGCTGGAGTATGAACTGCGCCTTACAAGTTGCAGCTCTTAATTGTCTAAAGCAAAACAAACAAAAAGCTCATATTGTGTGTTACACACGACCTAGTAAAGTGAAGGAGAAAAAAAGACGACATAAAGAACATTATTTGAGGTTTTTAATTTTAGTGTAGTAATTGTGACATAAATGGAAAGGAACTGAAGTGGACAAAAAAAGTGCCCAAACTATCAGCATAATGTGGGGAAAGTATTGCTTACAGAGGTATTCCTCATCCGCTCCCTCTTCGCATTCCATGTAGTTGACCTCATTTCGTTGGCGCCTCGGGTAGCGGAATTCGCTAGAAGAGTTTTCTGTGGAAGCTGCGATGCACCGAATAATAAAGCAATGTAAAATTAGTAAAATTACTTTTTTGTATTACAGGTGTTGTGGCACCAGTCGAAATTGTGAATATGTTGGCATAATTCAAACCCGTTTATGATAGTGACATCACCTGCATGTGCATGCTGACTCTTTACGAAAGCAAGCACAGAATTTATAGATATGTTCTCACTGTTATTGTGAACATCAACGTCATGCCAATGAACTTGAAATCGCTTAATGTCTTACTTTAGTTTGATATTGCTTTGTGGCATTAGATTTATAACTAATAACGAACACGTGCTTTTTTGCTATGCACTCTGGTAGTTTAGCCTTTAAGGTGTTGTGCGGCTCATCTCATAGATGCAGAATTGATTCCCGGCTACGATTGCTTCATTCTGATTAAACTGAGACACAAAAAGTCCCAAGTACTCAGATTAAGTGCACGTTAAAGAGGCCCTGTGGGTCAAAATAATATGAGATACATAATTGCAGTGTGTCTCACAATTAAACTGGTTGGTATATAAAGCTCTGGAAATAAACATTCGGTTTTTTATTAGCACAATTTTATTTTATTTACCCTCGGGGCAAAAGTACGACCAAGGGGAGTGAGTAAAAAAATACATACATTAATCAGTAACAGCGAAAGATGATGAATCAGAGATGCATTTATTCAGGGAAAGTTATGAACAGTCGAAACAAGACGCGTGTTCATTTTGGAAGAAATTCCTAAGCTCTGCATAACATATCGATCACCTCAGTGTACTCCAAAATACAACAGCACTATATGAAATTTTGTTCATCAGTGAGAAAGAAAGGGTGTGATTATAACAGCACTCCATGTAATTTTGTCCATGCGTGAGAAAGAAAGAGTGTGGTTAAAAAACACTCCACGTAATTTTGTCTATGAGTGAGAAAGAAAAGGGCGTTATGGCTCAAGTCTCACAGACGGCTTGTCTGCTGGCTCTTCCTCACTGCTGTCGCACTCAGCGTAGTTGATCTTCTGAGCACGTCTGGGGCGGTGATTGCCATCAGGTTCGCTTGCACCAGCAACTGTAGCAAAGCCTGCAGCTGATATTACTAACGCTGTTTATGTGAGTTTGAACAGCAATATAAGATTCCAGCATCTCACACTCTCATATTATCTTTGTATCAGCGTAGTTCTGCCACAGAAGCACCTGTCACACTTGAACCGTGCTAGCATTATAAATTTAATATTTTAAAAATTGAAGAAGCGGTATGTTCAAAACACCTTTGTCTATTATTTGTTTACAATCTCACAATATGTGTTTTGCTCAAGCCTCGCTCTAACTATGCCTCAACACAACACTACTCAGACGAGACCATTCGCACGCAGAATTGGCAACATTATCAACAGGTGGACTCACATCAGCACATACAAACGTGCTAAAGGAAGTGAATTTCTTTTTCCGATCAAGCAATAGAAGGCCTTCTAACACATTGCCTAGCATAGTCATTTCTGAAGCTGCATATATCTCTCACATTGGTTGTGACAAATAAATCTGGTGGAATATCAGTGCTGTTGTTTGTCTTCTTCTATTACTCGCCCTCTGTTTTTTTTGTGCTGCCTTGATTTATAGTGAGCACTTTCATGCCGAATAATCAAACATGTCTACAAAAGTGTCATTAGCTGGGATAGTTGGTACAAATACATCACAAATACAACAGTGCAAAGATGTCTGTAAATATTTGTGCCACCACAGCAAGCACCGATATCCATGTTGGCATTTATTAATCGAAAGCATACTTCCAGTACACGCAATTTCTACATACACCGTCCAACAAACATATAGCTTGTGAATCAGCTTCAACAGTTGCTACAGAATATTTTTTTACACATGCTAGTACACCGTGAACATTGACATTTCTTCAATTTAGAAATAGGTAGCGATATGTAACTGTCATTGTTCTGAGACAAAAAACAACTGCCAGTCAGCTGACTAGTCACTTTAAGAACATAATGTCTTAGTTGGTTACTAGTGTCTGGCATGCATTGCAGCCATATTCATATCAGCCCCATTCCAGTGGGCCTAGTGAGAGATTAGATATGCTGCTACACTCAAACCTGGATATAACAAACCCTGATATAACAGAATACCGGTTATAACGAAGATAATGAAAAATTGTCTTGCAATAGACATAGTGTTAAGAATAAACCTTTATAGCAAATTTTCGGATATAACAAATTTATTTTCATGTAACATGCAACTTTGTTATAATGAGGTTTGAATGTCTTTACAAGCCGTGTGGAAATCGTGGTTGGATGAAGAATTGTCAACTATGTTAGCCTGCCGGGCAACAATATAGCAATACCACGTTGGACTGCATGTGACCAAACTTTTATGTGTAGAACACTGTGATTGGGCTAGCAAATCAAATCACCTTCTCAGACAAACAGTAGTGCATGTCTACATGTTGGTCTTTGTCGGGTGCATAATGTGTGTGATAGTGGGCTAACAAATCAAATCACCTTCTCAGACAAACAGTAGTGCATGTCTACATGTTGGTCTTTGTCGGGTGCATAATGTGTGTGATAGTACACTCTAACCACGATATACTGAATGCAGATATAATGAAATGTCGGTTATAAAGAAGCAAATGAAAAATAGTCTTGCAATAGACATAGTGTTAGGTATATATCTTTATATTAGAACAAATTTTCGGATATAAAGGACTTATTTTTGTGCCAGATGCAACATCGTTATAATAAGGTCTCATTGTAATGTAGAAATTAATGAGAAGATGGAAACTTGAAGAGATGAAAAATCTTCTGGGTTGCTTGCCTTGACAAGGTCCTTGTAGAAACGTCGGCTCCAACAATATCTCCTGTTCAATAGATTTTTCATGTCCAATTTGTGTGGTGTTTTTCGTCACACACATTGTATATGCCCTTTGTGACTCTTTATGGTTAAGAAATAAAATCCTCCAGATTTATATACATTGACCACCTTGAAGCACATTCACAGCAAGCAGTGAGTCGCAAGCTACAAAATTAATTTAGAATTCTGTCAGTGTATGAGCATTGTTGATAAAATACTTACTCTGGTTATCATGTGTGCCCCCATTGGTGAATTCCTTGTTCTCTGCTAGGACAGTGTGGTTTCTGACAGGGGCCACCCATGCCTTCTTGCATGGGGCATGTGTTGCGACAGTACAGTTTTCTTTACCCTTGGCTCCAACTTTAAGTGGCTGTTTGCCCTAATACAAAAAGTAATTACTAATCACAAATGAATACTGAACAAGTGGCATTTAAAGTTGTATGCATTAACCGGGGACACAAGGTGATCTCGTATAGTGTAATGAGTGTCACTGTCTGATGTAACAGTATATAAGACCCATATTGAAACCTGCCCTTGTAGTTTCAAATGTAAGGTGCCAGCTGTGTTGTAGCAACTATAATGTACCTCGGAATCATAGGTACATAATACCCCAGAAACTGCTATGAATCATATTAAAACAAATAAATATTTGTCGGGAGACAAGAAATCTCGGAAATAAATGAACTAAATAAATTTTCCCAGCAGGGCTGGATTTGAACCTAGGCCCTCGCACTCCTGAGGCAACCACTCGACTGTGCGCCATTGATTCTGGAAATTGAATAAAAAAGGAACAATTTAAAGAACTTTAAGAAATAAATTAATAAACCTAAATTTATTTTATGCCAGGCCTGAATTATCTGCATATACATAATATATGCATCATCACAATAACAAAAAAAAACGTTATGTACAAAGGGAGAGCAGAGCACTTGGCACACCAAATAGCATATATATATATTTTTTTCAAAAGTCTCTATACACCATAATGTTTTCTCCCTACCTTAGGGCTGTTGACTTTCTTCTTCTGTTGCTTTCTGGTGTGTGATTCTGAAACAAAGCAGTCGCATTCATGGCATGAAATAAAGGCGCATGTGGTACATCCACTGCATTTATTGCCGTCAAGTCATCCCTTAATTACAACTGCGCATTCATTGTCAAGATGCCTTCAGGTCAGTGTAGCCGCAATTTAATAATAAAAAAACGAAGGCAACCCAAATCCTTCACTTGGGTGTCTGGCAGTGGCATTCAAGCGTTGGTGTTCGTTTGTCCAGGTGTTGTTGCTTGTGTTAACTTTGTGTTTCATAGCACTGCCAAAGTAGATCTCTGAGGCCAAGTAGAAAGAACCTTGTTGTTGAGATCTTCTCCACCAGGTGGCGCAACTATTCCTGCTGCTGAGAGAGGTCGAAGAAGTGGTAGAGGTCGGACGTGTTTCTGGAGAGCTCCGGAATGACAGCTACAGATAAGTGTTTGTGCATGTTTCCAGCTTGCCTCTATATGTAGCGTTATGAGAACGTAAGGCGCTAGCGTAAGGCTTGATTAGGTCTAGTACGGTGTACGGGTTTTTTTTTTATTAGTATTTTGTACTGTGTCTTTTTTTCTCCAGCCACCACGTGGCTGAAGCCTGCGCGTAGACCGACCACGTGCATGCGCAGGTGCTGTGAAGTGTAGCGTATTTATTTATTATTGTGGTTCTTTTTGGCTTAGACCAGTGTATTTTAGTACAGTTTTCTAACACGTGGGCATCGGTAAACTGAGCTAGCCATGGTCAAAAAGACCGTAAAGTGTTCCGAGTGCGGGGTAGGGCGGAAGGTGGAAATTAGTGCGGAGGAGAAAGCAGAAGATGACGCCAAGTGTAAACAGTTTGAGTTCGAGGAGAAAATGAAAAATATGATGGCGGTCCAGAGTGGGCTCATGGAGAAAATCGCAGCGCTGGAGAATGCATTGGCGAAGGAGCGAGAGAAAACGTCAGCCATGGAAGAAAGGCTCCGGGCAGCCGAGAAGAGCCTATCGAAGGTCGTGAAAGGGAACGAAGACGCAGGTGACCGCGGAAGCATTATGGCGACGACCCCCCGTGCGGGAGAGATGAAGGAAACAGGCATGACAAAGGCAGATACATTGGCCACAGGGCCCAGCTACCGGGAAGTAGTTTTGAGGGAGGGAGG